CGGATATTCTCGGATCATGTTCGGATCGGTTCCGCACTGTAAAAGGGGTTTCACCTGTGTTTCGTGCATGTGTGGTCGACAGAATTCCATTGTGATTTGCAACTGTAGGATCGTTCCCGCATTGTAAATGGGGTTGCAAGTGGTGCTGGTGGATGAGTTGCTGATGGAATTCCATTGTGATTTGCAACTTCTTAGGATCGTTCCCTCACTGTAAATGGCATTGCAAGTGGTACTGGTGGAGGAGTTGCCGATGGAGTTTTGGAGGAAGTCTCGCACGAAATGCGTTTTTGAGAGATAGCAGATGCACGAAACCCTATGTTTTTCCATACAAAGTCCGTCCCCGAACCTCGATGATCTACCTCTACAAGGAGACGGTTGTGAGACGGTCTCGTGTGTGGTCGGATCAGTCTCTGCAGATTGCATTGTAATGGCTGCGTCAAGGTTGCTTCGTGCTGTGGCTGCATTTGTCATACTATTGTCTTTTGCAGCTCGATCTCGTAAATCGTATTGGAGTGGCTGCATGAAGGCTGCGACATGGATTTGTCAGCAGATTTTCTCCATTTTGGCGCTAGTGATTTTCCTTCTAAAAATCCTTTTAAAAAGTGCTTCAAAATCGTCTTTTTTCGCTCTGGCGTCGAGATCCGGTTTTGGAGCTACAATTTCCGACGCCGTTGCGCGTAGTTCTATTGTGTTTTGCAACTCAGTCTCTGCAGATCGCATTGCAATGGCTGCGTCAAGGTTGCTTCGTGCTGTGGCTGCATTTGTCATACTATTGTCTTTTGCAGCTCGACTTCGTAAATCGTATTGGAGTGGCTGCATGAAGGCTGCCACAGTGATTTGTCAGCAGATTTTCTCTATTTTGGCGCTAGTGATTTTCCTTCTAAAAATCCTTTTAAAAAGTGCTTCAAAATCGTCTTTTTTTCGCTCTGGCGTCGAGATCCGGTTTTGGAGCTACAATTTCTGACGCTGTTGCGCGTATTTCTATTTTGTTTTGCAACTCAGTCTCTGCAGATCGCATTGTAATGGCTGCGTCAAGGTTGCTTCGTGCTGTGGCTGCATTTGTCATACTATTGTCTTTTGCAGCTCGATCTCGTCGTAAATCGTATTGGAGTGGCTGCATGAAGGCTGCGACATGGATCTGTTAGCAGATTTTCTCCATATTGGCGCTAGTGTTTTTTTGTTGCACGTAGGTTTAGAGCAGTGTGAAGTGTGGGGCGTGAAGAGTGCAGTGTGAAGTGTGCAGTGTGAAGGAAGCAGTGGGAAGTGAGAAGTGAGGAGTGTGAAGTGTGGAGTGTGAAGTTTAAGTTTGGAGTGCGAAGAGCGCAGTAAGTGTGAAGTGTGAAGTGTGAGGTTTGGAGTGTGAAGGAAGCAGTGAGAAGTGTGAAGTGTGGACTGTGAAGTGTGAAGTGTGAGTGAAGTGTGGAGTGGAAGTGCAAAGTGAGAAGTGTGAAGTGTGAGTTTTGGAGTGTGAAGTTTGGAGTGGGAAGGAAGCAGTGAGAAGTGAGAAGTGTGAAGTGTGGACTGTGAAGTGTGGAGTGTGAAGTGCGAAGTGAGAAGTGTGAAGTTTGGAGTGTGAAGGAAGCAGTGAGAAGTGAGAAGTGTGAAGTGAGAAGTGTGAAGTGTGGACTGTGAAGTGTGGAGTGCGAAGAGCGTAGCGTGAAGTGTGAAGTGTGAAGTGTGAGGTTTGGAGTGTGAAGGAAGCAGTGAGAAGTGTGAAGTGTGGACTGTGAAGTGTGAAGTGTGAGTGAAGTGTGGAGTGTGAAGTGCGAAGTGAGAAGTGTGAAGTTTGGAGTGTGAAGTTTGGAGTGGGAAGGGAAGCAGTGAGAAGTGAGAAGTGTGAAGTGTGGACTGTGAAGTGTGGAGTGTGAAGTGCGAAGTGAGAAGTGTGAAGTTTGGAGTGTGAAGGAAGCAGTGAGAAGTGAGAAGTGAAGTGAGAAGTGTGAAGGGTGGACTGTGAAGTGTGGAGTGCGAAGAGCGCAGCGTGAAGTGTGAAGTGTGAAGTGTGAGGTTTGGAGTGTGAAGGAAGCAGTGAGAAGTGTGAAGTGTGGACTGTGAAGTGTGAAGTGTGAGTGAAGTGTGGAGTGTGAAGTGCGAAGTGAGAAGTGGGAAGTGTGAAGTTTGGAGTGTGAAGTTTGGAGTGGGAAGGAAGCAGTGAGAAGTGAGAAGTGTGAAGTGTGGACTGTGAAGTGTGGAGTGTGAAGTGCGAAGTGAGAAGTGTGAAGTTAGGAGTGTGAAGGAAGCAGTGAGAAGTGAGAAGTGTGGAGTGTGAAGTGCGAAGTGAGAAGTGTGAAGTGTGAAGTGTGAAGTTTGGAGTGTGAAGGAAGCAGTGAGAAGTGTGAAATGTGGAGTGTGAAGTGTGAAATTCGAAGTGAGAAGTGTGGACTGTGAAGTGTGAAGTGTGGACTGTGAAGTACGAAGTGTGAAGTGTGGACTGTGAAGTGTGAAGTGTGAAGTGTGGACTGTGAAGTGTGAAGTGTGAAGTGTGGACTGTGAAGTGTGAAGTGTGCAGTGTGAAGTGTGCAGTGTGAAGTGTGAAGTGTGAAGTGTGAGGTTTGGAGTGTGAAGGAAGCAGTGAGAAGTGAGAAGTGTGGAGTGTGAAGTGTGGAGTGAAGTTTGAAGTTTGGAGTGCGAAGAGTGCAGTGTGCAGTGTGAGATGTGGAGTGTCGAGGGAAGGACACGGTCGGGACAGGGTGTCTTTGAACTATAGGTCATTTATGTTTGGGAAACTTCCGCCGCCGGCTTGCCCGGGTCTATGTTATATGTAAGACGATGGCGTGTTCTTTTAATATTTTTAATGTATATATATATAATTAATAATGTGTATAATATAAAAACAATATATAATATAATCATATCCTGCGGATTTCCACGGCCTTTCCGGATGTACCCCACTTAGCCACACTCTTACGAGAAAGGTAGCCGATGGCCCACCTCAGAAGTATTTCAAAGATATACCTTTTGAGAAGGTGGTGGGGCATCCTGAGCTACTACCCCAGTGGTAAGGGTAGTTCATCTCCGGGTTGGGGATGCATCATGTAAAACATGGGGACAGGATGGAAGCCCTTGCGGAATCAGCCTGGACTCAAAGTCAACAAGAAAAGCACCAACGCACCCAACTGGGGCTCCAAGCCCTAGATACAGGGGGGCAATTGGATAGAAAATGATAGAAATAAATGAGTAACAGATGGTAAAATGACAAGTTGGTTCCCCTTGTGGCTACGATTTACCTACGAGAGGTTGGAGCACCCCTGCGGCACGACCTTGCAAACACGAATGTTGACTCCCAACAGGCCTTGACTGCTTCGGAGAGGTTTTCCTTTGACCAGGCACAAAGGGAATCGTTGACAAACTTTGGGACTTGTAGTGTGGGTCTGGCTTTGCTAGAAAGCATGCATGGACCTATGATGACTTATGTATCCTCTGACATAGCTACAACATGCTACAACTAAATGGGCAATGTTCATGCATTTTCCATGGCTACGTTAAATTTTCGGCTGGGTTAAATTTTCGGAGGGGAATATTACAACCACGTAAGGTTGATGGATCACCAATCAAACCTATAGGATCCTGGGGCATTTGGTCCAGCCCTAATTTTTCAACAGTGAGGTTCCAAACGTCACCACGTGTAACACCCGAATTGTTGCGACGCAGGAAACCATGGACGATCCAACCTTCCAGGGAAAAGTCATTTGAAAAGAAACCTGTCCTACAGTAAGTTAAATGTTCATTCTTTTGGACAATGTCTTAGGACAGCAATTTGATTGACTTAGGCAATGTCTGTGAAATTTGATTGACTAAATCGACCCAGCAATTTGGCCAATGTCTTTTTTCCATTCTTTTCCATCCCTTTCCCTGCATACCGGAGCACAATGAATCCCAGTGACAAGATGTGACAAGCATTAGGCATTTTCGTTTCTGGTCGCGCAACTGGTTGGTGGTTTCAGCTTTCCCCGCTAAAAGATCAGTCGTTGACATGACTGATTACTGGTTGAAGGGAAAATCTGCAGTAAGCCAATAGATTTATGGGTAAATATGGGTAAACACCACGGTTTCCGGCATGTTTTGCCTGAAACAAATCCATTGGATCATTGCAAAAGCAGCAACGGAAACAGACAGCCGCAGTCTTTTTGTGGCCGAGGCACTTCAATCCGATGCTTTCCCAAGTACTCCTGGCGCTTCCCACAGGCGATGCGGCGATGTCATCATATCAAGATGGAACGTGGACAGCCAATCAATGGGAATTTCAGGATCCTAGAATGGAGGTACGTTAGCACCATATAAGGCAATATTTTCTGGGGATATTCCCTGAAATTTAGGCCTCAAAAATAGGCCTTATATATGGTAGGTACCTCCAATTTAGGTTCCTGAAATGGCCATTGAGCCAAACTCAGGGGCTGTTTATCGAGACAGTACAGGTTACAAATCAGTTTCCAACCTCGGAAGCTTTCCTCCAAAAAAGGGAACAACTGCCCATTTGTTTTTTTCGACGCTCCCTGCCGCAGAATTGCTGCCAAAAAATATGATCTACGTGGCTTCTCAACATCAACATCAATTTTCAAATATGTCCAAAATATATATCATGTATGTTCAATATTGTTCAATATCAATTTTCAATATGTACATGAACCATCAATTTTAATGAACCGGGAAAGGTTAATTAATGCATGCTTCGGCCCGACATGTTTCAATTTTTCATGATGCCCACAGATCCGTAGTGGTTGATATCACTAAGAACATGCTTTGCAGTTTCAATCCGGCTTAAGGAGAAGTAAACATAGGAAAAACAACTAAATAAACCACTTAGACATGCTCAGACTTAGAAGTTGAAAGCGCATGATCAGGCTGGTCTTGTCCCCAAGTTTGTGTTTGATCCCCTAGCCAGTTGTTAGTCACTGACCATCAACGATGTGATCTTGCAAAAAAAGAGAGGGACCGATTTGATACTAACCTTTAGAATGAATCGTATATGTACATTATCTACTAAGTCTTCCAGGGGCCAATTAACCAGAAACGGACAGATCGATGTCCTTGGCTTTGCCCTTCATCTTGGCAGCTCGATCCGTCCTCAAGCGATCGCTCTAAAATCTAAAGCGATGGGAAAGTAAACGTTGGGCCCAGTTGTATGGAAAGGCATAACATTACCGTTTCTGGGTCCAAATATTGATATTTCCGCTACATCCCCACAAGTCAAAAACGCACATTGTGGTCACATTCGTCGTGGTTGATAAAGCGAGTAATTCCTTAGCAATTGCTGGGCTTCTGGGCTGTCCAGATCCATTCATGACACTCCTGAACTCTCCAGATTTGGAGTTTCACGGTGTCAATCCATTGGGAAAAAACACTGCGGATCCACCGACATCGAGTGATCCACCGAGCGACTTGGATTTTTGGACCTCTTCTGTTTTGGTTGTCACGTTCACCTGTCATGCGTCCCCGAGGCGACTCAGCTTTGGGCAAGGTGATGGCCCTCCAAGGTAGACGGAAAGGTGTATCACATTGTATTACCCCAACTTAGCGGGGACATATGACACAAAATCATAGCCAAACTCTGTATAGTATGCATATAAACCAACTTAGCCAATTATGTGGGGCATCACCTGGTACCATCCATCCCCATTCACTTTGACAATTGCACAGAGGTCCAAAAATCAAAATTCTGAATCGGAATGGGCATGGGCAATGGAGCAAATCCGACAACATCGACAACCGAACCTCTGGTGGATCTAAAGATACAACTGCTTGGAAGTTGAAAAGAATCAGTCAAGCACATAAAAGTACGTAGAGGTGCTACCGGCTCATTTCACCCACGGGCTTGTGTATGATCAATCGATATTCTGCAGGACCTATGTGCGCAAGTATGCAGACTCGTGGTACCCCGTAGAGCTTGCGTTTTCCGCCTTGAACTTCATGGCTGGAAAGTCTGGATGGGTGCTGGTGGCAAAGGTGTCGTGAACCTCAGGGCTTCACTCAAAATTCTTGGCCAAACACAGGAGAAAACATAGTTGGTATTGGAAGGGATCCAACATTTGAGATTGAACAGCTAACTTTCAAGTATACTTTGAAACCGCCTGCCGGCGTGTTTTGTGGATGTTCTTGTTACACACCTTGTGATAGCTTTATGTAGCTTCACCTGTGGATTGCTCCTTCGACGGATTGTTGTCTAGTATAGTCTAGTCCCGTCTCGCCTCGTCTCTGGCACCTAGCACTGACCTTATTTATATACATAATCATCGTCTCGGTGTGCATCGTCATGATCGTCATCATCATCATCATCATCAGCTTCTTCTGTTCTCTTCCTTCATCCTTCTTCATCCTCCTTCATCCTCCCATGTCCGTCTTCTCTTTTGTTCCTCCGGCTCCCCCCTGGGATGCGGCGTTTTTCCACGTTTCCTCCACGTTTTGCTGCCCGCTCTTGCCCCTGGGATGCGGCACTTTTCCACGTTTTGTCCAGGGCTATTGTTCGTTCGTTTTATGCAGAAACCAACCAGCTATTGCACAAACAATGTTTTACACCAAACAATTTTTGCAGAGACCCACTTTTACACAAACTCGCTTTTCCACAAACCACCTTTTACATCCTTTTACACCAACCAGCTCTTACACAAACGCGCTTTTACACAAACCAGCTTCTAAGCAATTCAATTGTTCGACCAACCAGCTTTTACACAAACCACCTTTGCAACCAACTTTTACAAACCAGCTTTTACACAAATCAGCTTTTACCCTATTTTACCCCCCAAAAAAACTTTTACACAAACATACACACATGATCTTTTAGACAAACCGCCTTTAACGCAAACCACCTTGTACATCGACCAGCTTTTACAACCCAGTTTCTACGCGAACCACTTTTTCGACAAACCAACCAAATGGCCGGCGGATTTCCAGTGTGTACCCAGCTCGAACGTTCCCCTGCCCAGCAACCGACGAAGAGTCTGGCTCCGCTGCCAGCAAGCAGGTGCCAACGTGCTGGTAGACGTCAATGCGAACATCCTGATGCGTAACTTAGGGTGATTTCCAGTGGGTAAATACTGGTTATTAGTGATTAACCGTGGTTTATAAAATGGCAAAATGGTGCATTTCCAGCGTGTGTAAAGCTTTGTGTTGGATGGTTGTTGGTCTTTGCACCACATTTTGCCCTCCAAAACTGCAAGGCTAGGCTCCTGCAGGAGGCTTCAGCATTGAAAAGAGAAAAAGCGGCACAGCCGGATACATTGGCATTTTGTGGCTTGCTCTAACTCTAACCAAAATCGTTCAGTTTTGGGTCTCCTGACGCCCCTCCCCGAAAATGTTGCCGAGTGACTCGCCGCCGGTCGATGCCAGGGAAATTGTAAGCCTCAGATAACTGCGACAAAATTTGGGCGAGCAAGTGGCAGTACCCTCTGTATATTTAACATATATGGGAAAACAGCCCAAATAAATGATAAACATTATCATTTACCCAGAAGCAATAGAGATTTTCCAAAGCAATGTTGAATTATCAGAGGGTAACTACCACTAGCTACCAATTACGAATTATCTGACCCATTTCAAACCCTATATGGTATCTCCCAGAATGGTTCAGTGGCCCAGTCGCAAAAAGTACGGAAATTGAGAGGAAACCTTCCTCCAAACTAGATTTTTGACATGATATAATATAAAAGCTTGAAACAGCACCAAACAACCAGAGTTCCCTTGACGCCAAAAAACTCGTTGTGGCTCGTATCTGCCTTGCTTCAACACGTCCCCCACGCGAACGCTCACCTGGGGGCCGTCCGATACAGCTAGATGAAGTAACTATGGTATACCAACAATGACGGTGAATCGGCAATTCATGTATTAATATTGGTGATTACTTATGGTGATATGATTTTGTGATTAACTATGATTAACTGATTGATTAACTGTTACCTATATGTATCAACCATAATTATAATAATCATGAAATGTATTGAAACGCAAGAATTATAGTAATACGATCTAGTGACATGTCATGACTAATACTGATAACGTGAACTATAATTTTCATCAGCCATACGGATACCATTCACCGACCTGAACTCAAGTCATTGTTGCATATTTTTGTGGTGATTCCCACGGTACTACTCATCGCAGTCTCAACGAGATTGCTGTGGACAAATGGGTTTGACCCAAAAATACCCAAAATAAGGTACACCTAAACTGGTTGGTGGATTCAGCCCCTCTCAAAAATATGAAAGTCAGTTGAGATTACTATTCCCAATATATGGGAAAATAAAAAATGTTCCAAACCACCAACCAGTAAAAATCGCTAGATCATCATTTTCTCTGAACCATGGCCCCTTTTTTTTGGGTAACCTAAATTCCCCAGCCACGGCGGTGCAGGGCACATAGCAACCCTTCGGGAGCATGTCCGCATTGGCTGCCTCAACGTGAATCTCCATCCTGCCCACTTCATGGGATTCTGAATGGTGACCTCATGGATGTTGATGGGGATGTAATGGGGGGGATATATATAATGGGGATGTGATGGGGATGTGTATATATCTATATATAAGATATAAGCAATATGTCGGAAAATTATGGAACATTCATACCAAAATGGAAATGTATAAGCAATATGTCGGAAAAACAACATAGCAAGATCGAAAGCGCATCTGCAATATGAATCATAACTAGTCTGTACAATAGGTTATAGTATGTTGACAAATATATGACTTTGGATAGAACCTGGAAACCCAAATCGATGGAATTGCGGATCTGAAGCAACGAAGAATCTGGAAATTTCATGGACAAAATATTCATCTGTTTAATGGACACAATTTCCAATAGCTAAAGCGTTGAACATTAAAAAAAAAACATGGCCACATAAAAAAAAAAAACTTGCCCATGGCTTCCATAACAATCTCTTAACTTACCAAGGGGTAACACCCATTGTGTCTAGGCTCGCCCTACCCTACACCCAGGTGAGGCGGAGCCTTCTGCCTCGAGCTCCTTCTGTTGAGCCCTAAAATTCATAGATCTTGAGCCACAAACATCAGCCAATGGGGTTCACCGAGCCTGAGGTGTGAACACTGAATGCTTGAAACCAGAAATTTATCTGGGTCTGGGTGGCACGTGGAATGTGTGGAAAAACTTGAACATGGGATGATTTCTGGCTGTGATTTGAGAGTCATAGATTCTCATTTCATAGGTCATCTATCTGAAAATAGGGTATATGCCAAAAAAAAACACTTAAGGTGGAAACACATGATGATCATGACAATGCAATGGGTTTTTGGGCACCAATATTTTAACAAACCCATAAATTTCTTGGAACTCCTTGCTATCCTCCTGTGTTTTCTTGCTGACTCCACCCTCCTGAAATCACTTAAGAAAGGGAAGCAGTGGTGGAAATCTAGCACTCCCGAAGTTATCAGATAGAACCGGATAGAACTCTTGTTTCCTCGAGGATGTCAAAAAATAAACGACTTTGACTTTGTGTTTCATCTCAAAATTTCCAGCGTTGCAATTTGTGCATCTATTTTGGGTTGCTGTATGTAGCTGGGCCATGGAGTTAGCTGATTACTTAGTGGATTTGATTGGGATAACTCGTGGGTTACAGTAACCCACTTACTAACCGTCGCTAATCCCATGGCCCATCTACCTTCTGGTCCCGGCCACCTTCAACCGCTTTTCTGCCACTGGTGACAGCACTGCCTGTACAGCTGTCCCGGTCAGATCCTGGCCCTGCGGCTGGGGGGAAACCAACTAAGACACTGGGGGGGCGCGGTTTTGAATCTGCTTTATGCAATACATACAGTGTAAGTCTGTATGTAGTAATAAATAGATATTTGAAATCAATATATTTATGGTAATAACTACATGTATTTACTATAGTAATAATTAGTAATAACCAAGATATTCTGTATGTAAGTAACTACATGGTCTAGTTGAGAAGTGGCATTAGAACAAATATTTGATGATCTTCCAAGGTGAAACAATGACTATGCCGCAATGCCCTGATGGGCAGTTGATCCGCCAGTTGGCACCCAAAAATTGAGTGAACATTAATTTGATGGGCACGCGCAGTTCAATATGTATATATATATATATATGTTATACAACTCAATATATAACATATAACATATTATATAGTATAATACATATCATTTCACAAACACATGCTGCAAACATGTAATACACCCACCCTCCCAAACTTTACCTTTTGAATATGGTAGATATGTCCTTTGTTTCTTTTTCCTTACTATGTAGCTTCGGTCTCTTGTTGTACTACTGCAGTGGCTAAATACTTTGGATGTTTGAGCTATGGCGCAGCTGGAACAATAATAAGTCATCATCTCTTCATTTATAGTCCATACCTTCTTGCCTTTGGCGCAAGTACTGCTACATCGTGCTTTCCAAAGTTAGTACGAACTCATTTGTTGAAGGCAATAGTGCATACTTACAATGTGGAATGCTTGTAAACAAGACATGTTTCCCGCAAATGCTATCTCTTTGAGATGAACACAGTACCTGTCAAGAAAAAAATCTTTGAATAAACTGAAACTACCTATTGAAAAAGAAGGCACTGATATTCCAAAGGGATACCTGCAACCTTTGAATAGACATATGTGTTGAAATAAATGTCTCTTGTCAAGTAGATTACGTCAAAATAATGCAGCCGCCCAGGGCTTTTCATACGGAGCAATATTGCACCTGTTTGAAAAATGGTTCTTACTTTTTTCTTGAAAAATGCCACACATTGCTTCCTTCAGGGTTCCACAAATGCCACCTCTTTGAGATGAGCAGCGATCACAGAAAGAAACTGATCACAAAAGGGACATCTACCTATTGAAAAGGAATGCCTTTTTACTTGCAAGGGATGCTGCAGCCTTTGAATACACAAAGTTGTTGACAGAGATTGCTCTTGTCAAGTAGGTTTACGTTTACGTCATCATCATTATTTTTTTGCCAAATATGGTTTCCTTCAAGGATTACTATTTCGCAGTCTAAAGTAAGCGTTTACTTAATTTTGAAATGAAATGCGTGCTTCAATGTATCACAATGTATTTCCAACAAATACATCATTGAAATGAAATCCACCACTTCTGAAAAGCAACCTTTCACAAATGCTACATCTACCTTTTCAGAAGGAACACACATGCTTCCAATGAATTTTGCATTACCTGAAAGCAAAACCCTTTTTTATTGATTGTTTGTTTTCATAAATTAGGGATTTTCTTCAAAAGCAAAATGCATGTCCTGCAAAGTCATGCTACGATATTTGGAAGGAATATTATTTTATTTCAAGTGAAATTGCTTGTGTTTCAAAAATGCCATGTATTTTGCAGGTTTTTGTTTGCAACCCGCTACTTCCTGCAAGAAGTATTGTGTTTTATCAGGTGGTATGCGCTTTTGCATGTTTACACTTTAAAAAAAACAACAAATACTACCTCATTGAATTGAATAGTGATATTTCCACGAAAAGTGACTTGTTTCAATTGTTTCAGTGGTATGCTAACCATTGAAACAAAATGCATTTTTTGTCTACTAAGTAATGCTGCACCCTTTGAATGAGAGTGTCTGTTTGACAAGCATGCTCCTGTCAACCAGTTTTTTCTCGAGGAGAAAAATGCTCTTTCCATCATCCTTAAAAAAAACAGTGTGCTCATTGGTTTTTTCAGGCTTGAGGAAAGCACCCAACGTTGAAACTTTTTGATGGGAGTTAAATCAATCCAACTTACTGAAGGGACAATCAAGATGGATGCATTTCCAGAGGAATGCGTTCAGAATGCAGTTTTCCCCGATCTAAGATCAAAGATTTGTCCAGGAGTCTTGGGAGAATCTTAGGTCCAAATCTCAGATCTTGGATTTGCTCAGGAGTCTTGGGGGAATCTTAGATCTTAGATTTTGGTCAGGAAAATCAAAGATTTGCTAAGGAGTCTTGAGGGGGTCGTAGATCTTAGATTTAGCCAGGAATGCGTTCTGAATGCGTTCTTCCCAGAATGCTATCGTTGAAGTTGAATTGAATCCACCTAAACTTATTGCTAAAAATACCGTAAATACTAGATTTTTTTTCTTTTTTTTTTGGGGGGGGTTGTGAATATTATATATATAACACACAAACAAAACCAAAGCATTTTGCTTCCAGATTCCAGATTGCACCCTTCCTAGAATCCAACTTTGATATGTGCTGGGCACCAATCAGCAACCTTTGCCTAAAATTGAGCAACGACCAAGGGTTGATCAATCGAGGTATATTTGCAAACTGGTGATTATCACAAAGTTACAAGTTTGATTCGGGAACATGATGATAACGTCAAAAGCAGAATGGTTGGCTTTAGGGTATACCCACATGGATTCTGGAATCTTTTGGTTTTTGCATCCCGGCTGTGACGTCCGGCCTCCGTCTCAGCTCTCATCTACCTGCTTAAGAAGAGAGGCTGCACTTGCAACCACACCGCATAGGACATCCTCCTGAAGGTCTGGTGTAGTGCCGTGTCCCGAAAAAAGAGTCAAAGGGTCGTTTGGACATCCCCGGCTTCTTACTCTCCCAAAACCGCCCTGTAGAGAACATCTGGAACACAATGGGCCAGGAAGTAAAAACAATGCCTGCACATGGCTGGAACTATGCCATGCTTCTAAAAGGCTGCTATATTGCTGCCATCTGGAAATCTGAGGCATTGAAAATCCTCTATCAACATCCATTTGCTAAATTGCAACCACACGTGTTTGATTGCTAAAGGATCGTACAATGACAAGGTACATCACCTTTTTGATACATCTGAGCTCAGAAATTCTTCGACGTCCTCACAGGGCTTCGCAACCAAGACCCTCAGCACTTCAGCCTGATGTCATCAAACATGGCCGGCAAATCTTCATTGAAATGATGAAAAAAACACAAATTCACTGGCTCACTTTGCATTGCAATCTTTTCCAAAGGGTAATCTAACCACCCCAAGTACATGCACTACATGTTTTTTTTGTAAAGAAATTAACCCAGAAACACCTGGTTTTAGTATTGGATCTGTTCGCTTTGGGTGCCCGTTTCAAGATCAAGAGCTCGGAAGAGCCGCATCAAGGAGGGGTCAATAGCCATGATCCTCAAATAGGAACTATATAATCCCATCCCCTGACTGTTGACATCCGCATGGCCACAATGAATCCAGTACTAAACCATGGTTTCCAGGGTTTCTGGAAGGGTAAATTCCAGGATGGATGGGATTACCTATTCTAACCCCTCCCAATGGATTGGTAGGGAACACTTGCAGGAAACCTTAGCTTTTACTGCGCCGCAAGTTGTGCCTCAACCTGAGGATGAACAACACCGCGCAGACTCCAAAGACCTCTGCGGCCATCTGCCAGGCGCTTCCCTTAGATCTGCCAGGCGCTGCAAAGTTCATCGACAAAGTAAATCCTAAAGTCCTAACGGTAGAACTTAGGTCTCAAATAGCTTAAAAACCCTTAGGAATCCCTTAGGGTTTAGCTTGCTTGCAACATTTTTGTCCACTCCAAAGCAATCCGACACAGTGCCACCGAGCATCGGTGATAGTCCAGCTCCTTTAGCCGTGCCTTCACAAATCTCAAGGCGATCCGTAAAGGTGTGAAATCTTCCTGGAGCTCGCTGCAGGCTGATTTAGTAATTCTATCATGAATGAAGATGATGTTTTAAAACGCTATTGATGCTGTGTGATGCCATTTGGCACCTGACAAGATCTCAAAATCATATATATATAAATAGATATAGGCATTGCACGTGTCATGCCAGCAACAAACATGAATGTTTTTCATTTGAAAAGTGGTGAGATGTGGTGAGGGGGCATGAGTTCCCCAACAAAAGATTACCATACATACTTGGCACACTACTAAGAACAAGTGCAATTCGGCCTTGGTAATTGGCCCGTGTGCCGTCAGCCACAACCCATCCCGATAAGGGTTCCAACCTCACCTTGAATTTGAGAAATTCACATACCAATCTCTTTGGAATAATCTCAGCAAATGTGCTACCAAAATCAAGAGCTTTTCAACAGCCCTGCAATGTACTGTCCCAATATCTTAGAGAGCAGTTGGTTTTGAAGCAGGTCAACCAGGATTTATGGATATTTATGGTAGATATATCTTATATAGTTAATGGATGTCCATGGTGGTTGTAAACAAACATCACTGGGGAGCATGTCGTCGCGCCGTCTCCTTGGGCCACACGGGCACTCGGCACAAGATTCCAGGGTCGGCGCCAACGTCCAACAGCATGCGGCAAATCTCCGCGCTACCTGGTGCGACTGGAAACCGTTTCCAGGGGAATCCCAAGACCCGAATGACAAATGGGAGTTAGATATGTGTCATATAAAATATACACACGCATTTATCTGTCTATCTATCTAATCTATTCTAATCTAGTCTAATCTAATCTTCTCTATTTTTTTATCTATCTAATCTATCTATCTAGTCTATCTATCTATCTATCTATCTAATCTAATGTATATAATCTAATCTAATCTAATGTAATGTAGTTTAATCTAATCTAATCTATCTATCTATCTATCTGTCTATCTATATCGACCTATATGTATTATTTATATACATATGGACTGGTTGAATCTGACATGGAAACACCCACATGGTCATGTCCACTAGAACAGGCAGAACAGTCATCTTCCAAGATTCATCTCCCCTGGGACTTCACCCTACAGAGGTGCCTTTGCTGGCAGCAATGTGCAAGGCAGTCCAGCCGTCCTTGTTTTTGCTGTTCCTTGGCAGCAAACTGACGGTGCTTGCGCCGGAGATTGAACCACCTGATGAGGACTCGTATGACCCTCTGGTAATGACTAACATAGCTGTTAGTTTACCAGAGGGTATAACATGTTAAGATGATGATGATGATGATGATGATGGTGATGGTGTTGTTATGATTGCTATGACCATGATTACCTGTGTGAGTGTTACTATTACTATTGTCAGCATGACATGGCTGTTGTTGTTACTGTTTTGTAGGACTGAACTGATATTGCGGCAAACACTGTTTTAAACTATCTCCAACAATACATTAAATGAAACTATAGTAGGCTTAAGAAAATCAGCCCGCAAATGTTGGACTTATGACTGAGTTTACCACATTATCCTGGCTGTGGTTATTCTAATCATTATGCTTTGTTATGATCACTGATCGCTGTTGCTTGCCCTCATGGGTTTGATGATGATGTTACCTGCTTCCGCTCCCCTGGTGATCTAATCGGGCGATCAATGGTGACTTTTCCAGCCCAGCTTCGACTACCTTACCAAAAGGCGAAAAAACAAACACCCCAACAATCAATTCTAGATGATATGTTCCTCGGAAATAGTTTGTTAATTGTTGAGTTGCGTATAAAGCCAACCTTGATTAAAACTTTTGTTGGGTCCAACCCCCAGCTTGGGCTTCCCCAAAAAATCGGCAGCCGTAAGAAGAATCAATTGTTTCTCCGCGCTTGCCCTATGAACATTGCAATAAAATAGGGGTCGACCGAAACAAAAAAAACAATCAACAACACATCAGTTGGAGGTCTAGGCCGCATTTTTTAAACAAAAACGCACTCGGTCCTACCAAGTCTACTGTAGCCTTCAGCGCTCAGCGTCACATCTGCTCCCAGCGCGATGGCCTGCTGAATGAATTCCTCCTCCGTCCGCTGCGCCGCAGAGTGCAACTGCTGATTGAGCCGGACTTCGTGGGAGAAGGTGTCTTCCAACATGGCCTAAGGTGAAGCAACTGAAAATTGAGATCAGATTGAACAGAATGAGTAGAGAACTGGGATAATGATATGTACATATATAATCAAATATATATGCAAGTTATAGACGGATAGAAAAACGTATAGAGCAATATATATATAATATAATATAATATATATATATATACAAATAGATGGAATATCACAATTCGATCCCAATCAAGGGCCGCTGTAATCCTCTTGCCAACCATATCATATCCTTAGGCTTCATCCAGTGAGGTGGGCACCAATGGATGACTCCAAGTACATATGCTCTCCATGAGGTTCACTTCCAAGGAATCCACAAGACCATGGGAATGCGGTTTTGCAATCACCCAAATAGAATTTCCCTCAAAATAGTCATAAAATGTTGGCGTTTAGCATTGCTGAGCACAATCATTGCAAACAAACGCAATGATTCAATCAAACTATATGAAGGTCTGAAACTGTGTCATTTATGGTCAGTTATATTTCACATGTATATAAATGCAAACAGATCGAGAATCACACGTCGATCAATATCATACTTTATTTGAAAAAAAATACACTGACGTATATTAATTCATATATAGTCGGCTTGTCTGAAAAAAGGCAGCCAAAATTTCCTGGTGAATCATCACCCGGAAAGCTCCCAATTTCAGGCGACCCCGGGCCCCAAAGCCCAGATCCACCGCCGGGACACTCGTAGCCCCGGAAAGGTCGCGGCAAAGGTTTCGGCCTTCGCATTCTTTGGCAGCGTCGTTCCGCTGCGACATGGTTTGGAGGGCGTAAGGAGCCAGGCCTGGAGGGGAATGTCGTGAAGAATCAATTCCCAAATCCTAAAAACCTTTGGAAAGATGCATATGTATATAAGATCTAATATTATATATATATGCGTATATGTATATATATATGACTTAGATTTATATTATATAACATGGATACAACGTGTGAAAAAAGTATGACATAATATACTACAACATCTCTCTCCATCGCCCTCTCCATGCGTGCAATTTCATTTTTTTTGATCTGGATGTACTACAAAGGGACATCTGTAGGCAAACCAGTATTTTTTCCCCAGTTTTAGGTGTTTCCTGTAAATGTTCCCTTCATCCTATGGGAGGTTGGTGTTTGAGCCGCACGTCCCAAAACTATCAAGACATAAGAACATCAAGGGATCATCATCCCAACACGTGGAAGAAATATGTGAAACATGTATGAAATGAATAAATAAAAATAAATAAATAAATATACATATATATATATATGTACATGTTATTAGTACATATGCCCATATATATATATATATGTATATATGTTGCAACTACCAACAAACTTTTTGTGGTATCATGATTGGTCTCCTAACAGCTAAATGTAGTTGTGGTAGTTATAAACCCAGTTTCTGTGGGATAGAATCCAACGGACACGGGCGCATTATTGTAGACATGTAACCCCTAAGCCAGGGCATAGAGGGAATATTCTGACTAGTTCTGGAGTTTTTTGAGAACTTTTCCCATATGGGGACATATGGGGATAAAACATTTCAGGGAAAAACACATACTGACATATACTGACCCTTCACTCCAGGGATCAGCGTCCGGCACATTTCGGCACATCCCTCATTGGTCAATATGGGTGACAGCATTGGATTGATGACCTCCTCACCCTGTAAACACCGAGATACCACAGATCTCAATGTGGCAGATGGCACCTGAGTCAGCTCTGAAACATAAGATGACCATGGGTGACCAACTTCAGATTGGATCAAGTTTGCCTGCAAAAGCGAATGCTTTGATGCATGAACTTCTCATCAACATTTTAAGTCTCTTTCGGTAGCCCTTGTAGAAATTGACAATCTGGACTTGGATCTGGGAATGAGAACAGCTATTTTTGCTCCTGTATGCCACAGGTACTTGCTACGCTCGGTAGGAAGTTCGGCAGAGAGACTAAGTCTGGCAATGGCGAGGTGCGACATGCAGGTTTAAATGTCACGTGAGACGTTGTTATTCATTTACCATGAGTGATGTGTTTTTCCCGCGCCGTTCTGTCTGTTTCAGGCTCTGAAGGCAATCACACGGCCATCTCAGAACATCCCGGCTTCCATCTCGGCCATCTCCGCCATTTCCTTGCGCATCTTGGTATCAAAACTCTCCTTCCTCTCGGCCTTGGGTGCTGGTTTTTTGGCGCTGCTGGAGCTTGCGACGCTTGCGGCGCTCTTTGAGGCAGCCTTTTTCTTCTTCCTGGCTGGCTTCAACTCCAAAACGTCTGGCTGCAAAGCCAGAAATCTTTGCAAAGCTGTCACTGTCTGCTTACCCAAACCAGAATCCAAGGGGCCCGGATTGCAGCCCCGCTGCGTCAGAAATTTCTGCAGGGCCAGGATGGTTGCTGCACCCATGTCACCATCTTCCTTGCCCTTGTATAAGGGTGGAGACTCCCTTTCCTCTTCATTCTTTAAGAAATTTTGGAGAGCCATGGCGGACTTCTTGCCCCAAGAGCCATCCACCTTGCAGTCCTGCTCCTCATCCTGCAAAAATTGCTGGAAAAGCTCCGTGTTCTTCCCACCATCCCGAACGCCTTTCTTGAAGTCAACATCATAGCCCTCATCTTTCAAGAAGAGCTGAAGAGCCTTTTCGGTGCTGCCACCCCAATCGCCATCTTCTGCACCGCAGTAGAAGCCTTCCTGGTTGAGGAATTTCTGTAGTGCAGTCACGGACTTCTTCCCGAAATCGCCATCTGCCGAAGATTCCAAAAGGCTCGGCATGGCTTTGGAAGCTTGTGGTCGTTACATTAAATGACTTGCGCCAAAATGACGTGAGCCGTAGCTATTGGCCTTCTCTTTCCGAGCTTCGTGCGGGGGGGTGGCTGTTTGCGCAAGCTGGTGGGCCTTCTCTTTCAGGGTCATTATATAACCATCCCGAACCCCTATTATCATGGGATTAATTAAAAATCTATTCATCCCAAGGGTGACCCGCCAACAGTAGCTCGTTAATCAGTGCTTAGTAGTGGTTGTTGGTGGTCCATAAGTTTATAAGCCCTGATCCTTAATAAATCCTTGTTGTTGTGGGGGTCATCTCTGGATATTAGGATGCAATATTATAAAGCCCCCCCAACAGCTAGAAGAACAGGATTTCATCACACAGACTTTTAGCATGATTTTACTACGTTAGTATGATTTTACGCATCTGTCTTTTTGTGGTTGCTTTCTCTTCTCAACAGCTCGAGGCACAACAGCTGGTTTCGACCACGAAATCCAGTGCTGAAGAACGATGCGCAGGGCCACCACGGCCACATCGCCATCCTCTGCCAGGTCTGTCAGCAAGGAAAGGTCCTCGATGGTCGACATGATGTCATCCGCATAAGCCATGTCTCCTTCAACTTAATCACTATAACCCAGTTTATAAGTATTTATAGATAGATGAATAATAAATAATTAGATAAATAGATCAATAGGGGGATAGATAGTTGGTTGCCCATGCGGAGTCATCCGTCCATGTTGCAAACTTGACTAGTTCAGTGCCTAGGTTAAAAACTCATCTGCAAAGAAAATAAAGAAGGACATTGTCCATCGCCACTAAAGAAAAAACCAGATCACCGAACAATGAAACAAATAATAGTTCTTTGAAAAATTGTGGTTCATTCTCATATATATATATATATATACATAGTTCATAGAATGTAAAAAATATACACATACATGTATATATATATATATAATATATATATATGTATAATTGCATGTCATAGTGTATATAACTATATATATATGTATATATTTGCATTTTATGAACAAACATCACCATTCCTCACTATTGTATAGTGTAAATAAATATTTCTATAAATTTATATTACATATAGTCATATAATATGTCTTATCCAAACATCAACATTCATCTTGCTGCGGCTCCCGCGCCTCTTCGCCGCTGAGGCCCTCTGGCGCCTCGACGCTGCGGAGGTTCCCGAACCACGCCGTGAGGAAGCGGCGGCCGAAGGTGGCCATGGGGCAACGGCAGGACACTAAGATGATAAAGAACTACCAATGAGTATAATAATCCATATACTTATGTATATATATATATATAGTAAAATATCATCATCATCATATGTATATATATATATATATGGGTAATGTAAACTATATTGAAATTATAGTATGTATATACTATATATTTATACTATCCTATGCCAAAGTATGCGTAATGCGTATCTTATTACGAAAGAGAAGGCATCCTTCCTTTGACATCGCTTGATCGTTTCTGTTACCCCATAACCAAGGTGAATTTTACCGTTCGATTTTGGGGTTGGTGACCTATCTGACAGCAAAATGGAAGATGAGGGATTTACATGATTTATGCAAATTGATTTGGGGATCTGCCAAAACATTGTTTTCCCAGAACAATGCACACGTCTTGCGCTTTATGACTGTCTCTGCAATCATGTATTTAATAGAGCTTTGGAGCCCCAAACACCTTGATTCCAAAGTCCGTGTTGGACCCGCCGGTTTTCCAAGGTTCTTTTTGTTGAAGGACTAGGCCACTAGGCCCCATGAAAAGCAATTAATTACATATGCTTATTGATTGAATTTTCATTGGCCGACCCCAGACTCTACTGTACAAGCTGATCAAACACTATATAATTAATCGGGCTGACTGGCTGGCCCTCCAACAACAGAACACTTTCCTTCCAAGCCTCTCCAAGTGAAAACCATACACAGAACCTCCACAGAACTAACTATGGATGCAGTCGCTCATGTTACAACTGCAATTTCTTGATCTAAACATTATCGCAACCATTGAAAGGAATTACACACACAACAGCACTCCAGAAGCTTGCAGAAGCTTGCAGCTTGTGCAAGCTTGCTGCGTCATCGAAGTATCGCTTCCGCCACTAATTATTTTTAATTGGCGAAGGTGACGTAATCACCATCCACAAAAACCTGAAAGAAACTATGCTATGGCTTATGGCTATCCTAACAAACTAGCATGGTTTCCGCGCGGTTTTTTGTGGAATCTCTTCTGACAACATGCCATCCGTGTCCCACTTTTTCCCAATCAATTTGCGCTCGCTCTCTGGCAAACCTGTCGCCAAAACACCACCTGCGATATCGCTGGAAGAAAACGGCAAACATGGAGATATAATGGAATCCAACGAACATATGGGATTCATGCAGAAAAACACTTGGGATTTAACATCATTTTTTCACAACAACGTTGGGATGGAATGGGATCATAGGGGATATTTCACATGTTTTCGATTGTCCAGTGAACAGTGGACAGTTATGGTGGTCTCGGTTCCCTAGGAAATGACCACCAAATGGTGGATTTTGATGGATTTTGACACATTTCTGTATAGTTTACTGATGTTTACTGGGCGCTGTCTTGGGAAAAGAACCTCAACATGACTTCTGAATGGTTTTTTCAATGACATACGGTACGGGAAACAAAAAAACATTCTAGGTGCCTCTGTGGGAGGTTTTGTCAAATGACTTTCTTTTTCAGTTGCTGTGACGTTCATGACCCCCCCCAGTCACCACCCATTCTGCTTGCTAGCTCCCCTTCCGACATGTTCCAATTTGGACGCTTTGATTTTTCTTTACAATTATTGAAGTCTATCGTCGTTGCAGTTCTATTGGGTATGGCTCAAAAACCATAATTTAGGGGATTACCATCCATTTACGAGCTATTTGATGTTTACCCATGTAGGGCTTTGACCAATCACACGATTCAGATTGGTTAACCAAAACTTGAAGCATCATGAAGCAAAAACAACAATTCTAATCTATCCATATCTCTCCACTTTTAAGCTAACACCAACCATCTGAAACTTAGACCAACATCAACTGAGGTAAACCGGGGATTATGGCCTGCAATCCCGACCACCCAAAAATAGATGATGAAATCGTTTTTTTTCTGACTTCAATTTGCATCAATTTGCCATAAAACTCGGCCCCATGATGTCAAAACCGGAGTAAGAAACCCCATGCTGATGAATTAAACTTCAAAATATTTCAAAATTCTATCAAAGTAGTGGACCGCTTTATCAGTTTATTCAAGTTATTCATGCCTTGTTTTGGAAAACCAGTAGACCAGTGATTTTCATCCAGCTGTACCGTCGCTGCATGATGCAGCCCAGGCTCGTCTCACTCGTCCATCCCAATGAGGCACATCTCTGTCTTGAAGTCCTCCTCCATCTCCAGGTTCGTGGCTCGGGGGGACATTCCATCGGAGAGACCTGCCGCTAGTGGATTGGAAAGGAAAACAAGGGAAAAACATGGAAAACCGTATGCAAATTGAAACAAAAACATTGTTTCCTTTAGGTTTTTTTATTGGATCTTGATATTCTCCGTCAGGGTTTGCTTTCTTTTCCTGTAGATTAACTATTTCCCAGTAAATGCAACATCTTGATGTTCCATCCATGCTTGCAGGTGCTCTGTCTCGGTGATTTTGCATATACGATCATTTATACGGCTGATTTTGGATAAGAATTTGGGCTGGAAGTAGGCACTGGTAATTTCCGGATCAAGGGAATGTAGGTGGGTCAATGCATAGACACCCCTCACCTGCATCGCTCCTCTACCGTCAACCGTCAACTGATTATGTCGCAGTCACCAACTTCGATGCCCACCAGCCAGACTCGATTATATATATATAAAACCCAACGCATCAAATAATAATCGTCATTTACTCTGTTAACACCAAGTCCAATGGTTTCAAGTCTTAAATATCTATCTTACTTTTGTATGCATCCCTATGAACAAACACCAACCTACCATCATACCCACCGATATCATCAACCACAATCATGCCATGTGAACATGGATCATAATTTGGGTGCCCCGGAATGCGATGAAAACTCGTTGTCCTACGGGTCTCTAGTTTTGACTCAATCAAACTACTATGTTTTGCAGTCATTTCCATTTCCATGCTAATAATCCTGATCTTGCAAATTCTAAAACCTATTTACTCCTCCATTACCATCTGTCAAGACTACCAAGTGTTTACCCAGAATATAAGCAATTCCCAAGCTGGATCCAAATTAGGGCAACCCTCTAACCATACCCCCTCAAATCCCATTATATTCCGTTTTATGCCGCTTATATCACTATATATACATACATAATATATATATATATCCGGTATGTTCCCATGATATCCCATTATACTCTATTATGTCATATGCCATTTTCCTTATATCCTATTGTATCCTATTATGTCAATGTTGTCCTATTAAATTTCACGAGCTCCTGGGATTTTGTGATTTTTAGGAAATATTGGGTATTAAGGTCAAGATGCAATATTTGGTGCAGTGTACGCGCACAAGGGTGGCACCAAAAAACTTAAGCGTCAAGGTTTGCACCGGTTTGCACTGGATCAGCCTTCCATAAATGGAATTGGTCTAATTAATCGTTCAGAAAAAATGAAACGGTCGGAAACGGTCGGAAACGGTCGGAAACGGTCGGAAACGGTCGGAAACATGATCAGGCCAAAACTTGTCCAACCCGCATTTTTTTAAAAAGCCTTTCCGCGCAACGCCGTTTTTTTTTTGAAGGTCCAAAGCTGTCCAAGGGGAAACGGTTGGAAACAGTTGGAGATCGCACCTTCGCTCGGCAAAAAAAAACATGTTTTTACACAATTTTCAATCATTTTTCATGAACATATGCTACAAAACAACAACTTTTTTGCCGAGTGAAGGTGCGATTTCCAACTGTTTCCAACCGTTTCCCCTTGGACAGCTTTGGACCTTCAAAAAAAAAACGGCGTTGCGCGGAAAGGCTTTTTAAAAAAATGCGGGTTGGACAAGTTTTGGCCTGATCATGTTTCCGACCGTTTCCGACTGTTTCCGACCGTTTCCGACCGTTTCATTTTTTCTGAACGATTAATTAAACCAATTCCATTTATGGAAGGCTGATCCAGTGCAAACCGGTGCAAACCTTGACGCTTAAGTTTCTTGGTGCCACCCTTGTGCGCGTACACTGCACCAAATATTGCATCTTGACCTTAATATCCAATATTTCCAAAAAATCACAAAATCCCAGGAGCTTGTGAAATTTAATATGTTGTCCCTATTATTGTATGTATTGTAATTAATGTGTTCCCTTATATCTTACTATGCCCTAGTATGTCCTGTGTTTTGCCCTTATATCCCACGTCTTCTATATTGTATCATATCCCATTGATTCCCCTATTACATCCCACTGTATCTTATTATATACCATGTTCCGTCAGTATTCCCCCCCATATTTCATCATAAAATACTTTGGTTTCCCTTTCTATCCTACCTTTTCCTATTATATCAATCTTGACAAACATTACTTTACTTCGAGTCATCCCCACCATGACATTTATACGTTTTGTTACTGGCGAATCTTCTGGCATTCTATCTGGCATATCTTCTGGCAATCTATCTGGCATTCTATCTGGCATATCTTCTGGCATTCTATCTGGCAAACATTCTGGCACTTTATCTGGCATACCTTCTGGCATTCTATCTGGCATACCTTCTGGCATTCTATCTGGCATATCTTCTGCCATTCTATCTGGCATACCTTCTGGCATTTTATCTGGCATATCTTCTGGCATGCTATCTGACATTCTATCTGGCGTTCTGACTGGCATATCTTCTGGCATTCTATCTGGCATATCTTCTGGCATTCTACCTGGCAAATATTCTGGCATATCTTCTGGCACTCAATCTGGCGTATCTTATGGCATTTTATCTGGCATATCTTCTGGCATTCTATCTGGCAAATCTTCTGGCGTTCTATCTGGCAAACATTCTGGCACTTTATCTGGCATACCTTCTGGCATTCTATCTGGCATACCTTCTGGCATTCTATCTGGCATATCTTCTGGCATTCTATCTGGCATATCTTCTGGCATTTTATCTGGCATATCTTCTGGCATGCTATCTGACATTCTATCTGGCGTTCTTTCTGGCAAATCTTCTGGCATTCTATCTGGCATATCTTCTGGCATTTTATCTGGCATATCTTCTGGCATGCTATCTGACATTCTATCTGGCGTTCTATCTGGCATATCTTCTGGCTGAGCTCTGAAGGTCCCAGGTTGAGGTCCAGCGGTGCCCACTGAGCTCTGAATGTCCCAGGTTGAGGTCCAGCGGTGCCCACTGAGCTCGGAAGGTCCCAGGTCGAGGTCCAGCGGTGCCCACTGAGCTCTGAAGATCCCAGGTTGAGGTCCAGCCGTGCCCACTCAGATCGGCAGCCGGCAGTTGAGTTCCAGTAGTGCCCACTGCGCGCAGAAGTTGGCGAAGAGATTGTCGAAGAGTTGGCAAGGCGGAAGTGGACATGGAAGTGGATGCAGACATGGTCGAGGAGAAACTGGAGGAGGAAGAGGAGGAGGCGGAGGAGGAGGAGGAGAAGGAGGATGAGGAGAACAGCTCTGATAAAATCTAACAACCCTCACCTGGCAGGTGGGGAAATATGGACATAGTTTCAACTTTACAACTAATAATATATATATATACATATCCAAAAACCTATCCTTCGCCAGCCGTGGCACAGAAACTCTGACTCCGCGACATAGGCGGAGTCTGCGGCTGCGGACGCAGGGACGGTGAGGACAAGCTGCGCGGCAGCGTGTCGCGGCGCCGTGGCAGCTTGTCCCACTCCTGCGATGAAGTCATTGCTCATTTTATACAGGGACTAATTACATAACAATAACAATACACATTTATATACACATATATACATATATATATTATAAATATATATGTATATGAGATAAACATGTATGTATGTATGTACGTCTGTCCGTCCGTCCGTCTGTCTGTCTGTATGTGGGTGTGTGTATGTGTGCATGTCTGCATGCCTGTATGTCTGTATGTCTCTATGTCTGTATGTCTGTATGCCTATATGCCTGTATGCCTGCCTGCCTGTATGCCTGCCTGCCTGTGTGTATGTATGTACGTATGCATGCATGGATGGATGGATGTCTGTCTGTCCGTCTGTCTGTCTGTCTGTGTGTCTGTCTGTGTGTGTGTCTGTCTGTCTGTATGTCTGTATGTATGTATGCATGAATGCATGTATGCATGTAATCATGTATGCATGTATGCATGCATGCATGTATGCATGTATGCATGTATGCATGTATGCATGTATGCATGTATGCTTGTCTGCATGTCTGCATGTCTGCATGTCTGCATGTCTGCATGTCTGCATGTATGCATGTATGCATGTATGCATGTATGCATGTATGCATGTATGCATGTATGCTTGTATGCATGTATGCATGTATGCATGTATGCATGTATGCATGTATGCATGTACGCATGTATGCATGTATGCATGTATGCATGCATGCATGCATGTATGCATGTATGCATGTATGCATGTATGCATGTATGTATGTATGTATGTATGCATGTTTGTATGTATGTATGTATGTATGTATGTATGTAACTTATGACTTTTAGAACTTACAACTTGACCGATACATCATATTTGTATGTCACATGGTGTGAAGACGGGGTTATTTGAATTCCAAAGGATATACATATATATATATACATACATGTGTAAACAAGCAGAAACAATATCACAGCGCAAACTGATTCTCGATATTTAAGGTATGTTAAGATCTCAGCTCATGCATATTAGATGATATTAACGTAGACTAACATATTAATGGTATTAACCAATATTAACCACAATGTCCAGGTTCAAAGTGACCCTTTTCAGGTGGTCAAGTGACCCTTTTTGGGGTTCAGCGACTTCAGCCCCGTGCACGGTGACCTCGGAACGACTTCCAGGCAAACGAGAAGCGTTGTAGGGAGCCTTGACTGCGGAGGGTTATGTTAAACGCGGTTCCACGAATGGATGTGGGTTATGTTAAACCATAGGGATGCATACAGATTATGATGATGATGGTGACGATGATGAGGGTGATTATGATGATGATAATGATGATGATGATGATGGTGATAGTGACGGTCATTATGATAATGATGATGATGGTGACGGTCTTGATGACAATGATGATGGTGATGATGGTGACGATGATGATGATGATGGTGATGATGGTGACGATGATAAGGGTGGTAATGATGATGATGATGATGATGGTGATGGTGATGATGATGATGAAAGTGGTAGTGACGGTCATGATGATAATGATGATGATGGTGACGGTCATGATGATAATGATGATGGTGACGATGATGATGATGATGATAATGATGATGATGATGATGATGATGATGATGATGGTGACGACGACGATGAAGATGATGCTGACGATGATGATGATGATGCTGATGATGATGATGGTTATGATGGTGACGACGATGAAGATGATGCTGACGATGATGATGATGATGGTGATGATGATGATGATAGTGGTGATGATGATGATGGTGATGATGATGTAACCCATACCATATATATATATATATGTCATATACCATATGAGATCCGTGAAATCCCATGAACCCCAACTGCACCAGTATGTAAAACTCAATATAGCAAACAATAATCCAATGTCCGGGATTTGAGAGGATCCAACATTTACCACAACAGAATTGTGAGGTGGCAGCGATGTGAAATAGTGAACACATGTGTGGAACCTTGAATCATGAAAACCCCCAGTGACTTTTTTTTTTAAGACTTGCCATATGGTACAGTATGGGCTTTATATATATATATATTGGATATGTATATATATATACATATGTAGTGAATATCAAAACATGCGTTCAAGAAATAGCTACCCAAAAAAAAACTAAAACAAATATAGTAATATCCTGCTGAAATGGTGGTAAATTAAAAACTGTATACCTTGTATATATATATATATCAGTATATATATATACACACATGTTTTTTTTAATGGACCACATGATTAGGTTTCAACACTTTCTCCTGCGTCTGCTGCAAAGTCACTGCGGCGGAAACATCATCCTGAACGTGCAGGGGAGACCATCATGGGGTTCCTCGCCTTTGGCTTGTTGGGGCTGAACCAGAAGATCTATGGAATCTATCTGAATCTATCTGAATCTATCTGAATCTACCCTCTGGATCCCTCTGGTAGTTTCACAAAGCTAATTGTTAAATCACCATATTTGATTGGTGAATCAACGAACTAAATGGGCCATGGATTCCACTGGCGGGATTTCTTGGGGTCCTCTGGGATCCACCTAATACCAATCATCACCATCATCAAGGGCACTATTCTGACTATGCCTATTATATCTTATTATTGATATTGATGTCACTTCTATCACTTGAAAATTGGTGTCAATATATGTACATGTGTATATAAAACATAGTATCTACATCCATACAGTTATCTATTATATATATACACATATTATCAATACGAACAATTTAGATATAATTATATATAAATAGAATATATATATATGTGTGTATGTAGCTATACATATATATATATACATATTATCATTGATACTCCTATACGACTGTTATACTATGTTCCAATGTTATTATCAATTATTCACATGATTACCATCACTATATATGAAAGTCAGATCCCGCCCTCTACGTCGCGCCTCGCTGCTGACGCCTTCCGGAAAGTGCGGCTCTTGAAACAGCCATGGCGTCTGCGCGAAACGCTGCAAAACCTCAAAGTCTTCCAAACCTCGCCACGGGGACGAGTTGGGGTTGGAATGGTGGGGGGCAAGGGAGTTAAAGGGCGAAGGTGAAGGAAACTTGGAACACTTCAGTTTCATGGGTTTTGAATGATTTCGGTCATTTTCACACTATTTTGATATGTGAAGTTGGTAGATGTATTGGCACGAATTTGAGGCGTTCCTCCGAAGAAAACAAGATCAGGATGAAAACTGAGACGATGATCGCAAAAAGTCACAGTAAGTGACAAACTCAGCACAGTAGTAGGGTAGTGACTAATTAGAAGCACCATTGCCAGTTGCAAACCACCAAGGGTGGCGAAATGTGGTGAATGTTCCTGATCGTCGATGTTGCGTCAAAATATCCAAGTTGTTTGTGCAGCACCAGCAACCAGTTGAACATCCCAAGTTTTCCACCCTGTGACTACGTCAATAGTCAATACCCAGCATTTCCCGAAAGAAAACATCAACATCGGCCCTGTCCTCTACCAAGGGAGCTTTCACCAAGATACTGTGGGCTCCAATGCCCCCCAATTGGTTCAAGGGCCCGCAACTTCGATAAACTTCGTCATAGCGGGCCACTTTACCTGGCTGAGGGTTGTCATCTGAGGCTGAACTCGGTTGGGGATGTTGGCGTCTTGTCCGTTGGTGACGGGCATTCAGGATGCAAGGTCCTTTTGTTTCGGCCCCTGGTTTGCCTTGTTGGGAGGCAAGTCAACTACTTCCCACACAAGTCTTCACATAACTGACATAACTTTACTGCAACAAATCTCCCGCACACCGTCGGCCAAGGGCCAAGGAACAATATCTCAAAGCAGTCTTGGAGGCATGCCAGGCATGCTGGAGATTCTGACGTTCATCATCCACCAGAATCACCTGGGCTGAACTTATGAGGCCCAGAGGGATGGTAGATATATGTTTATAGGCACCTAGTCTGAAAATGGTGGATACGCGTCGATACCCCCAAATGACAATTTTAATAGGAAAAATATGGAAAATGATGATCAAGTATGATAATATCCATTCGAATTGAGGGTAATTACCCGATTTTCCGACAACCCCTTAAAATGTTAGTGCTGGTTGGAGAACCAATTTATAATTCGCCATATTCACCTGCCCCGATGACAGGACAAGCCACGCTCTCGGGCCGGAGGGTGGTAAGCCGTGGGTGGGCACCCTGCAAAAGTGCAAGAAATGGGGTACCAGCAGGGACGCAGGTGGGTTTGCGGTATACAAGGGATAAAACCAAGAATAAAACAATACATGTCATACATTGTCATACTGTATCTAACTGTATCCAACTGTTAACTTTTGCTCCCTTGCGCGTTCATCGCGTTCTATTTTAAAAAACATGAATATTCAAGTCAATGGAGTTGAAGATGCAGGGGATGGAGCACCATGCTACCCCCTTTGAATGATGATGTATACCTAAAATGCACGTACATATGGCCGTATGGGTTTGTCGGAAAATAGTAGTTTATCATTACTTTCACATTCATGATATTCATACTGTTTTGGGGTATACCCCACCTGAGGGAAAAAAACACCAATATACTGTATCCGATCTGTCTATCCGTACATATATGGCCTTCACAAAGGGCGACCTTTACCAAAGGTTCTCTTCTAACTTCCAAGCCGCCCATCAATTTCTTCTGCAATTCAAGCTGTTTCACAGGTCCTTCCTGCGCGACTCCAATGTAAAATAATGCCAACGAACGAAGGCTAACCAGTGGCAACTTGTTGATTTGTTGATACAATACAAATCGCCTAGATTTAGATACCCCTAAAAGAGGACAAAGTGGTGTCGAAGGCATCTTTCCCACGCAAAAGAGTTGATTGAAATTTCAGCAACCCTATTCTTTCCTTTGTAGAATCACAAAAGTAGGTTTTTCGATAAATTCACATCATACTTTTAGACAAGCACCTATTCTAGATATCTATCATCCTGTTTCCTTTAGAGTCCTCCATTGTTTCCTCATGTTGAATCAGAATCCCTGCAAGATCCCTGCCTCCAGCATTTGAGGAAACCACCTGATGGGATTGGCCACCTCAAAACATGGCTTTCCGAGCACAAGGGGATGGCACTCAACGTGATAAAAAACACGTCATCGAAATTTATCATTTGTGATATTTAAATATTTAATATATAATTTTTGTGATCATACAGTCAACCCAAGAGCTTGCAACGGACAAGACTAAGCATATGTTTCTTTCTTTCTTTCTTTCTTTCTTTTCAATGCCTGCACCCTGTGCACCCGCTAAAGCAGGAACGGCGGCGCACTGTCCGTGGAAAAAAACCGCACCGGCCAGGCTGACAATGGGGACATGAATAACCATTCTGGACCATTCCCATGAAACAGGGTGAGAATGGTATTTATCTTCGAACATTTGCAGGGATATGGATCACTCTATCTTTGACACAACGCGAATTAAAATGGGAAAATTATGACACGTGCCAGAATATATCCCAACATGCTTATCATGAAGCACCGGATTTGACCAAAACACTGTGGAAGTCCATACGCAATATGTATTGATGACTTTCACCAAATTGGTCAGGGCACACCTGCGGGGCTATAGGCTGAACCCCACAACTCACAACGTGGCCACCCACTTGGCCCAGTTCCAGGAGTTGCCACTGCTGCCAGGACGCAATGTGATGAAGGATTTCCTTGGACAGGATAGTTGAGCAACAGCAAAGGTCACAAATCTTGAAACGTTCTGCTCACGTGTCGCTTCGGACTGTTCCTCCTCTTTTCTTTTGGTCCAAAAAAAACGGAAAAAGTATCATCGTTCATGTTTCTAGAAGCAATTTATCCAACACAAAGAGACAAATTTAGCCCAAAACTATGGGGAACTCTGACACTGAGCACTGATCGCTCAGCTGCCCCTTGCCGTTAGTTTAGTCCAATGGTCCACGGCTTCAGTTGCTTAGATTGTTCAAATCTTACCCATCTCAAACTCCCCCATCGTAAAATATCAATACTTTGGTAAACCCAATGTCAAAAACCATCCCCACTATTTCTATTAGGGATTTCAACCATCCGAACCAGTCATGGTAAGTTTTTGGGGGGTTCCCCACATTAAACTAGCGCTTCACCTATCCATAGCTGCCTGGTCTCGGTCTTTTCATCTGCCACCTCCAGCACCGGCGGTTCAAAGTCCTGCCAAATGCCGCTGGGCGAACGAAACACGCCACAGGTCACTTGCCTGAGAAAAACGGCGGGAGAAAGTCTGGGGTGGCCCTACACGCAAAATGTTGTACATAGGTCCTGTTGTTACTATTATGAGGAATTAAGAGTATTAGATTTAATTACTGTGATTATTAATATTTAAGCACTTATATATACTAGACGACGGATGGCCCGAGAGCGTAGAGGAGCAGGGTCTTCTCTCGTTAGTATGGAGACGCAATTTTAGAAACGATATATGAAAGCTGTGTTATAGGCAGTCGAGAAGAGGAGTATCAAGACAAAATAGCGAGAAGTGCAAGACAATAGTTTGCACCGCAAACACTTTTACACACAGACGCTTTTACACAGACGCTTTTACACACAAAGCTTTTACCCACAGAAGCTTTTACACACAGAAGCTTTTACATACAGAAGCTTTTACACACAGAAGCTTTTACATACAGAAGCTTTTACACACAGACGCTTCTACACAGACACTTTACACACAGAAGCCTTTACACACAGACACTTTTACACACAGACCCTTTTACACACAGGAGCTGCTTTTACACACAAACGCTTGTACACACAGAAGCTTTTACACATAGACGCTTTTACACACAGGCACTTGTACACACAAACACTTTTACACACAAACACTTTTACACACAGACGCTTTTACACGCAGACGCTTTTACACACAGAAGCTTCTACACACAAACGCTTTTACACACAGACGGTTTTACATACAAACACTTTTACGCAGAAACACTTTTACACACAGACGCTTTTACACACAGACGGTTGCTTTTACACACACACACATTGCCCCTGTCACACAGAAACACCTGTTACACAGAAACCCTGGTGCACACACACCATTTTACACAGAGACGCTTTAAGACGCAAACCCTTTTACACACAGACACTTTTACACACAAAAGCTTTTACACACAGACACTTCTACACAGATGCACTTCTACACGCAAACACTTTTACACACAAACATCTTTACACAGAAACACTCTTACACACAAACCCTTTTACAAAGAGACACTTTTACACACAAAGCTTTGACACACAATTGCTTTTACACAGATGCACTTGTACACAAAAACACTTTTACACACAAACATCTTTACACCGAAACACTCCGACACACAAACACGTTTACACACAAACACTTTTTACACACAGAAGCTTTTACACACAATCACGTTTAAACAGATGCAATTTTACATACAATCACTTGTACACACCAACATCTTTACACAGAAACACTCGTACACACAAACCCGTTTACACACAAAGACTTTTACACACAGAAGGTTTTACACACAACACTTTTACACAGATGCACTTGTCCACACAAACACTTTTACACACAAACATCTTTACACAGAAACGCTCGTACACACAAACCTCTTTGCGTGCGAAAAAGTTACTCCAGCACACGAAAAATCGCAATTTTACCTCAGTTTTTGCCGATCGACCCTCATTTCGTGCGAAAGGGTTGCTCCGGCACACGAAAAATCGCAATTTTACCTCAGTTTTTGCCGATCGACCCTCATTTCGTGCGAAAGGGTTGCTCCGGCACACGAAAAATCGCAATTTTACCTCAGTTTTTGCCGATCGACCCTCACTTCGTGCGAAAGGGTTGCTCCGGCAACGAAAAATCGCAATTTTACCTCAGTTTTTGCCGATCGACCCTCATTTCGTGCGAAAGGGTTGCTCCAGGACAAGTCAAATCGCAATTTTACCTCAGTTTTTGCCGATCGACCCTCATTTCGTGCGAAACGGTTGCTCCAGGACAAGTAAAATCGCAATTTTACCTCAGTTTTTGCCGATCGACCCTCATTTCGTGCGAAAGGGTTGCTCCGGGACAAGTCAAATCGCAATTTTACCTCAGTTTTTGCCGATCGACCCTCATTTCGTGCGAAAGGGTTGCTCCGGCACAAGTCAAATCGCAATTTTACCTCAGTTTTTGCCGATCGACCCTCATTTCGTGCGAAAGGGTTGCTCCGGCACAAGTCAAATCGCAATTTTACCTCAGTTTTTGCCGATCGACCCTCATTTCGTGCGAAAGGGTTGCCGTTTCGTGACTCGCCGCCGGTACCACCCTCGGCCTAAAGAGAGAAAGATAAAGAAGGCGAGAGAGAGAAAAAGGAGAGAGAAAGGAGAGAAGATGTGAAGGTGAGAAGATGTGAGAGAAGGTGTGAAGATGAGCAGATGTGAAGATGAGCAGATGTGAGAGAAGATGTGAAGATGAGCAGATGTGAGAGAAGATGTGAGAGAAGATGTGAAGATGAGCAAATGTGAAGATGAGCAAATGTGAAGATGAGCAGATGTGAAGATGAGCAGATGTGAGAGAAGATGTGAGAGAAGATATGAAGAAAGATGAGCAGATGAGAGAAGATGTGAGAGAAGATGTGAGAGAAGATATGAAGATGAGCAGATGTGAAGATGAGCAGATGTGAGAGAAGATGTGAAGATGAGCAGATGTGAAGATGAGCAGATGTGAAGATGAGTAGATGTGAAGATGAGAAGGTGTGAAGATGAGAAGGTGAGATACAGACCCCCACTATCGGAAGAACCCTGCGCTCAGACGCTCTCGGGAATAATATAAATAAACATGTATGTATGTATGTATGTATGTATGTATGTATGTATGTATGTATGTATGTATGTCTGTGTATGTATGTATGTCTGTGTATGTATGTATGTGTATGTATGTGTGTGTGTATGTATGTAAATGTATGTATGTCTGTGTATGTATGTATGTCTGTGTATGTATGTAATTAATGTATTTATGTATGCATGCATGCATGCATGTGTGTATGTATGTGTATGTGTGTATGTATGTATGTATGTATGTATGTATGTATGCATGCCTGTATGTATGTATGTATGTATGCATGCATGTATGTATGTATGTATGTATGATGCATGCATGCATGCATGTATGATCATATATGTGCACTCTGTTGAGCTATTTCAATATTACACACATCAATATGTATTGATACATATGAGTTCTTTTCCATACACCATATATTGAATCACCTGTTCTGCTGTTGATTCGTATCATATGCCACGAGTACTCCACCAGGACAAAGGGAACGGCAAAGTTTGGAACAGTGTCACTTTCAACACCTTGGTCAGTAGTGTATGTTGCATTTGGACAAATATGGCCATACACTTCCAAGCAGGTGATTCAGAAGGTACTGTCTTTTGATAGCATAAGCATATTTCGACTTGCACAGTCATAATAGCCATTCAAATGCCAGAAAAAAAACCTGCTTCCAAACCGAGCAGCTGGGAACTCTAGTTTTTTTTTCCCCACCCCCCGTGCTTTGTCCCAAGAAAACAGGGAATCAAGTTGATCAAGTGGCTGGCGGAAGGGCGCAGTCCAAATGGCTTCAAAATTTGATGCCAAATCTGCCAGGCGAAGCAAATTTAGGACCTCGGCCGTGGATCCCCCGCGGCCATAGGGCCATAGTCCCGGCGTGACGTTGGAGCGAGTTACGATGAGTTACGCCTCCAACATTGTAGCACCCAATGGTGAATCAATATGCTTAATCTGACTAATCATAAAAATATAAATATATATACCTACGAAATCCTCAGGCCATAATAATGGTCTGAATGCATTCAGGCTGAATATTTAGCCTGAACCATTTGTTTTAGCCCGAGCAAAAAAAATAGCCCGAGGCACTTTGCGCAAAAAATGCTGGCTCAATGGTATTGAAATCAATGTCACATATTGAATGGCATGGATAAAGCGGTGCATATTTGAGAAATCCTAGAAGAAACTGTACCATACTGTACCATAATATCATGCAACCTTCCTACAAATCAGCAATGTCAGAAGCACAAAGCAGCAGCCCGGTTAGCTGATAACTGAATAAATCTGACTGGTTTCCATCCAAACTATAACTTCGTATTCAAAAATTATTCTGTGACATGGTGATAGGTATATTATTTAATTCAAGCATGGTTTGAATTTCCCAAAAAACATAAGATCAACTGCAAAAAAAAACATGAAAAATCTGAACATTTTGAGTTGCGGCATTTTTTGCCCGATTAGTGCGATTTTTTGCCCGATTAGTGTGATTTTTTGCCCGAGTTTTTCATGATTTTTTTGGGTCCTTGACCAAATTCAGCCCGAATTTTTCATAAATTCAGGTTTGCAGTTCCAAATCAAGCTTAAAATCGCAGAGTCCCAAAACCAATATAGTGGAAACAAGATGCGTCATGAACCTCTGCAAAGTTTGCAAAATATGCCTTTTACCACCAATACACGTCAAGCGTGCCACAGTCTGGTAACTTTCTGGATTCTTAAATTGTAAAATTATTGAGCTTATTGTTTGATCTAATTCTACAGGACGAGAACAGGATACGGTAAGCATCGGGATGACCAAGTAGTTCTTGAGTTCTTCCCTGGTTTGAACCTGATTTCCTACCAAATTCAGGTTGAGATTCAAACAAATCAGCCTGAAAATCAGAAAATAGCCTGAGATCAGCCTCAGACCGAAATTTCAGTCTGAGACCCCAAAAGTGTGTTTTTCCTCTTCAGGCTGAAACTATGTCCTTTTGGAGTTCCTAGGTATATATATATATAAAAATGCGATTTGAATCATAATCTTGAGCCATAAGCATCCATAAGCTACTTCTTAGTTATACATCCCCGATCATGCTGGCCATTGCTTCTTGAGTTTCCTCTATATGTCACATCCTTGTTCATGCTTGCTTTCTACAAAGACCTTCAACCTACGCGACACCTGCCACGACTTGGGTCACATGCCATGTGGCTTCCCCATGGTTAACGTCCCAGCATCTGCAGCTGCCCCACGATCGTTGTTGGAGAGAATCACCAGGATGTATCTCTGAGATAAGGCCTTCTTGCACGGCGTGGCATCACCAAGATGGAATAGGGACGCATACAGTAGTCTGAATACATCAACATTCGCCTGGCAATATTGAGCAATTAACCCAGCCGTAGGGAAACACATCATGGAGCGTATCAGATTATGGGAATCAATCCATCAGCTATTCCAGCTAATGTCGACTTACTACGCTCTTCCTGCTTCGTGCCAAGTGTCTTTGAGTATCAGCCAGAGACTGGCTATGCACGTTTGACTGTAAGATTTTCATACCTTTATTGTAACTGATTTGGGCTGCTGGATTCCCAACATCAGCCTAAGAAATGAACATATCGCTATATGTGGGGTACATTTCATGACTTTTTGGGGTACCCTCCAACAAATCCACTGTAGGTTTACAAAAATCCGGGGCATCTCAAAAACCCCGGGAAACCCCAACAGTCATCCAGTGAGGATGCAGTGGAATATTGCAAACATGACCATGGGAAAAAAGCGCTTCGCTGCAGTCATCGCAATGTCTCTGGAAGGATGAACCTTCCAAGCGAAGCTGGCCGAGCCTGCAACATCTGGCGCAAGGCAGTGAGTCTGCCCGACTGAAATGGAGATTCGAAGTTGTAGCTCAACAAATCTTCGACGCTCCTCAGCCCATCACAGCCCCATGGCGTCCCATGGCATCCCATAGCCCCCCAGGCTGCTGGGCAACACCTTGCCAAAGGCATAGCATCAGCAGCACATATCAGCACCATCAGCAACCAGCTACGACCGCTCAGGGGGCCAAGCATCCAATCGGTCTCCAAATCACAGGCTTCCCATCCAAGATCATCGAAATCTCGGTCTGAAGGCATGAAAGTAGCAAGAGTCCTTAGATCTTAGAATCATAAAAAATCCCATTCCAGGTAGTCACTGCTACTTGGATGGTAGCGCTTCCGAGGCTTCCGTGGTTTCGCTTATGCTTCTTTGGCTGCAATTTCTGCGGAACCAGATATTATGGTACATGATTTCAGTTTCATACCTCAACGCGAAAGGCTTGCCTAAACTCTTGCCATTCACTCCATCGGCTTAGACCCAGTGGCAAATGTCCAGTGACTTTCCACGTTAGCTCCTTCGAATAGCTGCGAGTACATGTATGTAACCTGTATGTATCAAACAAAATCCCAAACAGTTAAGCAACCACTGTGCCTTTGAAGCTGTCAAAACGCAGTGCCAAAAACAGCGCGGCTGCATTTCCATATTGGATTTATGGGCTCTGCTGCAACTATATATTCAAACTGCCACAGCTTGCATCGCAAGGTTGGGCAGAGTCAATCCAATTGATCCAATTGAGCAAGTGGGTCCTATTCCAAACAACTGAGGTACAACCATGGTGATTCTGACCCCCTTCATTCCCCCGTTGTAACTGGGATGCACATCCAAGTACAGTATGTTTTGATGTCATCGCCAAGTTGCAAGGTTTCATCGAAGTCAAAAATGATCAAATCCACAGGCTGGTGCGCACCTCAACTGGCATGGGCTACAAAGCTGAATGTCTGTGACTATAAAAACAAAAAAAACAGTGCAGGATTTGAACCCGTATCATATCCCCATCATGTTGCTCCACCTGCCCTATATAGTTCAAAGACCTTTGATAAGGAAAGTCTTTCGGCAAAGACAGTTTTAGTAACAAACAACATCAACCGGTAGACATTGCACTGCAAACTGATGTATACCTGTAAATATAAATAATTATTGTACACATTTTTTTTTGTATCTATCTATCTATCTATCTATATATATATATATTCAGTGCACCAACACGCAATGCTTATTTGTTTCCCCCGTATGTATCCACCCTCGGTCCGCCCGGGACTCCAATTATTCTCCAACGTAAAAAGATGTAAAAAGGGAGCCCCACATCGACCCAACAGGCAATCCCGCATAGGTCTTTCAAGAACTCTTGGTAGAAATGCGGAGCATGCAAGACATTCCGTTTTTTTTCTACGGTTTGTCCATGGGTAGGTGTGTCGTATATGGTTTCATGTTTTTTTCCACTTCTTTTCCTCAACACTTTCAAATTCTGCAGTGAAAAGCTGTGATTCAATCTTACTTAGGGGTCCCCGGGGAGAATCTTTGGGAAATTGCGATTTTTCTATCAGCGGGCAATTTAATTAAAACATTGTGGTCCCATGGCCCAGTTCGTTGTCTCAGCATAGTTTAGGGACCCCGGATTTGCAGCAGGCAGCAATTTCATGCAATTTCCTTTTTTGGTCTTTCGTTTCCGATTTTGATCTTTCGTTGAAGGCCAACGAAAGTCACCGTCTGACGCTACAACTCTACAATTAATGCATCTCGGCAACTACTATTTTCGAAGTGTCGCTCCACGCAATGCAAACACAGAGTTTCCTGCAGCGCCCAGGGTTTCCCCAAGACATGCGATGTTCTCTGGTGAAAGTCTCATCCTGCCCAATGCCAATCACAAATCTCCTCACTAACTAGCAACTAACTATTAGGAAATAGAGGCCCAACTCCTGAAAGTCTCATCTGGGTTGCTGCTTTGCAATCCCTCTGATTCCTTTGGTGCCAACGTGTGTGTACCAAGTGTGTGTGTGTGTGAAAAGTGCTAGCTATCAGGCGGTTAAGAATTAAAAAACATGAGTTATCATGAGTTTATCTAAGCGGGGGGGCTGATTGTCAATGCAAGTGCCAGCCCAACGAAGAGGATTGCATGTGCCACTGTTATCACTGGAGGCTCCAGTGACGTATCTGCTTTGAATGTGTTTCGAACAGTTGAACATGTTATGATTTCAGGCTGTTGCAGGTGAAGGCGAAGGTGCATCATTTTTCTATCAGTTTGCTGCGTCAGGATGGTTACTTAGGAAACTTCAAGGCAATGACAACATGATTATTCTAAAGCTCTAAGTACGGAGTAAGTCACTTACTCAATCAGCAGTGTGTGTGTGTGCCTAGTTGTGTATATCGGTCCGGGTGCCTTTAATCAGAGAATTACCACTTCGTCAGGTGCATTCAGGTGCTCTTTCAAAGGGGTCCTCACTTTTACTGATGTCAAGGTCGTTTGTGATCCAGATTTGCGCATATACACATGCTTCATATTGGCACTGTGGGATAAGGCAAGAAAAAATGGAACAAACTGGGCATGATTAAACTCTGGTGACTTAACATGGCAATGGAACAATCGCGTTTTGAGCAACCGGACTTGAATTATTTGACATTTGCGTGCCCAGGTTTGTTGCCCCCTACTAGCCGTGTCTGGGTGTATCTTCATGCCCAGAAATGACCTAGAAAAACAATGAGCTACAGTCGGATTTGAATCTTTAGCTCCTCATGATAAGTATACAAGATTTCCCTGTCAATATTTATCAGTTCAGTTTCCCATACATCGACCGTCATCGACCCAGTGGAATAAGATGCCACTCGGCTTTTGCCATCAACATGTTTTTTGTTCGTCCTTGTAGGTGGACGGTGCTTCCACGAACATCTTCAAGGTCTCATAATCCTCCGCACAATGAGCTCCAATTCCTCCCATATTCTTGACCTGGTAGCCATGGAGTCCCTCCGAACGCCAAGCTCAGTTGGATCATGGCAAACAACTGACTCCAAAAAACGATGACGAGAAGCATTCGAGAGCCATATCTCACCATATCTCACCATACACCCCAAAAGCCCACGTGGCAGTGCCAGAATCAACCCAAAGAGAGACAAAGTACATGGGAGGGGCTGGTTTTGAAAAACATCTCATGGGTAGCTACAGGTAGAAATCTGTGGCCTTGGCATCCCGAAGACTCTGGCATGCTTTCCCAATAGACCAGCCCCGTCCCATGGTTCGGTATCCAATGGCCTGACCACACCCATCAAACCCTAATTTTGGCTGGAGAAATCATCAACAAGCAAGGATCTCTGAAACTCATCTCCACATTTCACCACTTTTCTAGAACAGCATCTCTCAAACCAATTGATCCCAAAAAAACAATGCATGCCTCAAAAAAAAGCCAAGGGCCAAGGGTTTGTGGGTCTTTCGGGCGCAATCCATGATCCAAACAAAGCCAGGGAGCGTAGCCCAGGTTTCGGTAGTAGCCTGGGAAGTGAACAGGGAGGCATGTTTGTTCATTATTTCATGCGGCTTTGGCTCATGGCCGCGACTCATGGCCAAACCTAGCCTGCCGACAGTGACATGTTTAGCTATTGGTTCAAGTTGGTTTCCAGGATCCCAAGCCGTCATAGCGCGCCACTTTGCAAAAGCGCAAGACTTGCGCGCCACTGGGGCTCCTTGGCATGGCTTGGTCCAGCCACATCAACAAATGGAACTATAAATCTGGCCAAATTACTTTAATTCTTACCTCGTCTCCCTCGCGTCTTAATTTGTTCCCCATGATTACTGTCCTCGTTCGTTAATTTGCAGGTGCAAATTAAGGCTTTACCTCGTTAATTCGAAGGAAGAAAGTAGCTTGTGGGCCTTCTTTCCAGGGTCCAACCCCAAGGAAAAAAAGCTTTTCAGCTTCCGATTTTTTTTTTTCCACGATCCACGGTCTCTTGCAGGAATTTTTAAATCTGAGTCTGATCGGTCTTTGCGCTTCTTGCGCTTGGGTGGTGAAATCTCTGACATTATCGCAGAGATGCAATGCTCTTCTGGAGCAGCTCTGAATCCTACTGCTTCTGCAGCCGTCAACCCACGAAGCGGGCCTCTGGCGATAGAAAATAAAACTTTTTGGGGCCTGAAAAGTTGTTTTTCCTTCCTTGCCTGCTGACCGGCCTCTGGCGATAGAAAATAAAACTTTTTGGGGCCTGAAAAGTTTTTTTTCCTTCCTTGCCTGCTGACCGGCCTCTGGCGATAGAAAATAAAACTTTTTGGGGCCTGAAAAGTTGTTTTTCCTTCCTTGCCTGCTGACCGGCCTCTGGCGATAGAAAATAAAACTTTTTGGGGACTGAAAAGTTTTTTTTCCTTCCTTGCCTGCTGACCGGCCTCTAGCGATAGAAAATAAAACTTTTTGGGGCCTGATTTTTTTTTTTCCCTTCCTTGCCTGCTGACCGGCCTCTGGCGATAGAAAATAAAACTTTTTGGGGCCTGAAAAGTTTTTTTTCCTTCCTTGCCTGCTGACCGGCCTCTGGCGATAGAAAATAAAACTTTTTGGGGCCTGAAAAGTTTTTTTCCTTCCTTGCCTGCTGACCGGCCTCTGGCGATAGAAAATAAAACTTTTTGGGCCTGAAAAGTTTTTTTTCCTTCCTTGCCTGCTGACCGGCCTCTGGCGATAGAAAATAAAACTTTTTGGGGCCTGAAAAGTTTTTTTTTCCTTCCTTGCCTGCTGACCGGCCTCTGGCCCCCAAGAAAGTTTTTCTAGCCAAGCCCAAGCATGCAACAGAACCGATGCAAGGCTACCTCGTCGAGGTCGGCTAATTCTAATGAGCAAATTAAGGGCTGACCTCGCTAATTCCTGCAACCTGCCTCGTTGCCTCGGCTGTCCTCGCTATAATTTGTGCAGATAAATAGTTAGAATATGTTTGAATGGGTAAAACGATGACTCGATTTTCAGATACATCCACATGCAAAAGAGTTGTCCAACCTTAGTATGTTGGTATTTTAAATAAATTTAATCTTTATTGTGTGTCATCTTATCCAGCAACCCTGAAAAGACAGGGAAAAACGCATCAGTCCTATTAGAATATGTGTGAGTTATATGTAATGTGTATATATACGTATATATATATATATATATGAGGCACAATATATATATATATATACACGTATATATCATATATCTATATTTTTTTATTTTTTTTTCGGGTTACCATATGTCATTTCTATGGGCACTTGGACTTGGAATTTTCAGAGGTATTGAAAGCAAGGATGTTACCCGGGAAATTAACAAAAGGACCCCGCTGAATTGCTATTTAAGACTCAGAATCAGAAAACCTCATTCCAAAGAACAATCAAGAGTCAAACTCTGCAGACCAACTTGCTAAAACAAATCGGTGCGACAGAAAGCCCATCTGACCACACAAGGTCTCTGAAAACCCCATTGCATGCCATGACTATCAAATTTTGCAAGTCACAAGTGATGGTCAATCTATGTCAATCTCAAGTACGTAGCAAACAAGGCAACATGGTTGGCTTGGTGTTGTCGCTCATTCCCCCATTCCGGTCGCGACTTGTTTTCACTACTTGCTCAACCACGCCAACCAGGAATCGTCCAGTTGATGTCTAATCACAAAATATACAAAATGCTTATATCACAAGAGCAACAACTCAAACACGCAGTGAAAACTATAGGGTTAAAATCCAAATGAAGCAATTACACGAACAAAAAGAACATCCAAAGTTGGGTCCATATATTCACCATAGCTTTCTAGCCATATAACTGATTTTTTCCACCTGACCGCTGCTGACCGCCGTCTTTTTTGGACGCTATCCGCTGTCCGTCTGCGCGGCCAGCCGCGCACGCGCCGTCTCGATCCTCGAAGGATGGAGATCAGGAAATCAGTCAGTGGACATGCGTATCATAAACAAAAAACAAAATACAATGGATTGGTTTATTGGTTGAAGGGAAAAGCTACAGGAAACATCAGTTTTTTCCCAAAAAATTGGAGGTGTTCCTGTGAAATGTTCCTTAAACCAACCCATTGAAAGATACGTGCACGTATAATATGTGTTACATATTATTAGATATGCGGACGCCCTGACATACTTACACATCTTAGTATAGAAATAGTTCCCCCGAAGCCGATCCCATTTGGATAGTGGGATGCACTTCAGTGTCCTGGGGACTATGCCCCCCAGGCGGGCAGGTTTTCAGGATATGGCTCAATAGAGGGGCACCCACACCTCTCTCTTGTGATCCCTAATCCCGCAAACAAAAAAACTCATGCCACTCCCATGCATCCTGATTGAAGAAGTTGAGCCCAGGGTGGCCCCTTTCACTTTCGACTTGGACAGTGGCTCCATCACTAGACTTCCAACCACCTGAGGATCAACTCTAGATGGGTAGTATATGCCACCATTCATGGGTAAAAAAAAAGCACCAAAAACGTCCCATTCACCCAGGGTTACCCCAGTTATATCATGTCCATCGGGAGGGGACAAGCATTGAAACTACCAGTTTCGGGGGCGAAATTGCCACATTTTTCCCCAGCTTTAGCCTCTCTCTCTCTCTCTATACTTCTAATTATATACATATATATATATATATACATATATATATATATTCCAAAATGTATCTAACATTATCTATATAGCCCATTATCCCAGCTTTTGTTGTTGCTTAAAGCAATTGACAAATCCACCAGTTCATCAAGCGAGCAGCATCTGAGCGATGGTGTCCCAGGAGACATTTTGCTCCTCTAAAGGACCTCGCACCATCTCCCCGAGCTTTTCTTCGAGCGCCGCCTCAGGGGAAAACCCATGAGAAGCCACTCCCATGGTTCATCGGATTTCCAAGTTTCGGCACATTTACAGGAACGGTTTGGGGAGAAAACACACATGAAAAACAATGATAACAATGGGTGGGATTTTTGAAGTGGCACATTTGAAAATTAGGCAAATCCAGAACTATAAAATGACTCATCCCGCGGTTTTACAATGGGTTTTGCGCAATATTTACCACTTCAGTAGAAATAAGCGATCGCTTCATCCTAGGAGCGCACAAAATTTACGCGGCAACTTGAAGCTATCACCGAGCGCTTTCAAGCCACCGAAACCATACTGGCTAGGCATCATGGTTCGAAGGAGAGGCTGGTGTTCATTTGCGACACGGGACACCCTCAATGACTCAAATCCAATCATGGAATGTAAATGAACAGCTTCACCAAGAACGACAACAGAAAAACAAAAACGTTGCTGAACAACATGTCAGATGCCATGATGTGCCTTTCCTTTTCAGCAAATCTGCCATTGCAAAAATCTGTCATCCTCGGCCGGAGGTTCTTGCAGCGTGAAGGGCTTCGGTAGAAATGAGCGTGCCTAAAATCGGATACACCCCACAGCCCCAAAATTGTCATTTTAGAAAGAGCGCACTGATAATCACATGGATGTGGGGGTACCCAAAATTCGGACAAAACCAAATGAGTGCTGCCAGCCATCCAAGTGAACGCACCATGGTTTGCAATGGCATGTCCACCTATTTCGAACCTACACATGCCGATTTCTACCTTGAGTTCTTTCAACCCTGAACATCAATTTCAGACTGGGGATACTTCATGATACCTCCAAAAAATATCAAAAAATACCATCAAGTGCTGGTGATGCCCCTTTTTTTCCATCACCCCAAGGGTCTCATTGACCTTGGCTTTGTGTTCCATCTCCACCATGTGAATCTTCCGGTGCACCGCCGCCGCTGCGCAAAGCTCCCCGCTGGGCGCCAGCGGCTTGCGCACCCGCGCGGCGCCGAGCGTTGAGCCGGAGCTGGGCGACACCGGAGAGAAGAGCTGTGGCAAAGCCGAGGGCATGGCCAGGTCCTAGGGATGGAAGTTCATGGGTCAAGTAGCTTACTCCAGGATTTTGTTTCTTCTAAATGGTTAACCCAGCAGTTTCCAGGATTTTTGGTTATAAACCCATCAGATTGCGACTTTGTCACTTTGTAGCGATAATCTCACTTTTATTTATTCGGGGTTGCCATTACTATCCATTTCTTGGGGATAGGATCGATCATCTTGATCCCCACTTGAAGCAATGGGGCTAGAAAGTCGAGCCCATGTGAAGTGGTGAGAACAAGGGCAGATCGTGCCAGTGACAATCTGGGGTACCAAACAGACTGATTGCTTCATAAAAGTGTGGACTTTGTAGGTACACGATCTGGAACGCACAAAATTTGAAGATAGATTCTAGCAACGCATTCTTCCATGGATATCCAGGGAAAACATATAAGACACATTTTTTGCCCACACATATGAAGGTTTCCCGTATTTAAGCCTCCCTTATCTTAGGTCATCGAACAGGGCAATGGCTTGGATGTTCATCTCAGTTCCACCAGGGGTGCTACTCCATACTTAGCTAACTTACTTGATCACTATATGAACTATTATCTATGGTTCGTGTATCTATAAGTACCCATGGTACCCATGGTGGGTATAAACCAATGGACATAAACTTAAGTATTCCCAATAAACCAACTGAAAAACCTACAACTATTTCATAAATTGAATGGCGTTTTCTCTTTATCATTCCCAAGTTTTTAAACCAACTGAAGCTCAATTTTTTGCTTTATAAACCAAGAAACATCACTCATAAAAATCATGAAAAATCAGGGATCCAGTGGGATCCAGACCGATCCGAAAAGCCCAGGCACTGGCGAGATGTCGGTCACCATCTTCTTGAGCTCCTTCTCCAAGCTGCGACACCTCTGCTCAGCACTAAGCAGGTCGATGACGCCCGCCGCGCATTCCGCTTCCTGATCTATGAAGGTCACTTTTTTGTGGACAAGAGTGTCTCAAGAGTAAAGCGGGTGAATGCAAATGTTAATTACTGTATGACTCTTTCTCTCTCTTCCTCCATCGTCATCTCAAGTGGATGGATACATAGCACTGGTATAGGGTATATTTTACAACAATATTATATGTGTGTGTATACAATTATATATATATGTGTGTGTGTTTGTTGGAAAATACTCCAAAGCTTCCTAAGAACCTCCCCTCAAATTTCCCTCCTCAAATTAATTTGAGCAGTGTATCTAGGCTGAGTGTTCCAGGCTCTCATTGAATGTAATGTCTTATTAAAGCTTATTGGTGCTTGTTAAGGCTTATTGGTACTTATCAAGAATTTGTATTGCATTTTGAAGTTATTTGAGTTCAATCAAAAAATAAGACACGATAAAAAAAAAAACAGTACTGTAGACATCACATAATCTCAGAAACTCAACTATTCTGAATAGGTTTGTGGTAATTACCCAACATCAATCAGATTCAATACCCAAGCAAATCTCAATGAGTCTTAATAAGCCTTAGTAAACTAACCTCAATAAACCTCAACAAGCACTGGCAGAAGCTTTAAATTTCAAGAATCAGCAATGAGACTTTGGTAGAATATCAACCGTTTTTGCATTGAGAGCTTATGGCTGGCGTTGTTGATTTTGAGGCGCCGTCTTGAGCGGAGTGGGCTGGCACTCTATGAGCATTTCCATATAGATATTAATTGCAACATTTCCATAGTGTATGTAACATATGTACGTATGCACATACCAACATATATTCGCAAATACGTAAATTACTCTCCAGTAAATTAACATAGACACTGGCAGATACGAGTTGGAAGATTAGTTTCCACTAAAAATGAAGTATTTTCAGGGTCTACGCTAATTTACGAGAGGGTATATTAAAGGATTTTTTTCACAACTTTCAAGATGGCACAATCTTCACTCCTTCGCCTGCAGTAATCCGATCCCAGTGGAAGTAGCACTGTGACAGTCCAACCCCAAAACTGAAAAAGCAATGGAAGTTTCCCAAAAGAAACCACAATAGAATGGGCAGATTATGAGAATGAATGTCCCATCATTGGAGGTCCCATTTCAATTCCACGGATGTCCCAATGTATCATATCCCTAGGAAGTATCCCAATATATATATATATATACATATAATATCATTACAAATTATAACCTCCATCATATCCCCGGTAAAAATGTCCATTGTATCTGGACAAAATATTTCACTAACCTGAAAAGTTCGGCTTGGGATAATTCCTCTTGCTAATCAATAGTAACCATACATTATTCCAGTGACGTCGCCGGGGCACGAAGAACTGCTCCCAGTAGCTTTCCAGCCCCTGGACACCTGCAACGGTGACATAACGAGGCACGTTGCAAAGACACAGAAAAACATCTGGAATCTGGAACATGCGGACTGTGTGAATTTTAGGATGCTTCTGGATTTATGATTATTGTATATACCTAGTTCTGTATATATACAAATCTTATTTGATTCCGTCATTAATACGATAGTTATTGCAATTATTATTATGGTTCTTAAACAGATTTATGATGTTATTACTGGTGTTCTCATTCTTTTTTTTAGCACCTCCATTTCCCAGTTTTTATGCTCACTAGGGTCTCAGGTTTTTGACCCATAGCCCCCATAGCCACATGAAAATATGATGAATGTCCTTGATTGAAATTCAGAAAGATGCCATGTTCAATTTTCAAGCGGCGACTTTGGCTGATTTCATTTTCCAGGGTACCCCGGCATCCTGAAGATTCGCCGACAAACATCTCCGCGCCAGGCATAAGAACAGCATCTGCCATCTGCATTAGTCTTATCCCCAAAAGAAAATCATCACTATAAGACAATAAGTTAAGTGATTTTTATTGCAGTGGCTCCAAACTATGTTGCCTTTTTTGGGTTCCAAGACTTTCGACATGGGTTGCCAATGGGATTCCAATCTGAATCTGCTCCCAATGCAAGGCACGTCGTTGATGGTAGCGCATCTCTCTCTCCAATCCTTGGGCTGCGACATATCGCTTGGAACAGGTAAAAAACAATCTGTGATTGGAAAATGTGGCCTGGTCTTACCTACACTGCCTAGATTTATTGATATTATGCTTTGTAAAATGTCGTAAAGTTGCTATGGTTGTTACAGTATGAATATGATACACTAAAGGCAAGAAAATAATCAAACCAAGTGTTTCTTTCAACCTTCCGTCGATCATGTTCATCCATGTTCAATAATTTTGTTCCTTTAAGGAGGTGCGTTTAAACCTCGAACAACTCAGGAATCATCAAAGTAGTTCTGCGTCCATATCAAAAGCATTCAAAACCCGTGTTAGTGTCTATGGTTTCTGGTTCACATATGTTCACATCCCCAAGGTGTTGAGACAATGATCCGCATGTCCATATTATAATAATGTATAATAATATATAATAATGTATAATGCTTAATACTACATTATTATATACACTATTAATCATATTGTAATTTGGTATGATTAATCATATTATTATAATCATGCTTATACCAAATGATTCTCCCCATCCGGATTTGACTTGACCCATGCCACCAGTGCCCAGCCGAGCCCATGGCGGCCTACCCCAAATCCAAGGATTTTCATAGATTTTCCTCATATATTTGCAGCATTTTGCATCTCAACCCCCATTTGGATAGTAATTATATATATATATACACCAAACATTTCCATATGTAAAAAAAATAGGTGTCCCTTATCGTTTTCCTCCTCTCAAATTAAGGAAAATAGCTTTAAAGCCACCAGCAAATGTCGTTTTCTTAATCGGAAAACACATGAGGCATCATAGTTACAAGCCACCAATGTCCCAAACTTGGGAACAACATGGGAGCCTTTTCCCTGGTGTCCGTGGTGTCCCCCCGTTCGACCCATTGAAAAAAAAACACAGAAGCAGTGGCTATCTGCATCTGTGATGATTCAGGCCATCAAATTCTGTTGTTTGAAAAGCCCGAGACGTGTTTCTTTGGAGGCTCAAAGCGTCAATACCCCATTCTTCAGGTGGCCATCTGGCATGAATACCAGTGCACATGCATCTTAAACCTAGGGATTGGGATTTGAGTCTGACAAAAATCGAGACAAATCGATTCAAATGAGGCAATCAACTTGAAGATGGCTCAGGCCTCCCTACTTCCATAAATCCAGTGCCCATGACAGGGCATGAATTGGAGATCAGCGTTGATGACCTTTGTAGTTGTTTCCATCCCGTTCAAATGTAGCACCAAGAATCCTGAACATGGAGTCCAATCTCTACGGATACTTGGGATACATCAAAGATCATCATAACATCTCGTAGTTGTTATGTTTTTCTCTTTTCTTCATGGCTTGTTGTAGTATATGTTGTTGCTATTTGCTGTTGCGATTCTACTACATCATTATCGCTACGAAACGACAACGACCCGCTCCATCCGAGCGCAAAGAGAGCATGGCCAAGCGAGGCCAAGCGTCGATAGATCTCCTGACTCTTCTCCTCCCTCTGCCGTTTCCGTTGCTCCAAGAGCTGAGCGACCTGAAACAAAAACCTCTTCGAACGTCTTCGAAATTCAACTTGGTTTGGGGGGTATATCAAACTAAATCTATATGGGCTTTAACTATTCTTGTTCATGATTTTTCCATGTTATATACAACCTGTCGAATCGATTTTCGGGGTTCCCTGGCTTGATTTGAAAGGGGCATGTTTTACGGCTGAACTTTCCTTGAAACCAGTCGTCTCGGAGGGGTTGCATGGGCCAGTTCATCGCCAAGTACAAGGATCAATTCGGATGTTGTCCAACTGAACATGCTGTAATACCTTTAAGGAGGGCACCATAAATTAGCAAGAAACATACTTCAAACCATATGTTCCCATCCTTCCACCATGATTCTTGGTCCTCAACCACCATCATCGGTTTAGGTTTCATCCGGCCACAACTTTCTCTCCTGCATTTAAGCTCAAGGCCCTAGAGAGAAAACCAAGGGCAAGTCACCACTTCACTCTTCAAATAGAGCATCGAATTGAGCAAACCCAAGTTATGTTGATTCTTTACGCCCCACTTCACCTAAAAGGAGGTTTGGAGTTTGGAGATACGATATAATACATCAATATACATCATACATCCCACGTTCGCGTGGAACAGAACTCAGCACCAATCTAAGTTTTTACTCTTGGATTCCTCTCAGGGCCACATTAACCTAACCAATTCCTATCAATTCCTGGTGATCGTAACTGGCTTATAATCCGCCATATCCCCAAGTACAATCCACTTGCTAACTATTTAATATAGCTAAATCACGATTTTTTATTAGGGACAAAAAAATACGGGAAACCTTTGTAGTAATGATATTTCATGTGAAAAATCATGGTTTCCGGTGAAGAACCTCCCATTTTTGTTTCCCAAATCTTTTCCACCGGCAACCGTTCACGGTCGCCTGCGTTGCGAGGTCGCCACTGCGCTGTTCCCACCAGCTTCGCAGCTCCCGTTCGGAGGCGATCTCCTCCTGCGTCGAGGCCAGGTCGCCGGCGTCGAAGCCTCGGCGCCGCTAAAATTCCCATGGGATCCCCATGGGATTTCCGGATCCTCAGGGGATCCATTTGATGGAGAAATCACCCCAAATCGAGATAGAAAACTTGGTGACTTGGTGAAGGGACATGAAGAAATCACGATTTTGGAACATGTCACTTAAGATATGTCAGTGGTAGAAAATGGCTATATTGAAATGTATTGAAATATATCAGTTTGAATGTGGCTCACTTGTAACTTGGCAAACTATGGCAACCAAGGTGAAAACCAATAATAACAAATAGTAACGACAAGAACAAACAGTACAATCACTGATGTTACCATGGGTTGTCAAAAATAATTAATCCCATTGGTGTTTCATTATTGGGTTTACCATGTTTTAAAGCATGTTTTGTATGATTTACTTTTCGGAATCGTTTAGGGCAGGGGGGTTGCCATACGGATGTGTATAGAAAGTAAGATGTAAATTCTGAAGCCCAATGCATGCGTTACACCTGAGAGTAACCCTAAAATATCCTTAAACTGGGGATGGTTTAGGTGTCGTATATCCAAGCCGGTGGCTGGGTGAAATGGCAGTGAGAGAAACTGCCACGGCACAAGACAAATGGGTGATTGGCACCAAGGCCCTGTGAACCACATCTTTGCTGAACACTGGTTTGGCCCGCAGCCAGAGGAAGGTGAAGTGAGTTGTCTTACTATTGTTTGCTTCAAATTGGGGACCCCCACTCATAGATTGCTTCAAACAGCATTTGGCTACACATTTACACAACTAACTTATCCTAAATTCACCAGGTGACCCTAATCTTTGTTCACCCCAACTTCATCAAGGAACCGGGGCAGCTGTCCCGATTCCAAGAGATCTAAGTTCTGTAAAAAACCAAGCTGCGAGCCAAGCGATCTGTCAAGGTCTTGAAGCGATCCTTCAAAGACATGGCCATCTCCTCCAAGCGCTGCGCGTCCTTGGGGCTGATTTTAAGGCAGCCCCCGTGGATTTGTGACAGGTGTCGGTGGATATGTGTGAATATGCTGTGAACACAAGGGTTTTTGCACGGTTTTGCGGCCATCATGGTCTTTTTTGGACTTCAAGCTCTGTATTCTTCCACGTTGAGGGCTGGTTCTTGGCACAGTTCAGTTCATCTTGTGATGTCAGATTGAAAGGAACAACCACATCAAGATGGAAGCTGGTGAGATCTTGTGAGCCTCAGAACTTACCGCCAAGTTTTTGCTTCAAGCAGGGTCAACTACGAAAACTTTCTGGAAAAAAACGTGTGTCTTTGCCATTGAATGCCTGTTTTCAACGGCAATAGGCCTGCACAAGACATGAAGTGTCTTGAGTCAATTTTCTATCTACAGTATAAACGTTCATTCATGTATACACATGTTCATTTACATAATAATATATATTGTACATTGTTAATATATATATATATGGATGGATAGATAGATTGATTGATAGATTGGCAAGTTGATAGATTGATAGATTGATACATGCATTTATACACATTTACAACATGCAAACCCCATCCTCCCTCTATCATCACACACATATATATATATACAGTATATATGTGCGTACACACACATATATATATATATGTATATATATATGCAGTATATATGTGCGTAAGATTATGTAAGTACGTATTATATATCCGTCCGACCCACCCATATATATATATATATGTATCCCGCCAATCCGCTGGGCCAAGCAAATCTCAATAGCACCAAGTTTCTTCTTGCAGTGCCTCATGCTCCGCCTGAATCTCTTGCAGCTGTTCGGTGCGCCTGGCTTTCCTGGCCCAGGGATGTCTGGGGTGTTTGACCTTCTGGACACATCCAGCCCTTACCTTCCGCCTGTCAGATAGGTACTGTACCCAACTCCAAAATCGCAAGGCAGAACTTGTTACCTATCTCAGAGGTAACTGGAAGACTGTGGCAGTTTTCATCACGGAGCCAAATTTTCAAGAACTTCCCTTTGTGTTTTTTGGTGATTGCACGAGATAATTAGATGGACAAACAATTGTTAAAACAAGAAACCTTTTACCGGTTGATGGGGAGCCAAACGGTGCAACTATGTGCAACCTGTAGAGTAGGTCTCACTCAAAGTGTATACCTCACCATCTATATCTCACGATCTCCTTCAAACACATGATATACTAGGTCTGACGGTCTGGCCACACTTGCTTGGTGATTGGGACACAACCTCTTGGATCCGCAGCGATCTGACTTCCAAGGTCCTGATTCTCAGCTTTCGAACCAAGTTCCTGGTTTGATCCTCGTAATCTGAGGCATCAGAGCAAGCAGAGAAGTCAGAGGAATCCACGCCGTCCTCGGTGAACACATGGTGCCCAAAAAAGGCCCTGTATGCTGTTCGTTGCCAGCAACCATCAAACATATATCAATCTGAAATCCCCAAAAACGATCCTAACATATCTATCACTATCACATTTCTTCCAAATCATCATAGCTGCCCCATCACCCCACCCTACAAATTTCCAGCAATTCCAAGCACTTCATGGCAAACCATTGCGCCAAGCTTCCGACTCGCTGGATCTCTCGGAGTCGGGGTGCAGCATGGCCCACAGCCCATCCCTGCCGTACTTGGCGCCCTTGGCCTCCCGTGCCCTGGGCGCTGCGCCCTCGGCGGGCGTGGCCTCCGGCGGTGCGGGCGCGGTAGAGCCCTTGGAGTTGCGGGAACGAGGGCGGAGGGAACGGCCCTGTTTCGGGCCGTCCAAAAAGTCCAGTTCCTGGCAGTGGCAGGCGAAAGTCGGCGCAACAAACGATGGAAACATCTGAAACAACAGGAGATTTCAGAGCCATGTGTGCCCATTTTTGAGCAAGTTGCAGGTTGCCGATCTTATGCAACTGGGGAGTTGTCTGAAATGCGCAGGTTGATCCGGGTGGGCATCGCCAAACTTAGCATTTGAAAGAAGTCGATAGGAAAGCAACGCATGAACTAGCATGACCTGGTTGGTGGTTCTCACCTGTCAAAAACATACTTATGGATTTGATGACCTCACCAACTGATGGTTGAGCATCCAAGGACTCCAAGGACCCTCTTTTAATCCGTATAGTTTATCAGTTTCCGTGTGACATAATAAACTTTGCATGTATATATATATAGTATCTATCTTGCAAATAGTTGTAAAATAACTGAATGTATCAATATATAAATAAAATAAATAAATAAATAAATATATATATATATGTGGTTATACATGTTATACAATATGTCATCAATGACCCCCTGCGTCGTCTCCTTCTCCACTAGCATCACCTGCAGGATCTGTTGGCATAGCGTCTGCCCGGCCCGTTGCGCCAAGAGCTCTGCCGTGCAGCCATCGCCGTTCACCGCGCGACAATCAGCACCCAAGACCAACAAAGTGCTCAACAAATGGGCCTTGGAGTTCAGAATCCAAGGATGGTGAAGAGTTACACTATGTTACATTTTTCATGGTTAGATGCGATTGTGATACTTATTACTTATGACTATGGTTAATGATACTTATACGGGATTAATAGGTTTACCTCCAGGAACTATGGTTTATGATACTTATAAGTTACAGCATGTTATAAGTTATAAGTATATTTTTGATCGGCTTTTCTTTTTCCAACAATCTTTTACTGGGGACTCCATATTGTTAGTCAATAGTTCTAAGTCATAGAGTAAGTGTTACTCTTCTGATAAATGATTGGTAACTAGTTACCTACAGTAGATTGACAAAACATTCAAACCCTGCAACACGCAGGGTGTTGAACCCCCGCAGCCCAAAATCTTAATGTTTCAGCGCGCGTGTTACCAAAAGTGATGTTAGGGGTTTGATTTCTTTCGTCCATTGGGGCTAGTGCATTTCAGGTGACATTAACATTGAACTTTGGGGGCGGGGGGGTTGTACCGGATAGAAGGGTTTTGAATATTTCGTCCATCTACGGTGCCAATTGGTGTGTGCGGCATGCCGCACACCTCAGTTGGTACTGTCTGGCTCTCTGATGTTTTCCCATCTTTTTGTCTCCAAACTCTGTTGTGGAAACATCACTCTGCATGCTGCCGATCTTATTCCAAACTGTGCAAAACATTGCCTTTTCATAAGTAAAGGCCTCCTGTCTGTCTCCCGTCCCATTTTTTTCTATTCCCTAATTCCCAACTGATTCCAAGCTGTAGGAAACATTGTGTTTTCACAGGCAAGTGCATCCTTTGTGCTTCCCGTCTCATTTTTTTCTATTCCCTAATTCACGACTAATTCGTTTGACGTTGCCATGCAATCCCCCTAATCTTAAACACACCCCTAGGAGGTCCCAAATATGTTTATATAAATCCCCTACTTGACATTTCAGCATTGGTTTCTGGGGGTGATTGAAATGACCGGGTGAAAACACATGAAAACTACAGATTTCACCACTCCCAAAAATGGATAATGGAAAAATGTATGGGAAAGCCCTAGAAATGGTGGTAAAACCCCATGGTTTCCGGCCAAGCTTCTTCGCATCATTAGAAACCATCTAGGAAAAAACGCGGTAGAAACCCTAAACATCCGAAACCCTCATTCCTAGATGCATTTTCCATCATTCACCATGGTTGTTTCCCTTGAACCCAGCCATTTCACCATTCATCCAAGCAGCCGCTCCCGCGCGTGCAGCAAGGTGCAGGGCCGTGTTCTCCATGGGACCCACATCCGCGAGATCCAGCCGGGCACCATACTCGATGAGCAGCTTGACCTTGGCCAAGGTTCCCTACAACAAATTCCATATAGATATACAAAAAATAGATCTAGATATGTGCAAATTGAAAAATACACATATACATACAATGTATGTATGTATGTATGTATGTATGTATGTGTGTATGTATGGATGGATGGATGGATGGATGGATGGATGGATGTATATTTCGTGGGTTTAGTTGGCTAACACCTCCTGGGTTTGAAACAATGTTGGTTGGCTTGACCTTACATCAATTGATCCATACAAACATCTTAAAGAAATGGAAAAGGTAAACAAATACCAATACATACCAATACTATTTTAGGATTGGGTGTTCTTCAATTGTTTTAAGGTGGTTGCAGCAAATATCATGCTGGGTGGCCGGTTTGTATGAATAGTAACACAGGCCGTTGATGTACTGTATGGGTAATCTCAACATCAATACACACGAATTGATTGACTAGGTATGAACCCATGGGTATGCACTACAGGATCATGACATGTTTGGGTATTGACTACGCGCCTTAATAAAGGGCCAACAAATTATCGCAGGATGTCATCATCCGGGTTCTGACTGGAAGTGGCCCTAGTTAAGAAAAACATCATGTCAACACCTGGGCCTGCCTGCCATGCTAAATGCGGTTTGCAACTAAATTGCCAACCTGCCATATACCACACCTTTTTTGCTTTTTGAATCCCACTTCATCTTTGTTGGGAATCCACACATGGCCGAAAGCAGCAAACTCGATAGTAGACCACACCTCATCCCTTCAATATCGTACAAGTGAGTTCTTTTCTCATACATGCCTAATTTCACTAATTGGTTTCAAGATACAGGTTATACATGGTTGTACTATATACTGTAATATACTATATAATTAGTAGATATTAGTAGGGTTTCCCACTTTTTCCACCCAACCTCCAGGCCCCCCAGGGAGCGCCCAGAACCAAGGTGCGATGTCTGCCGCCAGCTGTTGAACGACCTTGGCCTTGTCCTTGGCCCCTTCCTTCAGCAACCGCTCCACCTCCGAACCACAGGCCAGGCAAGCAAGGTGCAACGGCTGGCAGCCGATCTCCGCCTGGAAACTGCGCCACTCCTGCACCACTCTCAGAGAAATGATGGAGGATGGAGGATGAGGCGAGATGTGTTGAAGGTATTTGTTGCCGGCTTTGGATGGCATGAAGCAGCCGGTGATATTGAGACGGGCTCCCAGGTGAGGATCACATACCAAACAAGTGACAGCTAGAAGGTCGGTCAAAATGCCAAAGCAGCTACTACAATATCTTTCAGCATCACAAGCCTGGCACCCTGGTGTTCGCGTAAAAACCTTGGCCTTGGCACCCTGGTCTCCACACCGAACATACCCTAAACTTAACTATGGCATCATGTATAAGACCCATCCCCACAGGCGTTGTCTGAGACATGTTTAATCATCATTTTCAATAATGTTCATTCATGTTCCATCTTGACATGGCAATTTCGTGGTATCTCCCCCCATTCTGACACTCATGGTAAAACATGGCGAACTTGCCACCCACCAACAAGCTGTCCTTGGCATTGAGTGGCCTAGACTCGGCTGCGTGCCGCACTTCTGAGGCGTAGACTAAGCCTGGCTCCAGCAATCGGAAGCGGTCCAGCTCGTCGAGACAGGCTTTGACCTAGGCGCCCCTGCACATCACAAAGGACCCGGTGGCACTGGTGGGGGCCCAGTGAAATTACGATAATTTACTAAGTTGCCTGTAATAATTATAATATTATTCAATATACAGTACCTACATGTATCTACCATAAATAATCATAAATGTATCAGTTCATGGTGGTTAAAACCAACTTGTAGCTTCCCCCCACCAAGAAAAAAACAAAACTACAAAAGGAGCACCCCCGAAACTAAGCCGAGTTGACACGCTCTTGGTTGAGCTCATAGCATGCCTTGCCCAAAGGATTTGTGAACAAAACTGCCTTCTGCTTGTTCCTGGCACATTGCAATTGCAAGCCGAAGAACACGAGTTGCATCTCATGGAGGGGTTGATGTCAATGTCTCTTTGATTAAGAGCGCGATGAAACACACAGAAACAACTTGACTTCGAAACGTTTGATGACTTGATGTCGTCCAATGTCTTTATCCCACCTTACATGGGCCTCAAAGCACCGACTGGGTTCAAAAGCACCTCCCTCTCTCCCTGCCACACTTTTTCCAGTGCCCTGCTTCGTAGCCCCAGACCCTGGCCACCCGTGCACAACAATTTGGCAATATAATTTGAGAAAACTCTGATCATATTTAACATGTTCATAGCAAAACACTGACCTACCCCCCAACCGGCTACAGCGGCTTTTTCGTATATGTCATTTACATGTCCCATTGGTATCATGTTCATTTTTTTAACAACGCATATTTGACGAAGCCATCAACCATACGATCCCATCATCCGAATATGGTCCCAGCGAGATGCGATTCATCAAGCCATCGAAGCCAAGCTGTGAACTTACCCAGTTGGTAATTTATAAAATAGCGAAGCCGTAGGCCATGCCATGGCCCATAGAAATAGATGATAAAAATTGATATACGTACTAAAGATGTGGTGTTATATAGATGATAAACATTATGCTTTAGATGCTTTACCTAGTAGGAATTGCTGATCTTAGGCCGTTTTCCATGGTAAACATGTAACATCATGTAACACAAATGACCATCGGGTCCCCAGTTTTTTGGGGCCATCCCCGCCTGCTTAGCTCGCAGACCTTCACCTGCGATAAGGTGAGCACTCCCGGCAGCACCGTCATTCGGCCGTCCGCCCCGTCAGCTTCAGAGCCACAGATGCGCAGGGAAGACGTTGTGAAGGTATGAGAGTTTGACATGTTTGACAGTGCCTGGAAGCAATTTAGACAAACTAACTTTAAAACTAGTTTTTAAATCTCATTGTTTCAGATAGTCGAATTCGTTTATGATAGTCAATAACTGCATATAGCTGCAAATAGCTAATGACAAGAAATAGCAATCAATTCAGTAAGCGATCGTATGGGATTCTGCTTGGCTTGCAAACACTAAATAGGTGGCCATATACAATCGTGATTTTGCTTAGGATCTGTGGCCTTCCTGACTTCAAACAGCGTGCGTACATATAACATATATATATGTGTGTGTTTGTGTGTTCTATGATAAATATTTGGATACACATGTATACACATATGTATATATATATATATACTATCTATTTATAGTTACACATATAGTTATATATATAGGCACATGTATTCATGTAAAATTTTAAAAAAAACGACATCTACATATATATATATATATGACAAAACTGTCTATGTATTCATTTATTTTTCCGTATAATTTCTAGAATCAAACTGTACATTGACCCTATATACATGGCACTTACTTTGGATGTTTCTAGACCCTCTTAGCAAATGTCGTGCAGCTGTGGTGCTGGAAGTTGGCTCGTTGGTCATCTACAAGAACCTTTGGCACGGGCGCTTGGGACGAGCCGTGTCGATTGCTTGGCGGGGCCGCAAAGCAGCTTAGCACATATCATGTATCATCCGCAGAAAATCATTTTTTTGCATGTCTTGAATGTTGTGGAATACACATGAATATACCAGAATATGAATGAATATGATGGAAACAGAATGAAATATGATGGACAATGATGCCAGGTTGTGATGGAACCATTTTGGCTTCCCATGTGTCTGCGATTCTCATGAAGCACATGGAAAACGAACATCCTTGGAAAATCAATCTTGCCTTACCATCTAAATAATAAGACCATGCATTCCAGCATCTCACCAGGGCTTCTCAGACACCGATCCACGCCATCGTCCGGATCCCATTCACATCGAGAAACGATGCCCTCCATCTTCAAGCCACCAAAGTCCTTCGTGGCACTGATGGAACTTTTGCCGGATCCCGTGGATTCTGAGTGGGCACCACCTTCCAATCTGAAGATAGTCTTGAATCAATTAATGTAGATTTGGCACGGGGATCGCAATAGCTTCCTGATTAGTTTCTGAGTTCTCATTAGTTGCAATAATTCCGGGAAACAATCACTTCAAAAGCGTTAAGAAGTAACAAATTGAATGAACTTTTCAAACTTTGAATTCGAACACCCTGACAAAACATGATTCAATGTTATCTATGTAAAAAACAACAACACATCCTTAAACCTGCAATCCTCAGTTGCCTGGCAGCATTCGGATTCTACTCCCTCAAACGTCAGGCTTCCGAGCTGTAGCCAATGGATATTCCGGAAATCTCAGCGAAGAATACCCTCCGGCAATTTGTTACATACCTTCTGGTAAACTAATATAACTATGGAAAATCGCAATTTTTAATGGGTAAATCCACTATAAATGGCCATTTTCAATAGCTATGTTAATTTACCAGAGAGTACCCATGGAAGCCTTAGCCCATGTAGTTCGGAGATTTCCCGAACTTTCTCTCAGTGATTTTCCAGCTTCCTGAACGCCGGAACGCCAGGGTCCTTCCACTCATCGATGTTCTGTGTCAGTTGTGGAAGGAACTCCTGTTTTGTGAATGTCAAAGCAAATTTGAATTTGTGGCATATCTATTTCTATTTATATATCTATCTATCGATCTATCTATCCTCCATCCACCCATCTCTCTCTCTCTCTCTTTCTATAATGTATATATATATATATACACAAGCAGTTGGCCTGTTCGACTCCGGATGTGATTTAACGCATGTTTTGTGGGTGCCACCATTGTTTGTTGGTCATGGATGGTTGCAAACCTCTCCAGCTAGCCACTAGTCACACAGAATATGTATACAGAAACATCCAGAAACATGTATGAATATACGTATATGTATAAATATGATCCCCCATGTACAGCTCGCTAGATGCTTTGCGGCCGACTTTATAGAGAATAGCCTGGTATAAACTGGAATGGCCACATGTTTGGAGTCTATAAAGTGGAAAGCCAACATGTTTTGTCTATAAAGTCAAAATCCAACGTTTGTATAAAGTCGCCTGGCCGCGTAAAAACATAAAACTCGATGTAGGTTTTTGAGGGTACTTGTGAACATGTCCCATGACTATAAAGTGAGATGCCGAACATCCAGATAGTAATACTTGTGTCGAACAGTGGCACTATAATGTGGATTTCCTACTAAACAACGATCGTTGTAGTAGCGATGATTTTCTTAATCGCGACGATGGAAGCATCGACATGATTGTCTATAAAGTTGAGGGGCCACGTTCAAACTTTGGGGGAATATCATCGATCTCATCGATGGGGAACCCAAAAGATTTCGAATGACTTCGAAACCGAACGAAACCGACAGCCAGACAAATATCTATATCGAAGTCGTTAACAGAATCTATGGTAAAACAAAATCTATGTTGGACTGGCCACTTTATACCCCCTCCCCCAACAGAGAATGCCTCTAACACACTTTCCTTTGAAAGGGATCCTTGGGGTGAAAAGGGTCCTGGGCGCGCCGCGCGCGCGCGCCAAAATGGCTTCAATTTTGACACCTTTTCGGCGCGCGCGCGCGGCGCGCCCAGGACCCCATTCACCCTGAGGACCCCTTTCAAGGGAAATTTTCTTCTCTATAAAGTGGCCAGTCCAGGTAAAACCCCTGAAAAAACGGAATCTATGTTGGACTGGCCACTTTATACCCCCTCCCCCAACAGAGAATGCCTCTATAAAGTGGCCAGTCCAGGTAAAACCCCTGAAAAAACAGAATCTATGTTGGACTGGCCACTTTATACCCCCTCCCCCAACAGAGAATGCCTCTATAAAGTGGCCAGTCCAGGTAAAACCCCTGAAAAAACAGAATCTATGTTGGACTGGCCACTTTATACCCCCTCCCCCAACAGAGAATGCCTCTATAAAGTGGCCAGTCCAGGTAAAACCCCTGAAAAAACAGAATCTATGTTGGACTGGCCACTTTATACCCCCTCCCCCAACAGAGAATGCCTCTATAAAGTGGCCAGTCCAGGTAAAACCCCTGAAAAAACAGAATCTATGTTGGACTGGCCACTTTATACCCCCTCCCCCAACAGAGAATGCCTCTATAAAGTGGCCAGTCCAGGTAAAACCCCTGAAAAAAACAGAATCTATGTTGGACTGGCCACTTTATACCCCCTCCCCCAACAGAGAATGCCTCTATAAAGTGGCCAGTCCAGGTAAAACCCCTGAAAAAACAGAATCTATGTTGGACTGGCCACTTTATACCCCCTCCCCCAACAGAGAATGCCTCTATAAAGTGGCCAGTCCAGGTAAAACCCCTGAAAAAACAGAATTATGTTGGACTGGCCACTTTATACCCCCTCCCCCAACAGAGAATGCCTCTATAAAGTGGCCAGTCCAGGTAAAACCCCTGAAAAAACACATTTTTACCTGGAATGGCCACTTTATACCCCAGCCAGTCGGCTCCAGGACTTTGACCCGGAAACGGAAGGACTGACAACAAGGTAAAGGGGGAAAACTACAACGGAGAGGTACAACGGGAAGGCTACCACAAGAAAATGAGACATGTCACGTTTATATACGTTTATTGTTTTCAATGTGTCATATAGATTGGCGATGATTGGTATATTGAATATGTTGTAGATGTATTTTGGAACATATGTATACCTATGATTCACACATCAATATAAATATATATAAATCATAAACACATGCCAAACCAAAAACTTTTAGCTGAGTATTGTATTCCCAATCTGTTGGCAAATGTCCAGCCGATTCACCATGCGTGACCCAACAAGATTCAAACTATGGATTGTTTACTTTCGAAAACATTTTTTACTGGTTCTTGCAAACAATTTTATAGAGGATGGGCATGGACCGGCCAGTTTATACAGAGGGTGGGGCTGCCAGAAATGACGTGATCAAGCCACTTTATAGAGCTGAACTTTCTTGCAAACCATTTTATAGAGGATGGGCATGTGGCCGTGGTTTTGGTCCATAGATGTCCATAGATTTTTAGGATGATGTTGGGAGATTGTCGTCATAGATATACGTAGATTCACCCAGTAAAAAAAAAACGAAAGTAAACAATCCATAGTTTGAATCTTGTTGGGTCACGCATGGTGAATCGGCTGGACATTTGCCAACAGATTGGGAATACAATACTCAGCTAAAAGTTTTTGGTTTGGCATGTGTTTATGATTTATATATATTTATATTGATGTGTGAATCATAGGTATACATATGTTCCAAAATACATCTACAACATATTCAATATACCAATCATCGCCAATCTATATGACACATTGAAAACAATAAACGTATATAAACGTGACATGTCTCATTTTCTTGTGGTAGCCTTCCCGTTGTACCTCTCCGTTGTAGTTTTCCCCCTTTACCTTGTTGTCAGTCCTTCCGTTTCCGGGTCAAAGTCCTGGAGCCGACTGGCTGGGGTATAAAGTGGCCATTCCAGGTAAAAATGTGTTTTTTCAGGGGTTTTACCTGGACTGGCCACTTTATAGAGGCATTCTCTGTTGGGGGAGGGGGTATAAAGTGGCCAGTCCAACATAGATTCTGTTTTTTCAGGGGTTTTACCTGGACTGGCCACTTTATAGAGGCATTCTCTGTTGGGGGAGGGGGTATAAAGTGGCCAGTCCAACATAGATTCTGTTTTTTCAGGGGTTTTACCTGGACTGGCCACTTTATAGAGGCATTCTCTGTTGGGGGAGGGGGTATAAAGTGGCCAGTCCAACATAGATTCTGTTTTTTCAGGGGTTTTACCTGGACTGGCCACTTTATAGAGGCATTCTCTGTTTGGGGAGGGGGTATAAAGTGGCAAGTCCAACATAGATTCTGTTTTTTCAGGGGTTTTACCTGGACTGGCCACTTTATAGAGAAGAAGATTTCCCTTGAAAGGGGTCCTCAGGGTGAATGGGGTCCTGGGCAGCTCTATAAAGTGACTTGGATGATGTATCTCTTCTTCTTTCGCCCGTCCGAGTCAGTGACTACGGTCCTTTCAGGACACGGGGAGGAAACGCGAAACTAAGAAACTCTAAACAAATCAAAGCCATAAGTTTACAATGCAAACGTTTCACGACAAAACTGGACGTACTCGTTTTCAAAAGAACGCCATAAGGCAGTATGTCGAGCAGGAATGGACCATGTTTTTTGTTGAAATTGCATTTCACCATGACTCTATAAAATGCTCTGCCGCAATTTTCTTTCTATAAAGTACCCTGGATGCAGCACAAATTCTTCTTCTTAAAGGGCAAGTTTCACTCTATAAAGTGCTTTGCCATGTATACAGCCCCAACAGAAAAATATTGGCCCGAAATCATTGGGGAGACATGTTTCTATAAAGTGGATGGTGTGACATATTTTGGCCATTCTTTGAAGGGAACCAACGGTCTATAAAGTGCATTTCCGCATATATTGAGTCGTTTCCTTGTGGGAAACCAGCCGGGTATAAACTGGAAAACCAACGTTGCAATAAAGTGATTTTCCAGGTCCAAGGGCATGTTTCTCGCGCAAAACACGGCTTTATCCCCCATTGTCGGTGTATAAAGTGGCGACCGGAAATCCACTTTATAGGCGCAAAGGATATCCACTTTATAGTGAGCTATACATGGGGGATTAAATATGTATATATATATATATAAATATGTATTGCATACGTATGACTTATGCACATACACATGATACGCGCCTGGGCCGCCACCAAAAAATATTGGCACAATGTAGCATAGATGTGTTTTTGCTGTAGGACTGCGCAGTGAACTTTCTGAAGCCATGCAGCCCAGTGGCGCTGGGAGACTCAACTACCAAAGCCAACCTTGGCCACGCTTCCAGTGACGAAGAAGTTCGTCCAAATGACTGGGTGGTCAAAGAGGACTATTGAAATCATGGTCTTCACAATTCAAACAGCGCATGCTGTGAGTCTTCCTTGCAACTAGCTATAGTTGCACCAACGTATAGGACTTGTACTGAGAAAATAGCATGTCCTTGGGGGAGGGCCTTTGGCAACTCGCGAAATCAACAGTGGCCAAGAAATGCGGAAAAAAAAATCGACTGTACTCGCCCCTGCCAATCTAAACCTAACGGGATGCTATACAGTCCTCCTCCACTTCTGGCTAAGTATTGGAAACTTAAGTTTCCCAGGCTTTTCAGCTCACGCCCAAAGTACTAAACACAAAAACACTCCAGTTGCATGGGGAATTCCTTTCGATGGGCTTCTATCGTGGGTCCCTGAAATGCAAAAAGGATCATTTTGGATCACCCAGTGCGGCAATGCCCGCCCGCTCGGGGGCCCCCAGTGCACCACGGCACAGATCCGCCTTGTGATTCACATTCCTTGGAGCATGCATCACCAGATGGCTGACACTTTAATCATGACAGTGTCCATGTAGTCCATGTATATAATTTCATGGTACGAGTATGGGAAAAAGAAGAGGAACATTCAAAAGAAGGGTTGGTGCAGTTGCACATGTGTGTGTGTCTTAAAACATAGAAACGTGTGTGTGTGTGTTTTAAATATATATATATATAAATATATTTACATATGTATATATACATATATATATAATATATATAGTCATAGTCACTCAGTTCTAGAAGAAGTCATCCTGAAAGACATCGAACTACAAGATACTGTAAAGATTTCAAACTGTTATATCAACTATCCCTAAAATGCCTCCACTTTACCAGCCATTGATGATATCCTCAAATGGGGAAAAATCGCCGGTTTTAAAAGTACTGACCTTGCCGATAAGGCCCTATAAACATAAAGATTATATGAGCAAATAAGATCAAATAAGTATAATTACGCATGCATGCATGTAGGACACAATTACATTGCACATTCTGCCACATTCTGCCAACATACAATGGATGGCTTCGAAATCCTGCACCACCTTGGATGATTGAAACCCTTTTTAATGGGATAAGCTACCTATCAACTGGTGCCGGATGCCCAGCACATCGCCGAGATGCGGCGTGGGCATTTCATACCACTCATCCTGGCAGCGGTACAAACCACCCGAAGGCAAGGCCCAAATGGCATCGAAGTACCTTGCGGGCCGGGGAATGTCCTGTAGCGAGGTGGTATCTTGGAGACATAGGGATAACATAGGATAAACATGGGAACATATGGGGATGCAATGGGATGTCCAATTTTTTTAAAACTATTTATGTGGCGTCTCAACATAAGAAATGATATTCCCCAAAAAATACGCAGAATACGCCGAAAGCTTGGATCTATCATGATTTCTATCTATTTAAGGATTGGATTTATCATGTCCCTGGGTATCATGTCAGATGTCCCCCCGGTCGCACATCCGGCTCCCCGGCTCCCCCTCCCTCGTAATTTGTGTCAAGGTGTGGCAGCAACAGCCTCCAAAACAATGACAATTTCTAACACTATTAAAGAAAAAAACGCCACTTTATCAACTAACAGTTCGGTCCTGACAATGACTTGCCCCAATTCTTAGCAATGGCAGGAACGGCCGCCTGGCCAGGCCAGCGATGTGCAATAGGAGATGGACAGCCTTCTGTCCAGCATAGTTCTTCCTAGCGCGCCATTGCGGGCGATGGCGAAAAGAGCGCTGTGGAGCATCTGGTATATATCCATTGGGGGGGCCAGGGGAGGCTGTATCATATGTATATATATATAATATGTAAATACAAATATAAATATAGATTTAAATATATGCCAATGAGTAAGAAGCAGGATTGAAACGAAAAATATTATAATGTGGTAAAGCCATGTGAAGCCAATGTCATAAAACAACCCCAAGTTTAGGTCTATTTATTACTGGTTGCCCACATTATAAACAATATCGGGCAGGAATTGACTTAGTTGGAACTTTTTGAAATTGTTTGATGTCCAGAATATATGGATATATATATATATGGAACCCTTATTCAAGCATCAACCTGGCTGAAAATAGTTGTTATAATACGGGGGCCATGTGGATAGTTGCAATTTATAATTAAAATTGAAACAATTTACTTGTGTAGTTGGAAGCTGTTGGAGAAGGTAGCAACGTAGTTGCGAGTTGTTATGCCAAAGTCACTCAGGTTGGTAGTTGTTATACGAAACTTTATAATGTAACATCAAGAAAGTCGTTACAACGTCGTTGGACTCCGTTGGATGTTGTTAGAACAGTTACAAACGTACTGGGACGATGTAGCAGAAGTGACTAACGTAGTTGGAAGTTGTTAGGGTCAAGAACGCTGATAGCCCACCCCATCCCATGGAAGTTGTCAGAAATGGTTGTAACGTAGTTGGAAGTTGGAAGTTGTTAGGACAAAAAAAGGTTAGTTTTACGAGCACGGTTTTCGGTCCGCAGGCATAGATATCATTGTATATATTTATATATATTAGATATTAGATATTAGATACTAGATATATATATATATGTACATATATATATATATATATATTAGATATTAGATAAAGATAATTATAATGCCACACGACACACACATTCATACACACACATATGTATATATAATTACATACATATATATATATATATCATGTGTATATTAAGCATCCTCTAAAGATGGGGCTTGGGACCGCCACGTGCGGATTGTCTCCCCTTCAGCGGATCAGCGGATGTTCCCAAGGCGCGTAAGGACTGCTAGAGCACGTCGTTGTCCAGAATTGGAGGTTGACAAAGCTTTCAGCATACCTACGGGAAACATATGGAAAAATACTGGGTTTATGCCAGTTAAATGGGATGAACATGATGAAACATTATGGAAAACACTGGTTTCATGGGAAACAAAAATCATGAATAATGATGGAACATGCTGGTTGAATGGGATGAACAAACAATCATTGAACCAGTGAACCGAGATTTTACTGAATGGCGGTGCCCGAGTTCAGAATCATAGTATTTATTATGTTAGGTTAGATATACCAAGGCATAGCTGGGTATATGCAACAATTTGTGACGCGTTTTGGCTGTTTACCAGGTGTTTCAAGCCGACCACGAACAATTCTCATTCCTGGTGTTCTTGCCTATTCAAATCTCTCTCCAGTGTTCACCACGAACGGTAGAAATGGCACAATCATAGCTACTAAACGTGCGCTACATAAACTGACAAGAGATTCTGCCAAGACCGAGTTGCTCTTGAGATTCTCAATTCGGCTCCTGGCGGAGGGATTGGTTTTTGAAAGGGAAAACATGATGAATTCCTGCTTTTCAGGCAGGAGCACGATGATTCCTGTTGGAATCTGAAGTTTGCACTGGCCATGTACGGCCGCCGTGGCCACCAGCCACCAAGCGAAGATATGATCGCAGCCAAGACACCCTTTCACCCAAGGTGTTTGGAAGTTGGTTCTCACAATTTGCTTCCTTGGCGTCTATGTCAAGACAAAACTGTTTCATGTTTCATGAGAAGAGATGAATTTGTCTCATTTGTATAATCTAGAAGTCTTCTGAGGCAAAATGGTGAGGGAGTTTCGAGGGTGTTGTTACATTTATATACATTTATGTAGTCATTGTAGTTATCACAGGTGCGTGGATTCTCCCAACCTCCAAGTGTTTGGGTTCTACTAACCTCAACAGTGAAGGGATCAAACATCTGAGTCCAAAAACGGGGGATGCAAGAAAAAAACATCCACGTCCCTACAAAGATAAGCAATTTTAGAGACTTTTTGGCCTCCCACTTTTTGGGACATAGATGTGTCTTTTCATTTTTCGATTGAAACTTAACTGTAATTTATAACCATTGGAGCTGTCACCAGCAGAATGAACCTGTTCAATCAAAAACCCCTGTGAACACATTACATAAATTTCAGCAGCAACAAAAAACACATTGAAAGAAAATCGTGACCACTCTTAAGCACCCTGCAAACAACTCATGTTTACAGTAGCTGATGACTGACTTTTTGGATAGCTACAGTACCCCAATCCTAACCGTTCCCATGACACGTCAGGCCATTATAAACCGAAATTTATCACATTTATACAATTCCTATAATTGTTGCGTCTTACACCACGTGTTTTCCTGCTTAAAGCATCATGTATTCATCGTTAAGGCATCATTTATTCATGGTTAAAGCAACACTTTTCCTCCAGCTGCGATACTGTTGCCGTCAGAGCACTGCACTTCCTCCGAGTCCCCATCTTCGATGAGGTAAGTGATCAAGGTCCTGCGATCAAAACTGGTGACGTTGCTATGTTTATTGCTCCAAAAAAAAGGCAAACATAACTTTAATTTACTCAGTTGGTTTCTACTTATTTTTCCGTAATACCATCTTCTGGTGTCATACTCTTGGGCCACTTGTGGGTATTTATAACTCCGTAACTGGTATTTCATGCAGGAATCATGGATGGCTCAGTGTAAACTATGAATTCAACATATTGAAGTTTCATATCTGGGGTCACAGGCTGAGTTGATGGCTTGATCGCACGTCGAAAAAACATAAGGTGATTGAATCCTCCTCCCATAAACAAGTAAGGATGCAAAAAAAAAAACAAATAAACCTTTTACATGAAACCACGCACCTCAGGCAACAAAGTAATACAAATTCAGGGGAAGGCTTTTGTGAAGTGCACATGGCGAGGTTCACAAAATCAGCTGTCTGGATCCCGATTCATGGGAGGTAAGGACACTCAGAAACTGAGAAAACTGTTCAAAATTATGCAGCATGTATGGCATGTTTATATATCCTTGGCGTTCTCACATGCTGGAGATAGAACTGACAGAACCGTTTGCTCAGGCTGTTGCAAATGGCAAATGACGAACCAAATTCACCCAAGAGTCAATAACGTGATGTGCATGGATGGTATGTAGCTGATGGTTTCAATAACGAGAACCATTTTCGTCTTCCCAAACAGGAGCACAAATGTGAAACTGCGAGCATGTATGGCATGCGTAAAGATGATGAAAACAATAGGCCACCTAACCTATGAGCATTTACAAGCCCAAGCCAGATTTGAAACGACGTCGGAAATAAGAACCATCATTTGTAGCACCTTGTAGCAATGCAGGTGTGAAATGGTCTCAGGTCATTTTCATCTGCCCATACCTTCAAATTCGTCAAGGGACAAGGTTTCATCGAAGTCGAAAGTCACTAACTTCACCTTAGCCAGTGGGTGTCTGGATATTTCTGGCAGTGATCAGGCATTGAAGTGCACATGCACTTCCCTGAAAGGCTCAAGTCACACAAATATCACAATTGGGGTACCAAGGGTGCCACAAAATGGTTTCTGTTCAAAATTGATGTATCCTTGGAAAAAAACTAAACATTGTGAATGAATACCATTCCCTCTCTGTGTGTTCTACTTACTCTTGCACGTGCACTTACATTTATACTTCTGCATACTTCTGATTAAATTATAGTGTATATTTACACACACAAAAAGTATCACACAATTACCGAGGCCTGTGCATATGACATCTCAAACGATAAAAGCACAGGAAAATCAAATGAATAAATAGCCAAGTACTAAGTACAGCATATGCGATTGGCAACTTATTATTATATATAAAAACAAATAGCTATATACAAACATATATTTCTCCCTCTCCATCACCATCTATATATATATATACATATGTTTATGTATATATATATATACGATATGTTGTACAGAAAATTTTAAGATACTGTAATATAGCAAAGTATATGATAACATAATTAATACAATACAGTACAATATAACTTAATATAATATATTATAATAAAATAAAATATAATAATATATATATATATATATATACATGTATACATATGCAGGGATCACCACCCCCCCGAGCCAGATGGTTCCCCCATCCCTGTGGCGTGGGGGCGAAGGGTTTCTCAGCAACAATCCTACATGGGCAGTGTTAGTGCAGCTGTAAGCGGTTGATGTCCAGTTTATAGGGATTATATATAGAGAGAGAGAGAGCATTTAGGGAGTTTACGGGGGGTATATACGTATACAGGAACTGGGCACCCTATGCAATGAGTCGTATATAGGTATGTACACTATGACACATGTGCAGGTGATATATTTAGTGCGCAAGTAGGATACAGGCAGTGATGAAGAAGCGTATATACTACACAAAGGTGTATAATGTTAGTTAGGCATTTATATTTATCTGGTAAATACAAAACTTCTATGTATGTAAATGTATATATAAACACAACTATGCATGTATCTCTCTATATATATGCATGTATTTTATGTATGTATGTATTATATGTATCGTTTAACACATACTCCATGCAAGCATATAATGTGTATATATATATATATATGCATTGTATAGGTATGCATGGGCACACTTTGAGCAAATAAACTAAAGCTAGCACATATGTAGCATAAAGACAAACAATGGCAAACCATGTGTGAGGTACGCTATAGGCAGTATTTAGTACATATATATATATATATTGTTTGCAAAGCAATAATAAACCAACCCAAATCACCATACATAGGTGGTGCGTCTATGTTTACCATTCCCACATGGGTGGTTGATGACATTATTTTACCCTCATTATATATATATATATATATACGTATTAATGTCAACCCTGGATTAATAAACCCCAAACGGCTGTTTAAGTGGGGTGGTACCATTTAAGCATCAGAATTATGATAACTATGACATACTATGACTATTTGGGAAGTACCCTATATATATATATATATATTATATATATATAGTTAATAAACTATAGTCATAGTTATCATAATTCATATATATATAAACCATAGTACCATAGTTTTATAAACTAAAATAAACTATGGTTTACACATGGCTCTTCTCTTTCGCCAAGCCGCCGGGTAGGCCTCGTCGAGCCGCGCGAAGGTTCGCTCCAGGCATTGACAGCGAAAGGCCGCGCGGGAACTGCTGCGCGCGCGGGGCGAGCTCAGTGGGGATGCCATGGGGGCGCCTGGAAAACGATGCCATGGATGCCATGGTTTAACCATCAGAGATGTTTTACCATGAAAAATGGGTGGTTTACCATGAACAATTTGTGTTTTACCATGAACAATATGTGTTTTACCATGAAAAAAATGTGGTTTACCATGAAAAATGTGTGTTTTACCATGAAAAATTGGTGTTTTACCATGAACAATTTGTGTTTTACAATGAAAAAATTGTGTTTTACCATGAACAATTTGTGTTTTACCATGAAAAATGTGTGTTTTACCATGAACCATTTGTGTTTTACCATGAAAAAAATGTGTTTTACCATGAAAAATTTGTGTTTTACCATGAACAATGTGTGTTTTACCATGAACAATGAATGTTTTACCATGAACAATTTGTGTTTTACCATGAAAAAAATGTGTTTTACCATGAAAAATTTGTGTTTTACCATGAACAATTTGTGTTTTACCATGAAAAAATTGTGTTTTACCATGAAAAAATTGTGTTTTACCATGAACAGTTTGTGTTTTACCATGAACAATTTGTGTTTTACCATGAAAAATGTGTGTTTTACCATGAACAATTACCATGAACAATTTGTGTTTTACCATTTTACCATGAACAATTTGTGTTTTACCATGAACAATATGTGTTTTACCATGAAAAACCATGAACCATGTTTTACCATGAACAATTTGTGTTTTACCATGAACAATGTGAAAACCATGAAAAATGTGTGTTTTACCATGAACCATTGTTTTTTACCAATTTGTGTTGTGTTTGACCAAAAAAATGTGTGAAACCATGAACAATGTGTGTTTTACCATGACCAATGAATGTTTTACCATGACAATTTGTGTTTTACCATGAGCAATTTTTTTTACCATGAATTTGTGTGTGAAATGTTTTACCATGAAAAACCATGACCATGAAAATTACCATGAACCACCATGTGTTTTACCATGAACAATTTGTGTTTTACCATGAACAATTGTGTTTTACCATGAACAAAATGTGTTTTACCATGAAAAAATTGTGTTTTACCATGAACCATTTGTGTTTTACCATGAAAAAATTGTGTTTTACGTTGTTACCATGAACAGTTTGTGAACAATTTGTGTTTTACCATGAAAAATTTGTGTTTTACCATGATTGTGTTTTACCATGTTTGTTTTACCATGAACAATTTGTGTTTTACCATGAACAATTTGTGTTTTACCATGAAAAATGTGTGTTTTACCATGAACCATTTGTGTTTTACCATGAACAATTTGTGCTTTACCATGAAAAATTTGTGTTTTACCATGAGCAATGTGTGTTTTACCATGAAAAATGAATGTTTTACCATGAACAATTTGTGTTTTACCATGAACAATTTGTGTTTTACCATGAGCAATTTGTGTTTTACCATGAAAAATGTGTGTTTACATGAAAAATGTGTGTTTTACCATGAAAAATTGGTGTTTTACCATGAAAAAATTGCGTTTTACCATGAAATTTTGGTGTTTTACCATGAAAAATGGGTGTTTTACCATGAAAAATTGGCGTTTTACCATGAAAATTTGGTGTTTTACCATGAAAAATGAATGTTTTGCCATGAAAATGTGTGTTTTACCCTGAAAATGGTTGGTTTGAGGAGCAATGGATGGGTGATTTTGGTTTGGGATCATGGGAATCTGGATGAACACTGCGGCGTATTTATGGTGTTTGAAGAATGAACAAGGGTGGCTTAACGAGCGATAATTAGGGATTCAAGTAAAAAAATGTTTGGATGTTATTTGGTATTGATATACCATGGAGATATATGATGATTCAGTGATGATATATGGTTGTATACATTTATATGAGCAAATTAGTCTGATTCTTGGGTGTGTTTGAAACTGGGGTATACCCTCCGAAAATGCAAGTTAATGGGGAAACATGATAAATCCAATGGCATTGGGGGGTGCCCATGCTCAAACAAACCCATCTTTGCGTGCTTTCTTGATTCTTAAAGTCTTATTATTGGGATATTTTCTTTTTGGGGAAAACTTGTATGTATATGATATTTGCATTGCGAACACACTCGATATTTGTGCATTTTGGAATATGTTGCGACATGTTGCGACCTTTTTCCATGGGCCTTACTTGAATATGCACGGGCTACACGGTGAGACGACAAACCTTCCCAAACACTAGACACCAAATGTAAGTAATTATATACTTTACTCATAAAATAACATTTCAATAAGATGCCAATCTCTGTGACATCTTTCACAAATCCATTCTCTGGACCTCATCTGTCGATCTTTCAGCTTCAGCCGTCCCACTCCGCTCCACCACTCGCACTGTCCTGCGCTTGGACGACATGGCTCCCAAGCGGCTGGGTCATCGGCGTCATGACTGCATAAATCAAAAGCATGTGGTGAAGCTTTTGATAGGTCGGTTCCTTAACTTCTCCAGATTGTTTATTCTGCACATTCTTTCATAAATTTGCTAAAAGATCAGCCGGATCAGCATTCCAGGAAGTGACTCGTAAAAGCACAAACCAATGGCCACTAGGAGGCGGTCAAACGCGTGGGCTGTCAGGCATGCTGTCTAAAATGTCTCAAAATGTGGATGTATAACCCAGAGACCCCCCCAGTGTTTTAATTCGACCCGGGCAAATATGCATGTGTATCCTACATGATTGCATATGTAATATATTCACCACAAAGCCATGCTTCTTGAAGAGCTTCTGAGCCTGAAATTCTGCGTGAACACTTGCACTGCCATCATATGGGTAGTGGCTCTGGTTGTGATCAATCCAGTTGGGATTTCAAATGCTTTGGCTCCATGGTCATTTCCTGGAAGAACTGCCAAATTTCGTAGCTGAAACAGCCTGCTGGATTTACATAGACATAGTGTTTCACCCAAACATAGACATCAATTCATCACTACCTAGGATTTGTCATGATTTTACTTTTCAACTTTTTGGCGGTTGCTTTTCATCAGTTGTTGCCATGCCCAACACGTGTTGCATCTTTTGTTCAACACCCCGTCTGCCTTCAGGGTTTCCAGCTGGCTTAGCCAGCTGGGTGAAACTGCCTTTGGACCCTCAAAAATGACGCCAAAAAACAAACGTCTAAGGCCATTTCTGAGCCGCCAAGGTTTACCACTCGCAGGACGGCAGTTATCAGTTATATTCAGTTATTATGTGCATTCCAAAAAAGGTAGTGGGAGAAGTTTGGTGAAATCGAAGGAGGTTCTAACATGTAGTGTTTGAGCAGTAGTGCGCGTAATTCGTCCGTGTTTTTGAGGGGTGCCCAAAACATATTATATGTGTTTGTTGCGGCTGACATCCCCAAAGCCTCAACCCGTCCAATTTTGGTGTCTACTCTTGAGCTACCCAGACTCCTGCAGTATCTGAGAGGTATGATGAGGTATGCATGTTTGATCATTTCTGAACAATCTCTTGCTTCCTGCGGCTCCCAGGGGCCCCTCTGCCCCAAATTGATTCAATGTATGGGTGAACATCAAAAAAAATTGTGAATGGATGTAAATGGATGTCCATCCCCCTAAACGTAGTATTTCATAGGTTTTGACCCAACTCACAAACAAGAAAGCCCTATTCCTTGGGGTTATTGACCAACATTACAGCACCCTTCTCGAATGGGTTACGCATGCAAAGTCTGAGGGCGGTTCCTTGGGGCTGTCTGCCGCTTTGGGCGAGCGGGTGGCGAGATCCGATTTTCAGAGATCACAAGGCTCCAAGGCTCGGAGGGAGCCACAGCTAGCGTCCATGGATTAAACACATCATTTATATATATATATGATATATGTATGTCACATGTATCGGTATGTCTGTATATAAATGAAAGTAAATACATATTTATATATCTGATATATATATATACACATATTTAAATATATATATATATATACATATGTATGTGTGTGTGAACATATACACATATCATGTCCTATCTGTCGCGGGAAGTGATCTTACTTGATGTCATCAGCGCATCAGCACATAGCAACAGAACCTGGACGTGACTCCACTTGTCCTAGTGCTAGCCAAATCATCTGCCAGACTGCATGGGACTTTCTTTCCTTAAACTGTTTGCCAAGTTATCTTCCGACCTCGGCATTCAACACTGTATCTGCAACATACCGCCAGTGATATACTATATTGTATATATATATATATATATTGTAAAGTAAAAAACTGTTGGTTACATCCGGCTTCTTTTGTCAGAACAACTGAAGCCATGTCATCCCTATTATATATATAGTAGATATAATTATACTATGGCAGTATCCCTGTCGGATCCCTACCCAGCTATAAAAGCAGCCGCAGCCAGCATCAGAATCTTGTCGTGTGCGGCTACTTCTCGGTCTCAAAATACAAGCGTCTGAGAACCGCACAAAAAGTCTCATGTGCGCCGGGGTGTGCTCCACTTTCAGGTTGATATTACCACGTCCTAAATAATCCTAATAAGACATAGTTAAATATAATTAAACAATAAAACAACGTCTATAGCATTCTAAAACAACAATTTACAATCATTGTTGTATCTTATGTCTGTTTCAAGGTAAGCCTCTCTGCACACGCCCTCAGGCATCAGCCTCTTCTCATGCTGCGAGTTCTCAACAGCCCTTCTTGTCTATTCCCAAAAAGCTCTTCTGGGATGCGTTCAGTTTCTGGTAAGACATTGCCGCCTCAGTAAGGTGGCATGCTGCAGGTGAACCCAAAGGTGCCCACAGGGTCCAAGGAGGATATGGAATTGAGGACATGCCTGGCTACTAAAACATGCGAGCTCAACTGTTCAACCCTTAAACGCTTCAAGAGTCTTTGGAGAAGATACCATGCAAATCCACAAAACTTCAGGGGATATTGACCCATATTGAACCCGCTCCTGTCATAGCGTGGGTTTTGCCCAGTAATGCCCAGTAACATGCAGGGATTGACCGAGTGCAATATCATCCTGTGAAGCGAGGATGCCAGCGACTATACCAGGCAGTGTTACCAGGCAGTGTGGTAGACCAGGCCGCCCGGGCAGTGCTCGGGGGCAGTTTTTTCTCGATGTGCTGTTGCAAACCTCACCGTTAAAAAGGCTCCCGAAAGAGGGATTATGATGGGATGGGATGATGACTCCCGACATTAATCATCCCATCCATTGTAATTAGAAATCAAATGTGAAAAAATATATATATATATATATACACTTATGTATATATATATATACTGTATATATAGATATTAATTTAGATATAGATATAGATGATAGATATAGATATAGATAATAAATATAGATAATAGATACGATGGTATGAATAATAGATATAGACTTATAGATATAGATATTAATCATGTATATGTTTGCCATATCCATGCCATATCCCCATCGTCAAATGATCTCCCAGCAGCAATGATGGGCTATAGCTTCACATCGCTCTGTTGGGTTGGAACTCCCTGGTAGTCAGTTGGGTGTTGCCTAGGAGTTGATCCAACGTTTGCTGAAATTTTACCAACTGAATATGTGGGTGAAAACCCACAGAATTCAGATGTCAATCCGAGCCTTGGGAGTGTTATTGCGGGGCCCCGGACGACCAGTGCCTTCTGCGAGGCTCACGTTCCTAGGAACAGCAGGTTTCCTTTCCATGGCTGCATGTTAAACAACGCAAGTGGGATTACACCATGGAAATTCAACACTGAACCCAGCGTAGACAAGTATTTTGAGCAACAAACAAGCACATTCTGAATTCAAGCACGCATGTTTTGAGGCTCTAATCTTGGATAACGATCATATTCATATAAAACGCAAGTTAAGTTTTCAGACCAGCCGGGGACCGCCAGTTTGGCCATTTCAAGTGATTTGCCAGAAGTATTACCCTCCGGTAAATTAACATAGATGTGGTGTTTACCCAGCACTCAGCATTTGTAGATCACTTTCCCAGGGAAACCATGATTTTCCACCTCTTTTTGTATGTTTATCCTACATGGTAGGGTACTCCACGTGGTTCCTGATCAACTTGCAGGGGCATATCATTCCGATCCAGCTTGGATGGGGCTGGTATCATTGGGTACCCTCAACATCGAACTACTTTTTTCTGAAAAATCATAAGGTGCCAAAACTGAATGATTCGAGATATTCTAGCCATATTCGAATCTAAACATGGGAAAAACCTTGGGTCCCAAGGTTTTTAAAGTGGTCCGTTGAAAACCGATGCCGAGGCGCCCGAGTGCACCCGACCAGGACAAGCCATAAGGATGCCCAGGAGCCTCAGCTTTGAGAATCAAAGCACCCTCAAACAAAAATGAAGAAAAAGGGTCCAGATGATGGGTCCAGGTTTGCTTCACTATTTTAAGATATATGAGTTTACTTTCTATTTTTGGGGGTTGCTACATGCATATGTATATGCATATGTATATGCATATATATATATATATATGTATATATATATATGTATATGTATATGTATATATATATATGTATATAAATATATATGTATATATACATTTTTTTTGTACACTTTTGTGTGTATGTGTGAATGTGCGTGTGTGCTGTGTGGCTGTGTGTTGTAAACACGTCAATAATAACATCATTGACAATTATACACCAAACGCATGTAATCTACAGTAATCCCCGCAATAATCCTAATCTCCATCCCCACATATGGAACCCCACATGGACAAATTCAATACCAACTCTGAATTTCTTGGGAGTGCTATGATTAGAGGGAAGGGATCGCCTTTCTGTTGGCCACAAAAGAAAGCTAGATCCCACGCCCCAGGCGGTATTGTCAATATGAATATAACACCTTACCGACCAAGTAAGTTTATATATGTTTATATAATAAAATACCACGCAACACATTAGCATCTCAACCCGTCTCAACCCTTCCACCAACTCCTGAAACCAGGCGCCATTCTCCAGCCATCCCGGAAAACGGTTCCACTGGGCCACCAGGCCCCGAGATTGGAAGGGAAGTGCCGCTGCTTCTCCACGTATCCACTGACCAACTGGGCGGGGAAGCGACAAACAGCCCACTCTGAAGTGATGGAACTCATGGGATTGATGAGATTGACGAGAATTAGTTACTGTAAGAGTTAATAACTGGATATGATATACTGGATATATACCCAAGTTGATCCTAGTTGTTTACACATGTTTACACATGTTTACACTCTTGCTAGCTTCAGGCATCATGTCAGTAAAGCCTTGCAGAAACCCTCATGAACTCCGATCACTTTGGCAAAATAATCCAGATCTTCCGGTGGCTGGTGTCGTCCCAAAAGAGACGTCGTTCATCCTCGAGCCTTTGGTGAAGCCTATGCATCACGACTTGGAAAAATAAATGAGTGCCACACGGCTTCTACCCTCTGGTAATTTCACGCTCAACCATTGTAAATTACCCAATGAAAGTAGATGACGTTCCTATTAGTTCCATGGCCATTTTCCATGGCAAACTGCTTTAGTCACCAAAGTGTAATGGACATTATTGTTCCTAAGGATATACAGAAGCCATGGTGCTTCACAGCAGAATGGCTCCCTGGTTTACGAGAACAAAATCAGGAGACCCCTAAAACCAATAGTTTTCCAGTGATTGTTTCTCTTAACCATTCCATTGATTGAAGAGATTATCAAGGTAACATACCTTCTGCCATGGTTTGCGTTGGGAGCTAAGGATCTTAACTTGTCGTCTCCTGCAGCCTTGGTCTCCCCACGATCTTCGCCACAGTTCTTGCCTGCGATTAATTAGTTGACAGCTAGTTGTCATTATTGGGATTAGAGGAACTTTTATATACATGTTGTTAAATGCTTGTATTAGTTATCATTGTATTTATATATTAGATGTACTTTTATAATGTTTTATATATTGTTATCTATTTGTTATCTATTTGTTACTCATTATTACTTAGTAATTTGAATTATAGTTACTGGAAGCATGTGGCCCTGCCAAGCGGCGAGGTGTATCCCAAGGACCGACCATTCTGACCGTGACCATTGTCCCTGGTTAAGACTAAACCATGGTTAGGGGGGTACTCCAATAGTAATTTCATCTACTTTTTTATGGTACCCCAGTTAAACGGCCGGGCCGTTTGGGGTTTATTAATCCAGGGTTGACATTATACACCCCACCACCCCTCCCCTCCCCAAGGGGTCAACTGGCGACATCTTTAGTGCATGTCAAAACCATCCGCTAATCAAACGTGGGAATGGGCAATTCCTCATTTATAGATGATTTTCCGGTGTTAAAACAGTTAAAACTTACATATCAACACCTTCATTTAGAGGGGATTTTCTGCCATGTTTGATTACCGGAGGGTACAAACATGTACAAAAAAACACACCAAAAATAACACCATCAGCCGAAGAAATTTTCCGAGTTAGGCACTATGGCACTGGAGGCCCGGCAACAACACACACTTTTTGCCGCGGATCTGCGGATCTGCGGACAGGACCTGGGACAATTCCGATGAAGATTTGTGCATCGGATATTCACAAGGATCACTATAGCTGGTGAACTGGGTGGGCATAATCACTATCACTATCGTATCTCCAACTCGCTCAAAGTGATGTTCATACTCGCCATGGGTTACTACATTATGTAAATTGCACATACCACATGCACGTTGCAAGTTTCAAACAGCGGGCTATTGTCATATGCAACCCCTTACCCTGTTTAGTACTGGATCATGATTAGCGGCAGTTATTGGGGGATTGGATTGCCCATCTATACCTAGGTCCATTATACTCATGTTCATTTCTTCCTGGGGCAATCTTTTGACTCGCTTTCATATTTATTGCATGTTTGCTATGACACCCTCCCTTTTCTGGTAGAGAATCATTTTTGACTCCACATCTGATTGACGAAATCACACTATACCAGGCCCACGAATCTGGCTGCCGACCTATCGTGAAGCCAGCAGGAGCCCGTAGCCGATGGAGAACAAGGCCAGGATGAAAGCGATGACGTATGCTCTGTAACGATCAGGAAGGCTATTGGAGCTGGACCTGTGGCACTGGGGCAAAGGTGGCCCCTTTGGGACACACCATGAAGTCGGACCTCCCTCTGGTAATTTAACATACGAGTAGCTATGGAAAACGGCCCATTGAATTACAAACTAAAAAAGGGTGATTTTCCATAGCTATGTTGAATTACCAGAGAGTAATTGAAAATTTATCGCTCTCTCTGTCTCTATTGTTATGAAGAAAAACACCTTGCCCGAGCTGAATTGGAAACCTGATCTGCAACAAATCTTTGTGGCTTAACTTGAGTACCTATATATATATATAAATATCTAAACATATCTAAACTCTGTAGACCATACATGGGGCACTGGACCACGATTGTGTTCCATTGATGAACCCCTGGCCGCCCTAAAGGTGTGCCGCTAAGAATCTATGAGCAGATCCGTTCACTTGAAATGGCCGTCTTAGATCCCCATCATTTCTGGATTATATAAAATATCAATTGATAATATCAACTATTATTTATATATATATATATATCTATCTATATGTTCACGTTTGGTGGTTAAACCACCAATGTTGGTTAATCTCCCATTTGATGGTTGTTAGAATAAACTTCTGCTGCCTGTGCTCGGCAGGCTTGGGCTCAACTTTCGCCGCTGCGGTCGAACCGCTGGAACCTTTCTCCTGTGGAGCAACAGCACCCGGATCTACGTGTGAAAACTGGATTGGTTGAAGAAAGGCACGGAAGCCATGTTTTATTCTACAGTAATCAAAAACAAATCTTTCGTGTATTGTTTCCCTTAAAATGTCCTGAAGTCATCGTAAATCATCTCAATGACACGTTGATGAAACAAACGCAAATAGGCTGATCAAATTTGATCATCAACAGCATCAAACAGCATCCGCCTCTGCATGCTTTTGTTGGGCCCTCCCACTGATGAGAAATCTTAGGTTTCAGGTCCTGGAACTTAGGTTGCATTTCAGACTTTACCACCATCCATTTGAAATCATAGCTTGAGCATGGTGAGCCATAGCCACATGTAGCCATATATCCTTCTGGATAATATAGACAGAGCCACCGGATGAAGGTACCTCCTTCTCAGCTTTCATTTTGGCTTGCAACTCATCCCATCTCCTCAGATGAAGCAAAGCCGAACCTACCCCAGTCATTTTTTTGGAGCCTCCTGGAATCAGGTGAATCAAACAAAACAAGAAATCATCACAACCACAACGCGAACAACCCAACATCAAGAAACCAACTGCCTGGAAATCCACTTCGATGGATTTGAACCACTGCCACTTCTTGTCCAACCGATTCATGGGACATCTGCTTGGTTGTACCGTATGGCTATGGCTATGGCCATGACAAACATCACAGCATCACAGCCTTCCGTGGCCATGGCTCTTCTTGTTCTGCTGATTGATCTTGCCAGCTTCGGACAGCATCAAGGACAGCGTCAGCCGCTTGCCCCTCAGCAACTTGCGGGCTGAAGGATGTCTCACTCAAAACACTAACACGACACACGACTCAATAGCCAATATCAATCAATATAGCCAATATCAATCAATATCAATATAGGCAATATCAATAGCCATCAATAGCCAATATCAATCAACTAACGAAATTCTTTAAGTTGCTAATATGTGCCCTGGGGGTTTCCATACCTCAAATGATGATGGAAAATCCCTAAAAAATCTCCGGATTGCAGAGCGTCCCCCATCTCTGCCATGACGCGGAGAGAAACGCCAGGTCGACCGGTCGGGGTCGATGACATCACACTCCACGGGGCCCAACAGCAAGGGTGGCCTTGGAAATGCTACTTTTGATGGTTGCGAAATCACCACTGCAAGGATGGTTGAGACATATTGAAACCCTATAAACAATGGGATAAACCATGAGATACCATGAGAAACCACCTCTCAACTAGGACCTAGGATTTCTATGGATCTCTTCCATCTACGGTATTCTTATGACCCTGAGGATATCGAGAAAATCAATCCCCAACATATACGTCGTATAACCGCTGATCAGTATACAGTAAGAGGGAGTGTAACTTGTAACCATCAATATGATAACCAATCAGCAGTGGTACTTCTAATGGCTCAAGTAAAATGCCAACATTTCTTTCTGGATTTCATGATGACACAGTTGGAAGGAAATGATTTTCCCTTTCCCATACTTACTATGTCATCATGGTATATGTGGTTGCCAACATGTTGCATTAAACTTGACCGAGCCGGATGGTAAGTATGCCATATGTGGATGGTAATCAGGCAGACCCAATGATAAACCATACGCCATGTACCAAACCTTGCCATTTGGGAATGAACACTACAGTATGTTATATATTCGAGTTTTCCTTTTGACACTTTGGTAGTCAATCATGCTTGGCTGAAATGGTGGTACAATCAACCGGTAAACTTGACCCAAATGATTACAGCAAAGGGTTTTTATCACAAAGAAATTTGAGGTGAGGTATGACTATAACCAAAACAAATGGTTTCTGGACGTAGTTCAGCCAAATGGATTTGAATTCAAATGGATACAACCATTACCATACTATATATGTGTTTTTTTTGCAGATACAAACGCATGTATGTACAATTCGTATGTATTACAACATGTGAGATGGTGTATACCAACACCGAAAACTGTGTCTCAGGCCCAACAAATGAGACTACATAGCGGGAAGAGTTGGCTCAGTGCGACAGTAAGTGGGGCATATGGTATACGAAAACGACAATCCACCAAACAATGGGTTGTATACTTATAAAATCATTGGCTGGACACTAGGAACACTTGGACCTCAGTACATCTCAGTGATGTTTGGGGTGGTGTAACCCAACAAGGATCCATCCTTGTATACACTAGCCTCAGGAATGGTTCTGTCGCCAACTATTAGGTCTTTATGTGTCCATTGCAGCCCCAACCATCGCAGGTAGCTTTTGCAAAGCAGCCAGTTGCCAAGTAATACAGTATGCGTATTGATGGTCCACCCAGTTTATCACTATTTTGGGTATTCAACCTAGTCTATACATTGAGGGCTCACATGCTCTCCAATATCCGCCGACCCCGGCAGACGCAAGGGGGAGCGCGCCAGGGAATAAGACAAGCAAGTTTAGGAGCAGGAGCCGCAGCAGCAGCAGGAGGAAAAAGTAGCCAAAATCATCATGTTCTATGGGTTTCAGAAGTTACGTTAGGCATTTTCGGGGTGCAATTTTGGGGCTTATGGGCAAGAGCACGCAAAAGGGCAGCAGCAGCAGCAGCAGAAGCAGCAGCAGCAGCAGTTGTTTCTTGCTTTGGAAGCTGTTTGATTGCAGCAGCACGACAGCAGCACCACAGCAGCAGCAGCCACCAGCAGCAGCACCAGCAGGAGGCAGCAGGCCGCCGCAGGCAGCAGCAGGCAGCAGCAAGCAGCAGTAGGCAGCAGCAGACACAAGCAGACGCAGCAGCAGTAAGCGCAACGGCAGCAGTGCAGCAGCTAGCAGCACGAAAAATTGTGTTTTTCTAGGATTTTCAAGGAAGGCACCAATGGCCAGTAGCAGCAGCAGCGCCAGTAGCAGCCAGCAGCCAGTAGCCAGCAGCCTACCCAAAATCTCTAGATTTTTCTAGGATTTCAGACGACACGTTAGGCACTTTTTTGGCGTGGTTCTGGCACTCGCTCGTCCTTCAGAGCCCTGGTGTTTTCCCCCCGGCAAGTGATTTTTTCGAACCTGTTTTACTGCTAGCAGCCGCCAGCAACAGAATCTATCGAAAAATTGTGTTTTTCCAAGCAGACGCAGCAGCAGCAAGCGCAACGGCAGCAGTGCAGCAGCTAGCAGCACGAAAAATTGTGTTTTTCTAGGATGGCACCAATGGGTGTCAAGAACGTGGGCAAGAGCACGCAAAAGGTGCACATAGCCAGTAGCTAGCAGCCAGCGCCAGTAGCAGCCAGCAGCCAGTAGCCAGCAGCCTACCAAAAATCTAGATTTTTCTAGGATTTCAGACGACACGTTAGGCACTTTTTTGGCGTGGTTCTGGCACTCGCTCGTCCTTCAGAGCCCTGGTGTTTTCCCCCCCGGCAGGTGATTTTTTCGAACCTGTTTTACTGCTAGCAGCCGCCAGCAACAGAATCTATCGAAAAATTGTGTTTTTCTAGGGTGTCAGACGACACGTTAGGCACTTCTATATATCTTGTATATATTTCTATAGGGTTTCAAACGTGACGTTTGGCAGTTTTCTCGTTTATATAGCACCAATGGGTGTCAAGAACATGGGCAAGAGCACGCAAAAGGTGCACATAGCCAGTAATCGGTTGGCGGTATCGGCTTGGGCGCTATCTCTGTGCATGCTGTAGCATATTGAGCACAACGCAATACGCTAGAATCACCATATTCATCCCTTGTAGTGGACATGGATCTGAATGCGAATCCGTGATGTAGTTTTGTATGCCAAGGATTGGGGTTTAATGATGCTAATCGCGCATGTGGAATATTTTTTTCTAAGCATAATTATATGTTTTGGGTTTGCTAGTCCGCATGAGTTCAAGCCATTCCCAGGCTTGGACAATCGAAAATCGTCCACAGGTCTAAGCAAAGCAAAATTGTTCACAGGTCCGGACGACCCAAAAGCATCCACAGATTCGGACGACCCAGAAGCATCCACAGGTCCGGACGAACTACAATCATCCACAGGTCCCGATGAACCACAAGCATTAGACGACTCAGGGCCATGGCAAATCAAGACGTCTGGATGTAAACAATCATTGAAACGCAGCGTGGTTTCTTGATTCTGACGCTTGTTTTTATGGAATCTTTTTGCTTGCTTCTGGCGTCTGTTGCCTACCCAACGACTTTTTACAGCACCGCATCGTTGTAAGGCTTCAACTCTTTCAACTGCATTTCGCTGATTTTCTTCAACTTTTTGCATTTCACATAGTTTAACATCAGCAGCAGTATTTTTTGTTAGCAAGCTACGTGTCACTGCACACGTACACAAGTCACAACTCCTTGGGTTTTGTAGCGTTTGAAAACGACATGCTGGCAGCAAAGCTCCAATTCCTGACGGGCTAAGAAACACCACCACATGACTTTTCATCCGTAACAGCACTGTCCCCATAAGACCATTAGTTGTTTCTACTTGACGACCGGCTAACTTCAAGTATGGCATTGTCCATTCTTGATGTCGAGAAAGGGTCAGTATATTTCCGACGCAGGCAATTGCATATTTTGTTCTGCGACACGCTTTACAAATCTTCGGTTGAACACTTTCAGACTTTACTTTGCATTCAGACTGACTTGTCAGACAATTGTGGTTCATCGGGACTTGTGAACGATTATGGTTCGTCCAGACCTGTGGACGATTGTGGTTCGTCCGGACCTGTGGACGATTGTGGTTCGTCCGGACCTGTGGACGATTGTGGTTCGTCCGGACCTGTGGACGATTGTGGTTCGTCCGGACCTGAGGACGATTGTGGTTCGTCCGGACCTGAGGACGATTATGGTTCGTCCGGACCTGAGGACGATTATGGTTCGTCCGGACCTGTGGACGATTGTGGTTCGTCCGGACCTGTGGATGATTTTGGTTCGTCCACACCTGGAGATGGTTTGGACCCATCCAAACCTGCGGACACGTCAGCTCAATTGAACTGAGCGTGGCGTGCCCCTGCCTCGGTGTCTCAAGATACCAATTCTATCCGTCCAGTAATAGACAATGATGATACATTATTTTCAAACTAAGGTTTGGGCTGAAGCTGACAACAGCTTTTCACAGAGCTGTGTCAAAAAATACCTAAGAGGTGTGTATACCAATCATTCAAAATTTGGACGCTGCAAAAGTGTGTTTACGGAGGCGATGGACTGATTATTTGCGTGCGTGTATAGTCAACTGATTTGGGTTTCTCACTTTGTAACTTCTTTCCCCACACCAACGCCGCCACCAGTTGCAACTGTGCTCGTTGGCCTTAGTCAATAAAAAAGGTTCGTCCTTTAATCAGGTGTTCAAACGTTTCTCAAGGAGGATTATAGGATAGTAAAAAAAAATGAACACGAAAAAAATTGAGCACCTGACTTACCGCGCTAGGGCAAGATTTGCTCCGCATTTTTCAAATTGAATGCTTGGAGCCAAAAGTCTGCTGGTCCATGAAACTGCATTATCATTGAGTAACGTTCCAACATACAAATAAAGACGTTGTTAGAATTAGAAGTGAAAGACAAATAATAACGAACATATTGGCGCAGAAAGTTTCAATACAGTTTGTTAAGAGTTTGCGTGTCTTTTTTGCCGTTACCGTCGCATATATGAAATAACAGCCTTAGAATAGCAGTTGCACCCACCTACCATTTTGAACGGCGTCGCAAGTGCATATCGTCGCAACATGTGGACACACACTGACATGCGCACACTGAAACATCAAATAGCACCGTCATAATTACGGCCAGGAGCCGGAGCACGGCCAAGGACAATTGAGTTATATTTCAAGATTTTTCCACTAAAAAAGCTAGAAATCCATGAAAATCACGTTACTTGCTCTTCTAAGGTTCTCCTCAGCTAAACACTGCACTGTCGTTAATTTGATTTGTTTGGACCACCTTTTCGTCATCTCATCAAGACGGTCAATTTGATATCGTCTTCAAATCCTGGTTGTAAGAATTTATATCAGGTGGCCAGCAAGTCCTCACATGAAACAAAAATAATTCCACGCAATTTGCAACACCACGTGCTACACATTTTTCACGAGCTTTTTGTCTTTGTTGCACTGCGGCCACCGTAGACCTTGCGCAGCTCAAGGGACGTACAACACCCTGCATTATTATAGGACACTCGAAATTTAGCAGTTTGAAGACGTCTGGTCGATTGTCAAACAAAATTTGCAATCACAGTTGCTTTGTCGCCTTTCATCACTGTCGTCGGTGATACTTACTTTGGTACCTTCCGTCATGTTTATCACAATGAGCATCTACTCACCCTTTATCTCTATACGGGATCATGGCGCCTATTCGGTGTCAGTCGGCCGCGAGACGTCTGCAGCTCGCACTCAGTCCTTTGAGACGGCGAGCCCAGTAGAACTTGACGATATGCGGGCAATCATATATACATGATGCCATGAAATAAAAAAAGCACTTGGTACGAAACTAGTGTGAGTGCTTGCTTCCGCCAACAGCAGATCTTTGAAACAGCATTTCATATTATGGAACAGCAAAAGCATACCTCTCAACTTTGACTTTGAACTTGCGATTTGTGACCCCTAAAGTGGAACTCTTGAAATCCAAGAATTATGTGATGATTAGTCGTTACAACACAAGCATCCAACATGATCGCACTGCAAAAGAATACCTCCAAGCTATTGGAACTTGTAGTTTGTGGACTAGGGTTTCTCAAGCCCAATATTCTGTTTAATTATAGAACAACAACATTAACATGAACATTCACATTAACATTAACATTAACATACGTACATATCGTCATCCGATGACAAAATTCTGATGGAGTAGAAGTGACTTACCTGAACTTTACAACTGCACATTGCGTAAAGACCTCAGAACTCACCATTCCAACTGTTTCTCTTTCAATCCATATTTGGGCGCCTGCGACGGCCATTTCATGGTATGTTCCATGGCTTTTTCTCCTCACCACGACATCTCCCTCACGGTTTGGCGGTATCGGCTTGGGCTACCGTTGTAATAGTGTGTAATTACACTAACCTAAAGATTGAAGATAACAACATATACCAAACACCATCGAAAGGCACCAAGACGTCCTCTGAAGAGTTGAAGTGTGCACGGCTCAGAGACCTGGGTCTGCCAGAATCATTTATCACCGTATCACAATAGTAGTACTATGGTTTTTTGTTCTTCGGGATAATGATGGAATGATACTGTCATGGGATCAAGTGTCTGGAAAAAGTTGATTCAATTTGGCTTCTGAATTTGTCCAAGTCAAGAATTATGTGATGATTAGTCGTTACAACACAAGCATCCAACATGATCGAACTGCAAAAAAAATACCTCCACCTTGACGCCCAAGGTGGAGCTATTGAAGCCTGTAGTTCGTGGATTATCCAGGTGTCGACCAATCAGTTTAATTTGAAAAAGTTCAGTTTTTCAAGCCCAATATTTTGTTTAACTATAGAGCAACATTATTGGTTAAAAATGGGGGGGCGCGCGCGGACCTCCAACGTCTCTGGGCGAACACACCATCACTATCAAACACCAACTCAGAGGGCACATGTAATTCTCACAGCACCACTTCTTCCCGTCCGGACTCAGATCTTGTGTGTCCTGACGACGGTTTCGGTTCGACACTTTTTGGACCCAGGGAATCCGGGGGTCCTAAGACTGGGTAAGAACCATATAAAATATTATGAAATACCCCAGTTATATTATATATAATTATATATATAGCATATACATACATTAGATTTCCATTAATAGTGGTTAATAGTAGTTAATAGTGGTTAATCATGCTTAATCAAGATTAATGGTGTTGAATCATGGTGATACTTTTTAGTGTTTTTTGATGTTTTACCCGATGGTATCTAGGATGTGGTTGGGAAACTCGACTGGTAGCTCCTTTTATCGCTCCCCATTGAATGACGGGAATATGAATACCCATAGCTCCTTAGCTCGCTCCCTCCGTTCACCACTGGATAGGTATTATACCAGCATTCATGTTGCTGAAGTCAGCATTATTCCCTAAGGATCCATGTATGGAATATTTGCCTACATTGGGATTATTTTAAATTACTTTAGGGGTCAATGTAGCTAAATATTCCATACATGGATCCTCTGGGATTGTTATTGGCTTATTGGGTGTACTATCATCCGCAACTGGAGGACCTTCGAAGCTTTGGCAAAAAATGTTCCACCTTTCGCTGGAGCCATAGCAAGATCAGGTCATGGCTCATGCTATGAGTTTTTTGTCCAACCCCAAAGCCCAAAATCAACTCATTTGGAAGGCCCAACTACATCTCCCACTTATCCCGGACTTATGCCACATGTTTATAATTGTCTAATCCACAACAACCGGGTAAAATCAAGACAATCTGAGTTGAGTGGATTAAAAATCCAACTGGTCAAATGAAGATCATCTGAGTATGGTTTACTGAGTGGACCCTTGGCTTAGCCAGTCTTACGGCGCAACTTTGAGCCCCCAGACATGAGGATTAAGTTGAAGGCATCCTTGCTCAAATAGCCAGGCCTTTTTCAGGCGGCTCAGCTGGTGCCCAGACTGGGTGAAGCGGTGAAGTCCGAAAATACCGAATGAAAACCTTCACACGTCAATGTGGGGGATTACCCTCTGGTGAACTGTCACATTTTGCGAACTATATATATATATAATATATTTTTTTTTTACTACACGCACACATATATATATATATATATTAACATATAGTATATATATGTGATGGGTTTTGATGCATTTTGATCGATGCTGTTCGCATCACAAACTTTCGAAGCCAACATGGCTCCTACGGCCGCTCCTGAGTTTCCGAGAGCAGCTGGGTATGTTCTGGCAAGAGCAATCGACCAGACGTCAGCCTCGTATGGCAAGATGGGAGGACATCGACTAACTATGACAAATGTGCTGCACTCAGATAATATCTCGAGGCGACATGGCTTGGAGTTCACCTGGATTTGTGGATTGGAAACAATGGCTGCGACTCACTCCCAGTGTGACCGGCTAGAGCACCATATATTTTCAAACAAGCCTTTCTCCGATGCCAAAAGGTAAAGTTCTGTTTCAATTGAGCTTTGGCGCCCTAGCGCCAGCTAGATCCAGAAAGAATAGAGCCACGGGATAACAGCGGATAACAGCCTGACATCATATATGAAAACAATACGAATGTGAAGACTTCCACATCTTCCAAATCTTCCAGATCCAGCCGCAGCACAGCCACTTAAATCTGTACATGTCATCTCCAACTCAGAGCTTCCATGTCGTTGCAACGATGCAAAGTTCGTTGCGATGTTGCAGCCGTTCAAAAAGGGCACCAAAACCGTAAAATGCTGTAAAAGGTTCAACTGAACCAAATCTCACACCAATCAGGAGATTCTGTCTATACAACACTCGGTCCTAGCTTTGTAGCCTCATGATAGTCAACTCCAAACAAAAATGCTCACTGGTTTGTTCCTATTTGTTCTTATCTCTGATAAATCGAGCACTCTCCATGCATTGGCAGAAAGGCTATTCAATGCTATGCCATGCCGCTGTACAAATCTTTAAATCGGCATCGCCTGTACCAATACGTCTCTGACAACAACGATCACTCCCGAGTGACAGCTGCAGTCACAACGCATAGGCTTCAAAAGTCAAGGGCCTTCAAAAGGCAGGAGTTGACCGATGTCTACCCGAATTTTGATCCCAAGTCGTCTTCTTCAAAATGGAGTAAAGTCTGGCTCCCGCGTGCATCTCTGAGAAAACACAATATTGATTTTCATACCATATTTCAAGCATAGCTAGCTGTACTGCACGGTCCCAGCCGACGACCCACAAATTAAGACGGCAGCTTGCTCACCACCAGCAAGCGAATCTACTGCACTTAGGGCATTGGTGCTTCCGTGACAATCGTACGCCCAATCCTACAAAACTTCACGGATACTGACAGCTTCTGCCACTGATCCGATTCGCACGCAGTGCGCGCTATCATACACCCAGGTGACCATGTCACCCCCATTCTTCCGCATTTCTGCGTAGCCAACCACCACAAGGTCCAACTCCTTGAAGGGAAAAAATGCCCATTCACCGTGGAAAACGATTCGAATCGACGACCCATTTTCATCCACCAAACTCGCTTCCCTCTGGACACTGTCGGAAGTCCTTGTGCTCCGAATTTCACTCACCTCCTGCAAATGGCCACACAAAGTAGCACAGAAAGGAGGCAGTGTTCCCCGCATAGATGCAAAGCTTGTGCAGCATGTTTGCCCTTCGTGAATGGCGGCCAGATCCGGTGGCGGAGGATTTGAGATCACTGAGTAGGATGTTTGCGAAGTCCACTGCGTGATTTTGAGCCCCAAGAAGGCATCACGTAGCATCATCACTTCTGCACCTGTGATCTTCAGAAATGCGAAATCAGCTTGCCCATCTAAACGTTGCAGCTGCTTCACTTCAGATTGGGCAGGTGCCCCCCACAGCTCCAGCTTGATAAGGCCAGTCCGATCACCAAGCATAACCTGCAACGTAACATAACCACGCAACAAGCTGCAACCAAATCCACATTCCAAGTAATATGCCAACTTAGTACCCCAATGTTGCCCTCAAACAGCTTACATGTCTAGACAACATACAACTTCAACCACAGCAGCCAAGCGACGCTGACCACATGTTTTTCGGCTCCTCGGACCTTCACCATCCGCGGAGTGCCAACAGCCAGAAGATACGCCATGAAGGTCACCACAGCCCCGGCAGCCGATTGCTGCACACCGTCGACACTCCCCACAATTGTCGGTGTCTTTGCCGGCAGAACTGGCATTGGCCCTCTGCGACGTTTCTCTGGCGAGACAATCGGAGGTGCTTCGCTGTCAGCCATTCGCCCGACGTTAGAACCAACTTGCCTGCTTGAGCCCACTGCTTCCGCCTTTTGAATGGCTACTGTTTTAAGCACAAACATACTACACCATCTTGGATACAAACAAAGGCTGCACCAAATTTTGCTACTTCACACAATTCGTGGATCATGACCAGTTCCATCATGGTCCCCATCTTTTCGATGCCTCTTTGGTCACTTCGAAGTCGGTGAGGCGACGTCGAAGTCTGGGCGGCAGGAATCAATGACTGCATATATATATATATATATACATACCTTTCCCATAGCCCCGACCCACTAACAAATGGTCTTGAAAGTCTGTGGAAACCTGCTGGCTCTTGCGGAGCTACTACATCCAACTTGTTTCTACCCTGCGCCACGCAACAGTGGAAATTGCACTATTGATAGGGGTATCATCTATAATACATAGTTGATCTTTGGAAAATTGCATCAGGATACAGTAACTCTCCATTTTTGTTGGCAGAAAAAGGGACCCAGAAAGAGCGGACCACTATGTCCAGAGTGTGGAGTGAGGAGTGTAAAGTGCAAAGTGTAAAGTGTGGAGCTTCCCCCATAGACACGACGACGCCACAGGAAAACCAGAGACTCGAAACGAGACACGTGGGTGCAGAAAAACGACCATTTCGTACGAGACTTCCTCCAATATTGGTATTTTCCACACGTTATCAAACAGGTTGCAATGTCACAAAGTGCCACGCCTGCCACGCAAAACGACAGGACAACCTGCTTGGAAACATTCGAAAAGGACATGTTTTCCAGCTTCCCCCATGCTTCAAAATCGACGTTTTTCGACGATTTTTTCTTAGAACCTGAAAATTTGCAACCTCAAAATCGATGTTTCGTGCGAGGCTTCCGTCCATTTTCAGCACACGTCAGAAAATGCCACGCCTGCCACAGAATTTGCACCTTGTCACCACTTGACGCAGCCCTACCAATGATTTACAAAAAACACGCAACAGGACACGTCTGAAAGTGCTGCGCCTGCCACAAAAAATGACAATGGACACGTCCAAAGTGCTGCGCCTGCCACGAAAACTGCAACACATTTTCTGAAAACGTCACAAAAGTATTGCACCTGCCACGCAAAACGATTTTCAACACATTGCGAAACACGTCTGAATGTCCCGAAGTGCCACGCCTGCCGCGTGAAACGAAGCAACGACACGTCTGAAACCTCCAAAAATGACCACCTCTGCAGAACTTCCCATCAGCACGGCCATACGGGGATCGCGCGGACGGTTGCGAGCGGTTGCGGACGGTTGCGATCGTGAACGCAACGTCGAGCGAACACACCCTCAACCCCCAGACCCCCAGAGTGAAACGGGAACCCTTGCTACGCATTCGGGAAAAAACATTATAATATAATTTTCTCCGCAGACGTGTGAGGGGACTACGTGTGGAAAAATCCACAGACTCAGCGGAATGTTTGCGAACTGGAAAATCACCATCTATGCAAACTACGCGGATTCTCAACTATGATACAAGTATTTGATAGTATTTGATACCCATAGGATCCATGTATGCTATATATGGTAACATTTGCCATCAATATACCCCAAAATACCCCAAATGTTAGCATATACTGTATACCATACATCGATCCTCTGGGCGCGTATTTGTAGATAGTAGCAAGGCCATTTGGGAGGATATCACATTTCAGACACATCCACATATCATAGCAAGTAGATTTATATTGTTTTTTTAGATATATGCCATTAAATATCACTGGTTGGTGGTATACCTACCCCTCTGAAAAATATGAGTTCGTTAGTTGGGGTTGTAAAATTCCCAATATATGGATAAATAAAATTCATGTTCCAAAGCACCAACCAGATCATCGTATCTCTGTTAATTCCCCATTTTGGTTGGCAAAAAATCACACATCTTGCTGTTCAAAATCCACCGCTCACCCGGCCCTCCTTCGAGTAGAGGGCGAAGCAGTCCATCGCCAAGTCAAGCGCTGCAAAACCATGGGAAACACTGCTGCTACGAGCTGGGATGCACCAACACCATGCTGGGATGAACCCAACACCACGCACCTTTCTGAATTACTGCTTTGTTGATCCCGAAGAAGCATGAAGAACCTGAGAAATGGGTAAGTTAACAAACATGCCAACTCAAATAGGATGATGTATATATATATATATGCATGGTAAACATGGGCAAATCTTTCTCACTATATCTGATACAGTACCTTAAGTTCTTTCTGCCTGTGGCTACCACCAGGACGATCACAGGATGAAAACCCCCCATGTTTTGACCAAATTCATCTACTAAATACTGATAATAATAGTAACAGTAATAACAATATATATATATATATTCTGATGATGATGCTGATGCTGATGATGATGATGATGTCGCTATAGTAAAATTATATGGTACCCGAATGTACCCGATAAAAAGAAACTTTGACCCTATATGGTCACCTGCCAGGACCGACGACTGCGACGGTGTCTGGTTGTTGGTCTGGGTGCTGATTCTCAAAAAAAACTCTTCCAATCGGCGGCCAATTGATGTTGGGATATTGACCTCCATTGGGTATCAATGTACTTTCAAAAAAAAAACGTGGTTTGGTGGAAAATCAAAGATTTGTAGTTAATATTCCCAGCTAGAAACCTCCATTTTTAGGCGGATCATCAAACAGATTCTACTTGTCATCGCAGACATGCAGAGATCAACAGAGATTGTAGCGATGTCATGGATTGGCTTGCTGGATCTTGGATTTTTTTTCAAGCATTCTCCGAGATTTGGTTTGATGATTTTCGCAGCTAGAAAGCTCCATTCCGTTTAAGGTTCAAGGACTTGTCAGCCATGTTTGAAAGTTCCAAACTTCATTGCCGGCTTCATTGCTTGGGGGTTGAAGTTACAAATGGGTATCACGGGTATGTTTTTCGCTTGGGCCCATGTTTTTTTCTTTCCATTTCACAAACCCAATTATTACGAATGTGCCTTTTTCCTTGCGAAGCCTACGACTCACGCAAGGGTGGTCAGACACACCATCCTAAAAAGAAATGGAAAGAAAAAACCATGAGCACAAACCAACAATTCCTTGCCAAACAACCACGTGCGACACAATGAACATGCCCTTATGATAATGTCACTTATTGTAAGTTCACCCAAAATCGAAAACAGCTACCCAAACAGCTACCCCCCCACTTCACCATGACAGTCAATATATCATGAAAAACCCATTTACACATGAAAATTCAAACCTATCAAATATATTTCACAACAATATACATAGGAAAAAGGTCGAAAGCCTCAAGGTGCGAAGCACCGAAGAGTTTTTATGCCAATTTGGTTTGCTTCCTTGCCGATTCTTCCGGGGTCGGCGGCAGGGGCGGCAGCCCTTAAATCCGGCGACGCCTCGCCGTGTAGTGTGGGGAAGCTAAGCATAGCTTTAGCTACCCGGGGGCGCGCCCCTGCCGCCGACCCTCCCCAAAAATCCTTTAGCCTGGTGGGGTTTTCACGTTTTTCGGGGTCTGGGGTGGACAAAAAGAGGGTAAAATTTGAAGATGCGTTTTGGAGGTCCCAAAAATCGGAAAAAAGTACCGTTTTGACACATTTTTCGGACGATTTTTCGCTTTTCGGAAGTCACAAAATGCTGTAAATTACAACATTTTTGCGTTTTAACGTCGTTGGCGGGAGCCATGCAAGAACGCAGAAAATGCTGTAAATACCAATACTTTCTGGACCCGAGATGCACAAAACACTGCAAATACCAGTGTTTTTGAAAGCCAAGCAAAAAAACATTGTAAATTACAGCATTTTTGGCGGGTTGATCGCAAAAAATGCTGGTATTTACAATGTTTCTGCAATTTCAAGCAAACGTGGAAGGCACGAAACACTGTAAATAGCGGTGTTTTGGCAACTTTTGGACGCCGAAACGCTGGTATTTACGCAGTTTTTTGCTTGTGACGGGGCCACTCCCCTGTAAATTACAGCATTTTTTGCACTTTTTGAACCGATTTTTTGTCTTGATGAATGCAAAAAACGCTGGTATTTACACGTTTTTCAAAAAATCGAAGATCGTGATGTGAAGGAAACTCTGTAAATAAGAGTGTTTTAGCCACTTTCGGGGACTAAAACTGTGGTATTTACACGGGTTCTTACCATCTCACAGCACAAAATGCTGTAAATTACAACACTAGGCATAGGCCAACATAGCCTCAAGATGGGCCAACATAGCCCCAAGATGGGCCAACATAGCCCCAAGATAGGCCGCCGACCCTCAGCATGTCATGTTCGCAAGTTCAGATGACATCCCCCTCTCTCTTTCCCTCCCCCGACCCGTACCGGCGTCGCCGGTGTGCGAAGCTCTACAATTTTTCGAGGATTTAATTAATATACGGCAAACAACAACTTTAAAACAATCTCCAAGGTGGTGCCCCCACCGTTGCAGATTCGTTTATCTAGTTTATACCCCCAGTCACTAATAGAACCATACGTTCTACCGCCTAAACCGGCCTAAACCGACTTAGCTAGCTATATGCGGCACTTTGTGCCCCCTTGGCCTTGGGACTCCTTAGCTCCTTGGGTCCTCGCCCGCCAGCTGCAGCTGAAGCTGCGAAGACTTGACCCGGACGGTGTAGGTTCTCATGCTGAACCTTGCTGCATGGATCGCGTGAGGATTGAACGGGTTGAACGGGTTGAACGGGTTGAACGGGTTGAACGGGTTGAACTGCAAAATATCTTGTTTTTTAATTGACATGGACAAAACTCCTAAGACATGGTAAATCAAATATGCTATTCACACACACACATATATATATAATTATATATATATATATATATATATTCATGGTCATGTTGACCAAGATTGGTACATGTGGTTGCCATTGGCCAACAGGATTGGCCATGCTGGCCATCGCTGGAGACAAGGGACGAAACTGAGATATTCTCTTTCGATGCATTTGCCACGTCAGGGTCATCAATGTACACCTGACAGATTGGGCACCTGGCTCCATGTCCCAAATTCATGGCTCCATCTGAAGAGGGCTAAATTTTAACCAAACTTTGACATGATGGGGTGACCCCAACCATGAACTTCTGGTGTTCTCTGTTTCATTTTTCATATTTGTGCAATTTGAGGCATATAGCAAATATTACTACAACTTTAAAAGCAAATAGAAACTACCGTAGATGGACGAAATATTCAAACCCCTTCTATCCGGTACAACCCCCTCGCCCCCAAAGTTCAATGTTATTGTAACCTGAAGTGCGTTAGCCCCAATGGACCAAAAAAATCAAACCCCTAACATCACTTTTGCTAACACGCGCGCTGAAACATTGAGATTTGGGGGTGCGGGGGTTCAACATAGTGCGTGCTGCAGGGTTTGAATATTTTGTCCATCTACTGTAGTACTGTACATTGTATCCTGTTGTCACAAATAGCCGTGTCACTTGCGATAGCTTACGGATGTTTACGGTGTTGAGATTGTTAAGCCTCCCTTAAAAGGGTAAATCCCAAGGCATCTTAAACACATCATGAATCAGATGTCCAAGCCTTCACGATCCCTTTGTCATCTGGCTCGGCAGTCATATAGCGTGTGATTCCTGGGGCTTCAAGGTCTTAGGTGCCAAACTTAGACACCAAAGATCCTTAACAAGGTGCCTCAGGTCTTGAGCTAAGTTGGTTGAGAGAAGAGTATAGGTCAAATTAACAGATATATGGTAGATGAAGGTCGATAAAGGTAGATAAAGGTAGATAAAGGAAGCTAAAGGTAGAGAATATAGATAGAGGTAGATAGATAGATAGATAGATCGATCGATAGATAGATCGATCGATAGATAGATAGAAACGATAGATAGATAGATAGATATAGATAGATAGATAGATAGATAGATAGACAGACAGACAGGTAGACAGCTAGACAGATAGACAGATGAAAGAGAAATAGATAGATAGATAGATAGATAGATCGATAGATCGATAGATCGATAGATATATCGATAGATCGATAGATCGATAGATCGATAGATAGATAGATAGATAGATATAGATAGATAGATAGATAGATAGATAGAGAGAGAGATAGATAGATAGATAGATAGATAGATCGATCGATCGATAGACAGACAGATAGACAGGTAGACAGCTAGACAGCTAGACAGATAGACAGATGAAAGGGAAATAGATAGATAGATAGATAGATCGATAGATCGATAGATAGATCGATAGATCGATAGATCGATAGATCGATAGATCGATAGATCGATCGATAGATAGATAGATAGAAACGATAGAAACGATAGATAGATAGATAGATAGATAGACAGACAGATAGACAGGTAGACAGCTAGACAGATAGACAGATGAAAGAGAAATAGATAGATAGATAGATAGATCGATAGATCGATAGATCGATAGATCGATAGATCGATAGATCGATAGATAGATAGAGAGAGAGAGATAGATAGATAGATAGATCGATAGATCGATAGATCGATAGATATACCGATAGATCGATAGATCGATAGATCGATAGATCGATAGATCGATAGATAGATCGATAGATAGATCGATAGATCGATAGATCGATAGATAGATAGATAGACCACATCCGTTTATGGCCTCGAACTATCATTAACCTACAAGACCCAGGTTGGCAAATTTATAGGGAAATGGATGTGTCAAACAAATCTTTGTTTGCCTAATATAGCTTATAATTCCGCCTATAGTATAGCAAAACATAATATTTAGTACATTCTGCTGTAATTCAAATCCATCACCAAACAACTAACTGTCAGCAAATTGCCGGATCCAGGGATGTTGCCCAGACTCGACGTTCCGTCTTGTTGATTTTCAAGGGCTCGTCGCTGGGCAAAGGTTTCGGATGAAATTCCTGGCGCTGTCATGGCCTCCATGGGACCACAGCCATAGACGTCAGAGCATTAGAATCATTAGAACGTTGAAGGGTAGCTTCCATGGGATATCGGAGATCCTCTCCAGAAACGCAGAAATATAACATATTTATGATGAAGAGATTGTGACATTTCATACTTTCAGTGTGGTGTTCGGCAAGACTCACATGGTTCGGCCCAAAAACATGGCCTCGAATGTTGATCTCCCGATGCGCCCATGGACACCCCAACATGAGAAATCATGACCATCCAGGGATCAGCGCCCTCCTCTTGGATATTGGGAGCCACCCAGTCTCTCCTAGCAGTGTCTGGAGGTACTTGACATCCCCGAGCCCCTTTTTTCAGGACTTACCTCTCTTTCCAACCATGATTTGAAGGTGGCATTCCATTTCTCCAGCCTCTCATACCCTCTCTCTCTCTCAGTCTCTCCATCGCCATGGCTGGAATTTGATGGATTTTAGGTCAGTAGCCAATCAAACCAAGCTTTTGCCTCCATACTCACCGCTTCTGCAGCATGCCAAAGGACACTGGAGACCCCCGCCAACCATTGAAATCAAGCATCGTGGGGACCTTGTAAGATAGATCTCCTGCCTCTTGCAGTAGCTGTTGATTCTCACGCAAGTCCTGCCGTTGAAGGTAAACAACCTGAGGTCTGAGACTTCTCATCTCAAAACATGGGACAGGATAGCGATGAGTGTTAATGCCCTGGTGTCTTGCAGTTTTGGCAAGACTTTCTGTTCCCAGCTGTGCTGGTTTAACTTGTGATACTGTAGTGAAACATTATTTTCAAAATTCCAAATTGCGCTTCTTTGATCCAATTGCTGACAATTACTTGCATGGAAACTTCACTACATTCATCATGTTCCTGGTTTAATCATGATTCATCATGTCAATATGTTGTTTATATCTTTATTCTCAGCATTTAGCTTGTTAAACACGAAAGCCACATCATGATTTCTGGGTGGAATATTCACATCCACCAAGCTGAGCCAAGGCCGTTCTACGTAGTAATATGGGAAAACCAATGCCATAAACATATCATTTGGGAAGGCTTATAGCACTGCGGGTTTGTGACATTAGGTTCACATTACAGTCGTTGAGCGTAGTAATATACTATTTCCCTGGTTTTTGTGTGTTACTAGTGTGGTTGGTATGATATTTGGGTTTACCACAGTGTTCTCCTATGAACAGTACGAGCCCAGCCCAGGGGCCCAGCCCGTGGCAAATTGGGCCTCTTCATCCATCTGAGCCTGCAGATCTTCCTGCTCCTGTGAGTGTCGTGAGAACACCCAACTTATATGGGCGTTAAGGAACACATATATGAGATTTAATCACAAAAAAACTTAAGAAGCAAACATAATAATGGCTCTATCTTTCAACCGCAAAACATCGCAAAACATTAAGATGATACTGAACATGTAACGAACAGGAGTTACTGATTGAGCCCAAGAATTGGCTTGATGTAGCATTTACCGGGGTACCAGCCTGTTTCATGATTAAACACATATTATTTGCGGGGACACCGCCTAATTCATAGATATTCATGGTACAATCTGAGGTTTCCTCTAGTGCTATAGGTATACCTTTGAATCCAGGGGAACAACAAACAACGGTTGATGTGCAACAGTTCAGAATATTGCTCAAGCTACGATGCACCCTGGGACCCTGGGTCAAATCTACTGTACTGGAGGACAGTATGTCAAAGCATAGTGCCGTCCTTCCGCCTCTTTTCTTCATCCTGCTTTCGCATCTGCTCTTTCAGTTGCTTACAGCTGTCCTTCATGTGCCGAGAGCGGCACTTTAGCAGTGATCTACCCATGATGTCTAGATCTTGGCGTCCAACAGAAAGGACAGGAGACAACACTATAATCGACCTGACGTGCGCGTTCACTTTCACAATTTCCGTGGTTCAACTCCAGGCCTTCATATTGGACATGTTGAGGAAGGAGAGGTCTATTGCAGGATCATACCTGCATCTGAATGACAATAATGCTTCCTAAAACCATGAAAAACAATCATCTGCCTTCTAATTGAGGACACCATCTAACAATTCTCAAGGTCCCTTAGCCACAGGACCTTAAAAAAACCGAATCCCAATTGACCCTTCTGGCTTCTGGCTTATTTTGCATATCGATCCATCCATGTAGAAATGTAGACATTCATTTCCGGTGCAAAGATCCGAAGGCGACAGGCTTTGACCAGCTTGGACCCGTTTCGCCTGCCCTGGCCGTTCAGCACATGGTGCTCCTTGATGTGGGCCTCCAACTGCCTCAGAGACCAAGAAGTCATTTTCAGGAGGGAAATCCTCCTCTTACTCTTACAAGTTTCTACAGTTGGAAGACTCTAACCATATGTTTATCTTGCAAGACTCATCATCTTGTAGTTGTTTTCAGGTAAAACAACTATGGTTTTCGTTTCCAAACACTTCTGAGCGTGGCCGAGTTCGGAAAAACAACATATTGGATATGATATACTTCTGGTGCGGGATTCTCTGATATACTAATATGTGTATACACACATATATATATATATATATACACATCACGGAACGCCTCCCATCGAAGGCAATATCCACCGACAGCCTCCAGCCGGCAACACAATGGATGCTCAGGTTCAAATAATTCATTATGTTTTGCAATCAAGGAGAGAGAGAGAGAGAGAGAGAGAGAGAGAGAAAAAAAGAAAAAGAGAAAACATTATGACGTTTCTTACACCATTCATAATTAATCCATATCAACCAGCCACAAAAGTGAGTTTTCCCCTACTGTAACATCTTCAAACCATCTCCAGATCCACTCTGAGCTGTGAATTTCCCGTCTGCGACAAGTTGCACCAGCGACTCTACCACCTCCTGTCGGGGTGGATTCATCGTGCAGGGCTGTGACAAAAAACATCTTTGAAACCACCAAGGCCTTGGTGGTTTCAAGCCTGAAATGCCTTTGCCAATATTGTTGGGAACAATCAAAATCCAAATCCTGCCGTGGAGTTCGCAATGGCTGCTTTTGCTACGTACTAGTAATTAGTATAAAGAAGCATTCTTTGCTGTCGGATTTTGATCAGGGGGAGCATTTCGCGAGCAAGTACAAGCCGATGCCAACTAATGCCAGCCCCAACCAGTGTTGATTATAATCAGCTTCCACCCGAAAACGTCATAAGTTGCCATCAACAAAAATATGGAGACCCCCTCAAACCAACCACTGGAACAAAAGAAAAACTACGGCTATTTTTGCTCCAGCACTTCACCGTCGAAATTTGTGTCCAGCGGCGGCTCCTTTCCGATGAGACCCATTTGCTTCCCCTCATCCAGCAGCTTTTCGCCGATCAGCAAATCGGTCTTCAGCACCAAATCCTGTGAGCCAGGCCCATATGAAAGTCAAACTGGCTTAGCATCTCATCTTTCAGTGGAAAAAGTCATCAAGAGTGACACCAGCAGCACCAGCAACTAGCTCAGGTGATCTTGAAAGACTCTGAGGTTTTGCCTCTGTCTGACCACTGGCCGAATCATTTCACACATATGAAAACATGTCTATACAATTCTATACATTGAAAATGCCTAGACCCTAGTCAGTGCCCATGAAACCATGAACAAGTCGGTAGGCTGTAGGCCCATTTTTTTTTGTTGAAACTATTACACATGGGATTGAGAATTTTTGTGAGCAACCAGGTAGCCATATATGTCGCAAACAAATCGGCAGGGTGGCACAACCAGGAAGCGCTGCCAGGGTTCATCGTTCAAATTGTCGATGATCAGTTTCAGCTCCTGACCGCTGTGAAAGCTCGGATCAACGTGGACTGGGTCGGGGTCATGGGCTACTCTGAAAATGGATGACAAAAAACAGGTAACATCGTGACAGCGTTTTGAACAATTACAATGACAATAATCACGGCAACACTATATTAATTATAAGAGATATCAATGTAGATACACTAATATCTTGAGAACATAACGAGGTGGGAGATGTAAAACAACAACAACAACAACAACAACAACAACAACAACAACACCAGCAACACCAGCAACAACAACAACACCAGCAACAACAACAGCAACAGCAACAGCAGCAACAGCAGCAGCAACACCAACAGCAGCAACAGCAACAGCAACAGCAACAACAACAACCACCACAACAACGACAGCAGCAACAGCAGCAGCAACAACAGCAACCGTAACAAAAAAACAAACACACAACCACAACCACACGGATTATTGGGTGCATCGCCCAACTCACATCCAGGAACAGCGATGCTTTACTCCCAAAAACCATTAAGATGTAGGTAGACCTGTACAGCACATGGAGCCCACAGGCCATAATAGCTGGGAATGTCGGGCCGGTGTGTTCTGCCTGGGTCTTGTAATACATATGTTCCCATGATGCCTGAAAAAAAGGGGAGCACAAGGGAAAACTCTGAAAAACACATTGTCCATTTTTATGCACTTCTAAAACATAACAAACAACATGTCTCTGGTGGGATTGAGACGATGCCTAACGAAATTTGACCAAAACGTAACAACTAGACTTTGAGGTTTCATCATGCAAGTGCAATTTCCTGTCTGAAACAAGGTCCTTCTAGATTCGATGTTTTCGAGAGAAGGCAAACAATTTGATGCAGTACATCATGACACACTCAAACAATTGAGACCAGGATTCCAAATCAAGTAAATGGGTCTGTCGGAATGTCTAAACATGCAGGATACGTATGAAACCGCAGTTTTACGACAAAAAATCGTGATGATCCCATGGATTTGGGCGTGCCCTGCTTCCTATTTTCAAACAAAACCTAAATCCCAATCCCCCAGGTTTCAGCTTTCCAAGTGGCTGAAACTTTGCGGATTTTCACGCAAACCACGCCCAAGTTGGATGCATCAAACATCGAAGGGCTCAGAAACTACCAACGGCCAATTTTTAGCCGCGTGCCCGCGTGCGGTTTTGGCTTTGAAACAACATGGCGAAATTGATGGTTGTATATGGCTGGAAAAGGGACAAGTACCACGCAAACCACTTCATGGAACGATTAACTAAGTGTTTTGATCATCATTCGAAACTAATTATAATGGATTGTAATCAAGCTACAGCAATACGCCAACAAAATTGATGAAAGTCACTGGTCACTGATCATCTTACCTTCTGGGGAGGGGAACATAGTGTTGTGGCTATAATGGCCGTAGGGTCGGTCGAGATAAATATGCACATCATTTAACATATTTAAATGTTTTGGTAATTTCATACATATGGTACTCGCATGATCATGTATGGATGGGTTCACTTGAAAATGTTCCTGCTATTTGTTTGCCACTGTCGTTGTTGATGCTCCATCGTTCATCGCTTGAGTGCCAGCTGGCCCATGGCACAATGGCAAGTCGCGACGTCACGACGGCCGAAGGTGAGATAATCTTACGGAACCTTGGATGGAAAGAGTAAGCACAGTAAATCATACTATCTATATATATATATATGTATATGTATGTATATATAAATATATGTTATAAGATAATAATATCGATGATCAGTGCTTTAGTAATTGCATCATAGAAACATATAAAAACATCATAATTAACTATCATTATTTTACCTCTGGCTATTTAACATGGCTATGGATGCCATGGTCCACTGATGTGTTATGATGATTCGCCTCTGAAACATTGTGATGTTCCAAAACTATGTTAAATAACCAGAGGATTGTAGTTTTCAGTATTTCAGTAATTCCAGAATACTTATTGGCTTATTGCGTTATTGTTTGCCTCTGGTAATTTAACATAGCTATGGAAACCATGGAACACTCATAGATGTGTTATGATAACTCACCTATTAGACATTGTGATTTTCCATAGCAATGTTCAATAACCAGAGGGTAGTAAGTTAGTAATTGTACAATATCACCAATCAGCTGTAGTATGGCATAATACTGTGCAATAAGAACATTTTGATATAGGCCAAAAAATGACAGTGATAGATGTTATTAGCATGATCAGTAACATGTTCGTCGGTAAAGATGTACCACTGTAATACCCAAGTTGATAGCCATGTCAAGTCTGTTGAATATTTTTTCGATATTGTGTGTGTGCGTCTGGTTTCCACATGTTTCGTCTCAAAAAAAAGTGGACGCCGCCTGCCCCACGAGAGCTCCAAAACATACAGATCGGAGTCTGCGAAAGTTCTACGTTCATGTCTAGGTCATACTGTCTATTTTCACCGGCATGCAAGATATGTTCTTGTAAATATCTAAAGATGCACACAACATGCTGTACATATATATATATATACACATGCAAACATACAAATTTACGCATTGATTCTCTGAGTTCATCTGAGGTCTATTTAAGCAAATGTATAAACGTTATTATATCTATCTAAATTCCCGCATGCCTGGGATCATCAGTTAGTTTTCAAAACCAATGCTACGCCACACACGGCTTAGTGGGCCTCCATGATGGGCTTCGTGGCCTTGGTGGTGAGAAATCCATGGAATCATGGTGCCTTTCCCATGGCGTTTTCCATATCATCATTCTATTTGTATATTATATATAATAGTATATGTTCATAGCTGTTCATAAATACATAGATGTCTGATGTTAAACAGCATGTACCTACAACACTTGTTCGTACAACAGTTCATGATGTTTGCCAACGTGGATCAACAGGCCCTTTTTTCAGTGCCCAACATCCAGGTGGTGAGCTCCAACAATGAACGGTTTTTGAGTGCCATCCGGAACCTCCAAATATCTGCAGTGAGTTGGGGGTTTCCATAGTCATGGGGGTACCCCCAAATGGATGATTTATAGGGAAAAACCCATGGGAAAAGATGGATGCTTTCGGGGTACCCCATGAATACGGAAAACCCAACCGTTGAATTTTCACTGAGAAACAGCTTTTACCCCAGTTGAGTCCGACCACACAACTATGGACACCTGATGCAACAGCAAGCCAACGTATCCAATCATTGCATATCAAAATACTAAACTGATTGGTGGTATACCTACCCCTCTGAAAAATATGAAAGTCAGTTGGGATGATTCTTCCCAATATCCAATATATGGAAAAATTACTTTACTTCGTGTGATCCCCACCATGACATTTATACATTTTCTTACTGGCAAATCTTCTGGCATTCTATCTGACATATCTTCTGACATTCTATTTGGCATTCTATCTGGCATATCTTCTGGCATATGATCTGGCAAATCTTCTGGCATATCTTCTGGCATTCTATCTGGCAAATCTTCTGGCATTCTATCTGGCATATCTTCTGGCACTCTATCTGACATATCTTCTGGCATTCTATCTGGCATATCTTCTGGCATATATTCTGACATATCTTCTGGCATTCTATCTGGCATATCTTCTGGCATTTCTTCTGGCATATCTATCTGGCATATCTTCTGGCATATTTTCTGGCATTCTATCTTCTGGCATTCTATCTGGCAAATCTTCTGGCATTCTATCTGGCATATCTTCTGGCATTCTATCTGACATATCTTCTGGCATATCTTCTGGCATATCTTCTGGCATTCTATCTGGCAAATCTGATGCATTCTATCTGGCATATCTTCTGGCATTCTTTCTAACTTTCTTCTGCACATTCTTTGTCCCATATCTTCCTACATGAGGTCCGGCAGGGAACACTTGGCGTGGATACTCGCGGTTGAGGTCCGGCAGGGAACACTTGGCGTGGATACTCGCGGTTGAGGTCCGGCAGGGAACACTGGGCGCGGATGGTCGTGGTTGAGGTCCGGCAGGGAACCCTGGGCGTGTATGGTCGTGGTTGAGGTCCGGCAGGGAACACTGGGCGTGGATGGTCGTGGTTGAGGTCCGGCAGGGAACACTGGGCGTGGATGGTCGTGGTTGAGGTCCGGCAGCGAACACTGTGGATCGCGAGTCGCAGTTGAGCAAGGACGACGAGGACGACGAGGACGACGAGGAGGACGAAGAGGAGGAGGAGAGGAGGACGAGGCAGGAGGAGGCGGAGGAGGAGGAGAAGGAGGAGGAGGAGGAGAAGGAGGAGAAGGAGGAGGAGGCAACTGACATAAAATCTAACAACCCTCACCTGGCAGGTGGGGAATAAAAAGTGTTTGAAACCACAAACCAGTAAATATATCCCTATTTCTTGGTAAAAGAACTATCAGCCACCGGGGATCACCTGGATTTTTTTCATCAGGTGGCTGGGATCAGCTTGGCTTCGGAGGTTTCGGTCTCGCCAATCACCAAGACCTCTGGACTGCTCTCTCTTTCTCTCTGCAAGGACATTCCCTCATTGATCAGCTGTGCTGAAAGTATATAGATCATATTTTTGGATATGTTTGGTGTGTCTCGAGCATTGGATGCCCCAGAAAACATTTAAACAAATTATATATATATATATATATACTGTATATCTCTCTCTCCATCGCCATCTCCAATATACAGTATATATATATATATTATATATACACACATATCGTGTATCTGCAAGTCCAAAGGCAAGCAAAAAACAACAAAATGCGACCATGTACCCGTTCCACTGCCATCGGAGCGAAAGCTCCCCCGGCCCCGACTGCCCTGACACCTGCATGGGGAGAGATCGGATCTCGAACTCTGCAAAGCGCATAGCGCGGGAATTGTGGAGATATTTTCCTTGGCAAAATGGGCCACAGGCCACACAAAGGGCCAAACTGACAACAACCCTACTTGCTTGCAAGAAAAGAGTTCCTATCCACATTCCCCTGAACATGAGCCAATGGCATAATTTTTTCTCAAATGTTAAGACAGCTCACGGGATTGTTGTCCTGCAATCTCACCTCCAATTGGAAAATCCCAAGGCCCAGCAGGAAACAAATGGCCAATGGTTTTACATTGTTTCACGTCTTTTTGTCAAAATTAATTGCCATTTGGATCATCATCACAGGTAAAGGATGAAAAATGCCTCCGCAGAGAAACAACCCACAAAGAGACCATGAACTTAGCCGCCCGACGATACTTCTTGGTCCAATCAGTGCCTGTCGACTCTTGCTGAAATGTCTTGGATGTCTCAGTCACCACTGGCAATCCCTGGATTTCCTTCACCGATTGCTTTAAAAATAACTTAAAAAACTAGCCACGAGTTTTCCACAGTGACTACTTTTTTACATGTTTTTATATCATCCAACTGGGAAAAACTACAAAATGACATTGTTCAGGCCCCGGCCGAAAGGCGAGGTATTGTGCATGCGGTTCGTCTCCGGAAGCTCTAAACCTCAGGCCAGGGATGGCCACACCTATGGACTCCTGGAAGCTCCAAAAATCTGCCAGTGATCTTTGAGATAAGCCACCGTTTACAATCATTTACATGTGTTGTTACATGGGTTTCTACAGTCCGAGTTGAGATTTCCGATGAGTTTGGGATTCCGGGATGGGGTTGAGAAAACTTGAAACTGTATAAACTGTGATGAAGTGCAGCATCTTCAAGACGTTCTGATCTTTCTGGAATCTTGTTGTATTCATGAACCCTGGAACGTCTCTGAGCCCCAAGCTGTGCTCATTGTTCACGAAGACCCGGACCCGACCTGGGCTCTGACATGTCTCATAGTACCCAACAAGGAGGGGTTCAAAATTGCAGCAAAAACCAACCCAAATCAACCATGAACAAATGAGTGTAACGGTGTAACGGAATATCTTGATTGGAAACCATTGGTTCTAACATCATTCTAGGGGTCTCCGTCTCCTTAAAAAAAATCCTATGACTCAGTTTTGGGAAACCAACGTGGTTGAATTTGTGGAGGGACCTGCCGGCTCACAGTATGACTTGGCTGAACCATACCTCAGGGAAGTAAAGGGTTTGTGACGTGGTCATGTTCCATTTACTACATCCCATGTATGTTGGACGTCGCACTCGCATTCTTGAACCATGTGATAATCCTTCAACCTACTTACCGATTTGCAAAGCATTGTCTTGAAACCACCAAACATTTACAGTCGGTA